AAGGGTTACTTACTACTGACAGTGATGAGATGTCCCCGCATGAAGAGGAAAGGGTTACTTACTACTGACTGTGGTGAGATGTCCCCGCATGAAGAGGAAAGGGTTACTTACTACTGACAGTGGTGAGATGTCCCCGCACGAAGAGGAAAGGGTTACTTCCTACTGACAGTGGTGAGATGTCCCCGCATGAAGAGGAAAGGGTTACTTACTACTGACAGTGGTGAGATGTCCTCGCATCAAGAGGAAAGGGTTACTTACTACTGACAGTGGTGGGATGTCCCCGCATGAAGAGGAAAGGGTTACTTACTACTGACTGTGGTGAGATGTCCCCTCATGAAGGGGAAAGGGTTACTTACTACTGACAGTGGTGAGATGTCCCCGCATGAAGAGGAAAGGGTTACTTACTACTGACAGTGGTGAGATGTCCCCGCACGAAGAGGAAAGGGTTACTTACTACTGACTGTGGTGAGATGTCCCTGCATGAAGAGGAAAGGGTTACTTACTACTGACAGTGCTGAGATGTCCCCGCATGAAGAGGAAAGGGTTACTTACTACTGACAGTGGTGAGATGTCCCTGCATGAAGAGGAAAGGGTTACTTACTACTGACAGTGATGAGATGTCCCCGCATGAAGAGGAAAGGGTTACTTACTACTGACTGTGGTGAGATGTCCCCGCATGAAGAGGAAAGGGTTACTTACAACTGACTGTGGTGAGATGTCCTCGCATGAAGAGGAAAGGGTTACTTACTACTGACAGTGGTGAGATGTCCTCGCATGAAGAGGAAAGGGTTACTTACTACTGACAGTGGTCAGATGTCCTCGCATGAAGAGGAAAGGGTTACTTACTACTGACAGTGCTGAGATGTCCTCGCATGAAGAGGAAAGGGTTACTTACTACTGACAGTGGTCAGATGTCCCCGCATGAAGAGGAAAGGGTTACTTACTACTGACTGTGGTGAGATGTCCTCGCATGAAGAGGAAAGGGTTACTTACTACTGACAGTGGTGAGATGTCCCCACATGAAGAGGAAAGGGTTACTTACTACTGACAGTGGTCAGATGTCCCCGCATGAAGAGGAAAGGGTTACTTACTACTGACAGTGGTGAGACGTCCTCGCATGAAGAGGAAAGGGTTACTTACTACTGACAGTGGTGGGATGTCCCCGCATGAAGAGGAAAGGGTTACTTACTACTGACTGTGGTGAGATGTCCTCGCATGAAGGGGAAAGGGTTACTTACTACTGACAGTGGTGAGATGTCCCCGCATGAAGAGGAAAGGGTTACTTACTACTGACAGTGGTCAGATGTCCCCGCATGAAGAGGAAAGGGTTACTTACTACTGACAGTGCTGAGATGTCCTCGCATGAAGAGGAAAGGGTTACTTACTACTGACAGTGGTCAGATGTCCTCGCATGAAGAGGAAAGGGTTACTTACTACTGACAGTGATGAGATGTCCCCGCATGAAGAGGAAAGGGTTACTTACTACTGACAGTGATGAGATGTCCCCGCACGAAGGGGAAAGGGTTACTTACTACTGACTGTGGTGAGATGTCCCCGCATGAAGAGGAAAGGGTTACTTACTACTGACAGTGCTGAGATGTCCCCGCATGAAGAGGAAAGGGTTACTTACTACTGACAGTGGTGAGATGTCCCTGCATGAAGAGGAAAGGGTTACTTACTACTGACTGTGGTGAGATGTCCTCGCATGAAGAGGAAAGGGTTACTTACTACTGACTGTGGTGAGATGTCCTCGCATGAAGAGGAAATGGTTACTTACTACTGACAGTGGTGAGATGTCCTCGCATGAAGAGGAAAGGGTTACTTACTACTGACAGTGGTCAGATGTCCCCGCATGAAGAGGAAAGGGTTACTTACTACTGACAGTGCTGAGATGTCCTCGCATGAAGAGGAAAGGGTTACTTACTACTGACAGTGGTCAGATGTCCTCGCATGAAGAGGAAAGGGTTACTTACTACTGACAGTGCTGAGATGTCCTCGCATGAAGAGGAAAGGGTTACTTACTACTGACAGTGGTCAGATGTCCCCGCATGAAGAGGAAAGGGTTACTTACTACTGACTGTGGTGAGATGTCCCCGCATGAAGAGGAAAGGGTTACTTACTACTGACAGTGGTGAGATGTCCCCACATGAAGAGGAAAGGGTTACTTACTACTGACAGTGGTCAGATGTCCCCGCATGAAGAGGAAAGGGTTACTTACTACTGACTGTGGTGAGATGTCCTCGCATGAAGAGGAAAGGGTTACTTACTACTGACAGTGGTCAGATGTCCCCGCATGAAGAGGAAAGGGTTACTTACTACTGACTGTGGTGAGATGTCCTCGCATGAAGGGGAAAGGGTTACTTACTACTGACAGTGGTGAGATGTCCCCGCATGAAGAGGAAAGGGTTACTTACTACTGACAGTGGTGAGATTTCCCCGCATGAAGAGGAAAGGGTTACTTACTACTGACAGTGATGAGATGTCCCCGCATGAAGAGGAAAGGGTTACTTACTACTGACAGTGATGAGATGTCCCCGCATGAAGAGGAAAGGGTTACTTACTACTGACAGTGATGAGATGTCCCCACATGAAGAGGAAAGGGTTACTTACTACTGACAGTGGTGAGATGGCCCCACACGAAGAGGAAAGGGTTTCTTACTACTGACTGTGGTGAGATGTCCCTGCATGAAGAGGAAAGGGTTACTTACTACTGACAGTGCTGAGATGTCCCCGCATGAAGAGGAAAGGGTTACTTACTACTGACAGTGGTGAGATGTCCCTGCATGAAGAGGAAAGGGTTACTTACTACTGACTGTGGTGAGATGTCCCCGCATGAAGAGGAAAGGGTTACTTACTACTGACTGTGGTGAGATGTCCTCGCATGAAGAGGAAAGGGTTACTTACTACTGACAGTGGTGAGATGTCCTCGCATGAAGAGGAAAGGGTTACTTACTACTGACAGTGGTCAGATGTCCCCGCATGAAGAGGAAAGGGTTACTTACTACTGACAGTGCTGAGATGTCCTCGCATGAAGAGAAAAGGGTTACTTACTACTGACAGTGGTCAGATGTGCTCGCATGAAGAGGAAAGGGTTACTTACTACTGACAGTGCTGAGATGTCCTTGCATGAAGAGGAAAGGGTTACTTACTACTGACAGTGGTCAGATGTCCCCGCATGAAGAGGAAAGGGTTACTTACTACTGACAGTGGTGAGATGTCCCTGCATGAAGAGGAAAGGGTTACTTACTACTGACAGTGCTGAGATGTCCCCGCATGAAGAGGAAAGGGTTACTTACTACTGACAGTGGTGGGATGTCCCCGCATGAAGAGGAAAGGGTTACTTACTACTGACAGTGGTGAGATGTCCCTGCATGAAGAGGAAAGGGTTACTTACTACTGACAGTGCTGAGATGTCCCCGCATGAAGAGGAAAGGGTTACTTACTACTGACTGTGGTGAGATGTCCCTGCATGAAGAGGAAAGGGTTGCTTACTACTGACAGTTATGAGATGTCCCCACATGAAGAGGAAAGGGTTACTTACTACTGACAGTGGTGAGATGGCCCCGCACGAAGAGGAAAGGGTTACTTACTACTGACAGTGGTGAGATGTCCCCGCATGAAGAGGAAAGGGTTACTTACTACTGACAGTGGTGAGATGTCCCCACATGAAGAGGAAAGGGTGACTTACTACTGACAGTGGTGAGATGCCCCGCATGAAGAGGAAAGGGTTACTTACTACTGACAGTGGTGAGATGGCCCCGCATGAAGAGGAAAGGGTTACTTACTACTGACAGTGGTGAGATGTCCCCGCATGAAGAGGAAAGGTTACTTACTACTGACAGTGGTGAGATGTCCCCGCATGAAGAGGAAAGGGTTACTTACTACTGACAGTGGTGAGATGGCCCCGCATGAAGAGGAAAGGGTTACTTACTACTGACAGTGGTGAGATGTCCCCGCACGAAGGGGAAAGGGTTACTTACTACTGACAGTGGTGATCGAGATGTCCCCGCATGAAGAGGAAAGGGTTACTTACTACTGACAGTGCTGAGATGTCCTCGCATGAAGAGGAAAGGTTACTTACTACTGCCAACGGTGAGATGACCCTTCATGAAGAGGAAAGGGTTATTTACTACTGACAGTGGTGAGATGTCCCCGCATGAAGATGAAAGGGTTACTTACTACTGACAGTGGTGAGATGTCCCTGCATGAAGAGGAAAGGGTTACTTACTACTGACAGTGATGAGATGTCCCCGCATGAAGAGGAAAGGGTTACTTACTACTGACAGTGGTGAGATGTCCCCGCATGAAGAGGAAAGGGTTACTTACTACTGACAGTGGTGAGATGTCCCCGCATGAAGAGGAAAGGGTTACTTACTACTGACTGTGGTGAGATGTCCCCTCATGAAGAGGAAAGGGTTACTTCCTACTGACAGTGGTGAGATGTCCCCGCATGAAGAGGAAAGGGTTACTTACTACTGACTGTGGTGAGATGTCCCCGCATGAAGAGGAAAGGGTTACTTACTACTGACTGTGGTGAGATGTCCCCTCATGAAGAGGAAAGGGTTAGTTACTACTGACAGTGGTGAGATGTCCCCGCACGAAGAGGAAAGGGTTACTTCCTACTGACAGTGGTGAGATGTCCCCGCACGAAGAGGAAAGGGTTACTTACTACTGACTGTGGTGAGATGTCCCCGCATGAAGAGTAAAGGGTGACTTACTACTGACAGTGGTGAGATGTCCCCGCTTAAGGAGAAAAGGGTTACTTACTACTGACAGTGGTGGGATGTCCCCGCATGAAGAGAAAAGGGTTACTTACTACTGACAGTGGTGAGATGTCCCCGCATGAAGAGGAAAAGGTTACCTTCTACTGACTGTAGGTGAGATGTCCCCGCATGAAGAGGAAGGGGTTACTTACTACTGACTGTGGTGAGATGTCCCCGCATGAAGAGGAAATGGTTACTTACTACTGACAGTGATGAGATGTCCCCGCATGAAGAGGAAAGGGTTACTTACTACTGACTGTAGGTGAGATGTCCCCGCATGAAGAGGAAAGGGTTACCTACTAATGACAGTGGTGAGATGGCCCCTCCTCCACCAGCCACTTCTCGACATGTAGTAGAGAGGGACAGCAAGCATCATTATGATGAAGGGGGTAAGGAACTTGCCAGAGTCGTTCACGACGGCCGTGAGGGACAGCACCAGAAAGGCCATGACGTAGATGCAAGGGAACAGCCAGTGGACCTGAAGGAGGTTAAAGATAGCTGAGAAGAGTTTCATTTTCACCTTAATAAAAGTACCCGTCAACACCACATGAAAGGGCGTTTATAGATTTGAGTACATGGGGGGTTGCGAATTAATATTTTGCTTGTACTTTAACTCCCTCTGGGAAGACTTCCGTTGATTTCCCAGGGTTCAATTCAGGTTGAGTCGCGCAACAGGCAAATCAACAAAAACTAACCAACGGCCGTTTCATTGTTGCATTTAATGTAAATGAAAAACAAATAAGTTAAATTTAATTTTGTCTATTTTACCATCACTCATTCTTCAACGGTTTGTAAAAAAGTAATCTGGGTTTCTGTGTAAAAATAAATTGGCTCAATGAAGACTGAGGTAAGAAATGCATTTACAACCACACGCCCCTTAGCATGCGTGAAATGTTGCAAATTTGGGCCGAAAAACCGCTAATCTATTTATGTTCAAAGACAGGATACCTATCGGTAGTCTTTTTGCGTCGTGGCACCCGAATCGTGTTCAAAACGAGGCTATGGAAGCGAACGTTTCCAGGGTATGTACCCTAATAAAATGGAGATATAATTCACTGGGTAATCGAGTACAGTAAACTACGGTTATAACGAACTCAAAGGGACTACTATTTTTAGTTCGTTATAACCGTAGTTCGTTATAAGAATATATATACACCATAACTACAGCAAATAGTCGGGACTCAAAAGTTAGTTCGTTATATCCGTTAGTTGGTTATAAGCGTGTTCGTTTTAACCGTAGTTTACTGTATGTTGATGTTGACACGCGGGTTAGGGCCCGGCATTGTTTTGCTGGTCGTAAGGGGCACATAAACTGGGATTTAGACCTGCTTTACGTGTTCCCGTGCCGCGATAGTCGGGGTCATTTCACCGGTATGCCTCGTCCAGTTTGGAACGTTTACAGGCCATATATAACTGACGCACTGAAGACGGCGGCGTATAAAATGTTATTCTATTGGAAATATGTTTATTGTGAGTAATGAAGCAAAAAAAAATATTTATCGTCTATATTTGAATGCACTAACATGTTTCATATTGCATCATGTAATTCTATGAGAGTTAATTTTAACACACAAATGTCGCTTTGTTACACTTGATGAAAAGTCATGCCACGTTTAACAAACGCTCCGTGCCAACTAAAAATTAAGTTTCTTTTTTAAGTTGCTTTTATAATTAAATTAAACTGGCAATTTTGGATTTAACAAACCCTTGTCACCAGGTGTTCGTCTGACAAATACGTGCATATTTGAACAACATTTTATTAGTGTGTCAAGGTCGAAAGATGTATCTCATCATGCTAATTCAGTGTCATGGTACCTTGTAGGTAGTGTCGTTAGCTGGGTGTTTCCGTCGTATGAAGAATATTCCCGAGACGGCGAGACATTCTCCTCCTGCCTTGAAGAACGCATATGCCCCTAGCACAGACTTGACATCACCCAGGCATACGAAGATAGTCGCCAGTACGAACTGTAATATACAGTAGTTTAAAGAGAATAATATAGGTACATGGAGATGCAGATGACTGGTAAATTATAGTTATGAAAGAAAGAATTGATGCTGTGTCAATAACAACACTAAAAATTATTCCCAGCTCAACAAAACCTTTTTTACAAAGCTTTTTTTTCAGTCACTGACACGGGTGTCAGCGGAATAATAAGAACTTTGAACAGTTGTACTCCATACAAATATGTCACAGTACCAGGAGTGGTTAAGAGAAGCGCGGGAGGCTACTTCCTGCACATCGTTTAACAGAAGCCATGTTCTTTGTGTTAAACAGGCAGGTCAGTGAGACATAAAACGTCAATGTCAGGAAGGGCAAAATAGCTGTGGAAATTATATATATGGATCACTTAAAATCATTGCTGACACCCGGTGTTCGCGAAAACGGTATGTTCTACCCTGTGGTATCACCCATGGTAGTCCCATGGCGTCTAATAGTTGCAATGGCTAGTTAACTAACGATAAGATACCAGGGCCCACTTGCACAAAGCAATCTTAGCACTAAGACTATTGTAAGCCTATGTTAAAGTATGGGAATTACGATCATCTTAGCGCTAAGGTCGCTTTGTGCAAGTTGGTCCAGGTCCTCGTAAACCAACGTTTACTTAGTGAATAGCAAAACATGTATGTCTTAAACTTCGATTATTTTAGGTGAGGAAAAATGGGTATTTAAACGTCGGGTTCAAGATTATTGCACTTATATAGCGACGTGCATGCACGTGTGTGTGGCTGCTTGTACTAGGACTACCTAATGTCCATTTAGTGCTATAGTGCTCGCCCACTGAGATACCATGCCACAGTTTTAACATGAATAGCCCACTCAGACACAATACACTGACTCCGAGCCGACCAGTCCCTCTTTTGGCCCCTTAATGCCGAGCGCCAGGCACGGTAATAAGTACCATCTTTTAACGTCTTTTGGTATGATTTGTTTGTTTGTTTGCTTGTTTGTTGTTTAACGCTGCAATATTCCAGCTACATGACGGCGGTCTGTAAATAATCGAGTCTGGACCAGACAATCCAGTGATTGACATCATTAGCATCGATCAGCGAGCCTGACCACCCGATCTCGTTACAAGCATAGTCGCCTTTTACGGCAAGCATGGGTTGCTGAAGACCTATTCCTCCCCGGATCTTCACGGGTCCTTTTGGTATGACTCGGACGGGGATCGAACCCCAGACCTTTCGCTCTCCGGGCAGACGCTCTACCACTAGACCACGAAGGCAGTCCGATTAAAGAAGGAGACTTTATAATGGTAACGACATTATTACGCTCGTGTGTTTCCGTATGGTAGATATCATATACTAGAAATAACCATGTGTATAACGTTTGCCAAATGTCGCATAATGAGTTTTCATTTCTTATAAATGACACAGACGATAGAAAATACACGCGTTGAATAATCTCTCTTTCTTTTTCTAACATAATTTCAATATAATATGACTAGATTAACATTGTTGTTAGCCACCAACGGGGCCGACTGATAGCTTGTGCGTAATCAACCGTAGTCAGTGCCGAACTTTAAATATACATGCATTGGATTCCCTTGTTAGTTTCTAACCTTAGTTATTTTCCACCTTTTGTTATTTTATCAATTTTGTTGTCCTTACATGTACATATATACGCTCTCTGCCTCATGGCATTCATTCACCTGATGAAGGAGTAAGCATATACTCCGAAACGTTGTGTTCCTCATAATAAAGAAGTTGGCATCCATCAATTTTCTTCCTTATCTAATGTTATCTATAGATTATCGTATAATGGTTAGTATTATTGATAAGATAAACACATTCGATGAACAAGTTGGCACGACGAGATATATATGCCAATGAGGTCACCTAGCATGAGCTACTCTCAAAAGCCACACATCGATGCAATGTCTGCTTTCTTCATAAATCATTGCCTAACGTCCCAAATATCCTGAGGGGTGTCCCAGTATGTCACCGTGTTTCACCATTCGTGACCAACTCGTGTTATTCCGGGAGGCTACGGAAAGGGGCGAGTGGTGACGAATGCGTGTTTCACTCCAACACTGTATTCATACGCGGTATGTAAAACTACTACTTTGAATGAAATTACGTCTCAGTTATCGATAACCGTTAGACTGACTTTCAAAGGTCAAGGTCACATTGAAAAATAAAGCATAAATCTCATGCATACGTTTTGTAGATCATTTCGTCGTGATAAATAATACACAATGGAATCAATACCAGTCATTGTTGTTCGAGCTAAAATGCCGGGCCAAAGATAGTATTCACCCATATCAAATGATGGCTGAACATGAATCAAGAAATGTTATTTATATGGGGATATGTTTGTTAAGGGTCTAATTACTTGTGTTTTGGATTTTAATATATCAAGTCTTTCAGGGAGTGTTTTCAGTTTATAGCAACGTTTTGATAACGTTTGTAATGTTTTGGTCAAATTCAGTGTATAGTTTCTTTTGTCCGGCAGTTTACATTGGAAGTATGGTGCAGAAAGTTCATATATTTGAAATTAACTGGATGGTATTAAATCACAGAATCCTCAGAACTGACACAGGACTGATACAAACGAGTTCCAGAAATGGTACACCCTACCTACCAGTGCTATGATGGACGGCTGTGGAGTTCTTCTCCGTACACTGATCATGCTCAGGAACCGTGGAAACAGTCCATCGCGGCCTCCCACAAAGTTGATTCTAAACATACATACATAATCAATAACAAGACTGCACTCTTCATTAAATGATATAACGTGAAACAATGTGCGATGCGTTAGTTTATCAAATGTCGTTTGTCTCATTCCTATCATACGTATAAGCCAGGGAGTTATGTTTCGTTTGTTTGTTGCTTAACGCCGCACTCAGCAATATTCCTGCTATATGACAGTCATCTGTAAATAATCGAGTCTGGACTAGACAATCCAGTGATTGACATCATGAGCATCAATCCACGCAATTGGGATACGATAACATGCGTCAACCAAGTCAGCGAGCCTGACCCATCCCGTTAATCGCCTCTTACGACAAGCATATTCGCCTTATTCCAAGCATGGTTGCTGAAAACCAATTCTAACCCGGATCTTAAGGGGTCAGTTATTAATCTTACCTGGACGCCGTGAATACAACAGCGTTAGCTATTCCACCTGCCGATATTGCCACGCATGGCAAAATGATCCACTTAAATAATCCCAGGGTTTTTTCCCCAAACACCTACAAAGAATAAAATGCAACATGACAGTATATGACGGTCTGTAAATAATCGACTCTTGAACAGACAATACACTGATTGACATCATGAGCATCGATCTACGCAACTGGGATACAATGACATGCATCAACCAAGTCAGCGAGTCGGACCACCCGATCCCGTTAATCGCCGCTTACGACAAGCATGGGTTGCTGAAGACCAACTCTAACCCTGATCGTCACTGGCTACAAAGAATAAAAACACAACAATCTGTACCAACATAATCATAATGAAGGACCTACTGACATTGATTTTATAGTCTGTTTTGTTGTTGTTGGTGGTGGTATAATCTCGTGTGTTTTTTTACTCACAACAGCGACCGCAATCCCAGACTGAATTTCACCATTAGTGAGTACAGCGTGGTAGGCGATATTGCCAAGAATGTAGGTCAAGGTCGGTATGACAAGGCCACCAAGGATTGCGATGGGGATGGTTCTATGAAATTTGAGAAATATTACGAAAATCAAGCAATGAATTACAGCATATATTATTCAACATACGTATACGTATTTTTCCCGGCAGTTTAGTTAAATTTAAAAATAGAATATATACTCACGCGCAAAAGAAACGCAAGTGGTTTTATACAAATAGGTAACAAACACGGAACCATAAATTGATACGAGTTTTAGCAATCGAAATTGGCGTCATTGTGAGTGGAGGCGTGTCATCTTCTCTGATGAAAGTCGCTTTTGTGTCGAGGTGATCGTTTCGCTGACAGAAACGTTGTGGAAAGGGATCCATGGGGTGGACCTAGCGTCATGATATGGGCAGGGATTGGACTTAATGCGAGACTTGGACCCATGTGCTTTCTGAATGTTGGTCAAGGTAGGGGACACGGCGTCACTGCTCAGCGGTATATCGACCAAGTGATCAGACCCCACGTTGTTCCATTTTTTGCACAACATCAACAACACATTTTCCAGCAGGACAACCTCGTCCCCATGTTGCCAGAGCTACCATGGCCTTTCTGCAACAACACAACATCCGTGTTCTACCGTAGCCAGCCCTCAGCCCTAATCTGAACCCCATCGAACACTTGTGGGATGAGGTTCGAAGGCGTCTGCACAATATGCGCCCAGTCCCTACAACTGCCGATGAACTACGCACAGCTGCTCTGGATGTGTGCAGGAGGATCCCTAGGGCCTTCACAAATCGCCTGAACCACTCAATGTACAGGAGATGTGTGGCAGTGATAAATGCTAATGGTGGTCACACCAGGTATTGACTGACATCTTGGGTATTGCCCCGAAACTGTGTAAGCCCTTAACATTTGAAAAATATGATTATGTCATCTGCCTTTTAATCCATTAACTGTCTTCAGTCAAATTTTTGTCAATCTTGCCCTATTAGTATTTCTTGTCTTTACTGTTGAAAATAAATAACATGTATACTGCATACTCGACTTGCGTTTCTTTTGCGTGTGAGTATATATTGCATTTTTATTTTGAAAATCAGAATATACATTTTTGTTTTAAGTGTGATATATATTTCAATATTATTGAAGGCTGTATCAAGCAATTGTTAAGGTGATCAACGTAATGTTGATATTTATATAGAACAGTTTTTATGATTTAATTGGTTTACCTGTGGGGTCTCATGACTTCTTCGACGGCCATATTGACATTATCCCTGGGGTGACAATATGTAAGACGGTGTGACAGCAAACAACATTTTTATTTTAAAGATTCACTGTTGCAGTTCATGCATACACGGGGAAAAGCTAGGCGCTTATTCCAAAAATTTGTTTTAATTCCCTGACGAAAACTTTTGTTTTGTTTACAATGCAGCATACTAATATCTAAACAGAGAAACGAAATCAATTATCTATTGACGCTTCCTAACAGTTTTGTTATCGACCCAAAATAAATTGTCCCCGAAAATTATAGAAAAAAATAAATATGCTTCAGAAAGTTGAAAAAACTGCCTGCCACAAAAATTACATTGTTGCAATCTGGTTTTGTAGCTGTCGTTGAAAAAATACCCAATTTCGATAAAAAAAAATCCCGTGTAGATGTTTATTCGTATACAAGAAGGCAATGAAAGATACGTGATGAATCCTTGAATAATATTACACCCTTACGTTAAACTACACTTATAACAGCGTTTCTGTCATAATACAGCAATAATTCACTCACAACTAAATGTAACAAATATTAAAACAACATATTATTTTCCAAAATCATTCAGTCTTATAAGACATATTCATCCTTTCGAGGAGCATTTTATATTCGCGGGACTGAGGAGGGGGTTGGGTTGGGAGATTTATCTATGCCTTACCAGCCGCCATATGCATACAGGCCAGCATAGACCGACATGGCCACGCCTCCTGCAGTCAGGTTGGTGGTCCTGAAGGGGTCTCTGAAGTTCTCGGTATGACCTGCATAAATAAGCCTCAGACATACTAAGGTCATGCGCTATTTTGTAAAAATAATAATTTGCATCATAAAGAATAAAAAAGGATGATATTGCATTAAGGCAAGTTCCTTCTCCACACTTTTCAAAGTCGTGTGCCTGAAACCCGTTTACAATATTTTGAGATACGGGAGTCAAGGCTGGTGACCTTGACACAAATTGCTGACCTTGACACAAATGTAAAATCCCAGCAACGATGATAGTAACCAGCGCAAACACTTTACACACAGTAGATGCTGTCTGAAGCCAGGCACCCAGTCGCACACTGTACATGTTGACCGCCATGACGAACCCTGAAACAACAGCAGCCGAAGGTATTTTGTTTGTTTGTTTGTTTATTGTTTAACGCCGCACTCAACAATATTCCAACTATATGACGTCCGTCTGTACATAATCGAGTCTCGGCAAGACAATCCAGTGACTGATATCATGAGCATCGATCAGAGCAATTGAGATACGATGACATGCATCAACCAAGCAGCAGAAGGTGCCCCAGACAACGTATGTATTCACTTGTATATGCAGATCTCGCAACGGATCACGCCGTCGCTGACGGTGTCGTGCACATCAACATAACTTAGTTACTTTATTCCATTTACTAAATGGAATAAAGTAACTAAATGATTTAGACCACAGGCCACTATGCAAAATAATAACAAACATACTTTAAGTGCATGTTAGAAGCAAAGACAGATTGTTAATTAAAGAATAACAACTATTTTACAAAGTCAAAGACATGTGAAATTATGAATATATCTAACTCATGAGATATATGGTTTTGGACGGATTATAAACAATTTGAGGACGCGCATTTTGTTACAAATTAAGTAATTGTAGCACACTTTATACAACACACATATTCACAAAGATAGCGTCCTCTCACAGTATTATAAGACCGCCTCCGTGGTCTAATGGTAGAGCGTCCGCCCGGAGAGCGGAAGGTCCGGGGTTTCCATCCCCAGCCGCGTCATACCAAAAGACGTTAAAAGATGGTACTTGTTGTTACCCTGTCTGGCGCTCGGCATTAAGGGGCTAAAACAAGGACTGGTCTACTGTGTCTGAGTGGGGTATTCATGTTAAACTGCGGCATGTTTTCTCAGTGTGCTAGCACTATAAATCGGCATCAGTCCGGACTGGTACAAGCAGCCACACACACACACACACACACACACACACTCACGTACATGCACGTCGCTATATAAGTGCAATAATCTTGGACGCGACGTTAAACCCCATTTCACCTCACCTCACCTCAAAGTATTATAATATGGACACACCATGACATGTATCATCTTTAAATTCATTAAAACACTAAAGGGCAATTACAGTTTTCCTAAGCTAACTTTGAATTTGCTCACGTACCCTTTCTAAATGAGATTATGAGAACCAACTCTGGACCGAGTTATATTTGGTGACACATCAAATAATGTTTAATATATTTTTATAGAAAGTGAATATTTAATTTTTTTATAAAATCTCTTTTCACTTAGCGACATCAGGTGGTTTCGCCACATTTGAGTATGTACAACTATTGTCCATTGATTGTATTCATTAAATAACTCTAATTGATTACTTTCTGTGACAGCCTCACAATACTCCCAGTCAACGAAGCCAAGTCCTATGTTCTGGTGTATTAAGAGCATTTTCTAACAAAGCTTTGTGTACTAAATATACTGAACATCAAAAGTTCCTGTGACATTGAATAACATTTAATGCAAAGATATGTTTTTTTACCAAAACTGAAACAATTTCGGTTTGCAACAGATAAAGGACTCCTGTAAGTGTTCAAATGGTTTAATTTGCCATATTGACTTCAGAAAATGCGTGAATTCATAAAAAAAAAAACATGAACATTCCAAAATGTCAATTTACAAATCAATAGCGTGTGTGTCCACCTCTGTTTGCGATGCAAGCAACCCATCTTCGTCTCATGGAATGGACCAGGCGTCGCACAAAGTCCTGTGGAATATCTGTCCATATCTGCTGGAGCTTGTTTCGAAGTTCCTGGAGTGTCTGTGGAACACGTGGTTGACATCGAAGGCGCCGATCCATCTCATCCCACATGTGCTCGATTGGTGAGAGATCAGGGGAGCGAGCCGGCCAGGGGATGACATTCACGTTGTTTTGTTGAAGAGAATCCTTTACAAGTCGAGCAATGTGAGGCCGGGCGTTGTCATGTTGAAAGGTAATGCCTGGGCTATGACGACGCAAAAACGGTAGAACAACATGGTCGATGATCTCGTCGCGGTAGCGCTGTCCATTGATATTTCCCCTATACCACTATCAAACGGGTCCTCTGTCTTGCTGTAATTCCACCCCATCCCGCTGCCGCCCCCGAACCGACTCCTTCCATGACACAATGATTGACATAACGTTCACCTCGACGTCGGTACACTCGAATCCGTCCATCGCTGTGGCTGAGGTGAAAACGAGACTCGTCAGTGAATAGAACTTGTCCCCACTGCATGGTCGTCCAGCGTAGACGCTGTCTGCACCACTGTAGACGTGCTTGACGATGGTTTCCTGTCAAAATGGGACGTCTGGCGGGTCTTCTGGTGGCAATCCCTGCACATCTGAGGCGACGACGTAAGGTTTGTGAAAATATTCGTCGAAGGCCAGGGATGCTTCTTGCAGTCACTGTTGGTAGCTGGAATCGATTTCGTAGGTGTGTTGTTCGAATCCAGTTGTCTTGTCGATTATTGGTTACGCGTGGCCTGCCACTCCGAGGATGGTCTCTGACTGCATTCGTCTGTTGCCAACGTTGCCATAAACACCAAATGGTAATTCCCTGGACGTTAAATTGTGTAGTGCACAACATCACCTTGACTCGATCCTGCTTCAAGCATACCAATGGCTCGCAGACGCTCATTTTCGGACAGGCGTAGCATTTCGCAATGTTGAATAATTGCGTAATTTTGTTGTTTTTCTGAGTGGTTGTTGTCAGCACGATGCTAAACAATGCATATGGAATCCCGTTAACGCACATGTTTTTATACCCATTCTTGGGTAATGAAATGCATGGGCTTGCATAAAAGTTAACTTTTGCATGGAATGCACGCTTTTCTGTAGCAGTTGCGTTTTTGTGCCTTGATCCCATACATGTACTACAATATTGAAAACCAAACTTTACTTGTTTGAAAAATACACTAACATATTGGTGTCACAGGAACTTTTGTTGTTGAGTATAAGTCGACACAGCTGCTTGCCAGTCAGCGAATAACGAGATCCAAGCTTTTATCACACAAACCTATGATGAAATAACCTGATTTCTTTAAATATTTAGCCTGTGTCACAGGAAGTTTTGTTCTTGAGTATATATACCTCTCTTCGCAACAACTGAGCATTTGAACAGGCAAAGAAGTTGACTACATATTTTATCTGACAATGTGACAGATTTACCCAATATGACAAATCCAAGCATGGCTTTAGCTGATGTCGGGGCCATGTCGGGGCAGGACAGGAAGGCAGGTCTCACGATGTACTCTGCGGCCGTCAGCGACGCCAGTCCGATGGACAGGGGCCGGACAATGACCAGCTGCGTCCACAGGAACACAAACCCAGCCAGGTCTCCGAAAGCCTCTCGGATGTAGGTGTAGGTGCCCCCGGATTTCTTAACACGGGTACCTGGAATGTGTCAACATTCTCATTTAATGATATAAATACACAATAGTCATTTTATTATATCAATGTGATCAACACACAAAATATAACTGCCAGTAAAGTACTTTTTAATATTGTTTTTGTATTTTGTATTTTATTTTTTTATTATTATTATTATCATTATTATGTACAGATAAAAAAAAAATGCAACAAAGAGGGTTCGGGTGATCCTGGCACAGTCAGACTGGTTAGGCTCATCATCAGCTTAGGGCCCTTGCCCCCTCTACACGCAGCCCAGAAAGCGAATGGGACTTCTCCAAGGAAGCACTGCTTAGTCAAACCCACCCAATTTTTTTCAATGTGAAGACTCCCCAACACTGCAGCCTTCTGCATTACCCAGATTGTCAGAAGGGTTGTATTCCTGGTAGCAAACCCGGGTACTCTCCAGATAACACAGTCAACAGATTGGGAGGTACCAAACCTAAGGCACCGAGAACAATGGGGAATCGGAAAACGGACAGATTGTTTATTAAAGTCTTAAAAAGGTACGTTATAAAATCATTAAAAGTAAGCCGCATGTTAGAGGTTGAGGAAGACTTTTAAAGCAATATCAAAGTAGCATGTATACAAGATCACACAACATATCTAAACCATAAAATGTACAGGCATTAAAATATACACTGTATCAATATTAAGTAAAAAGACATTGTACGACGTACCATATTCAGCATAGCACATCGCAGCGCAGTAGGTTAAAGCTCCACACAGCGCCCACACAATGAGCGACAAGCCCACTGAGGATCCTACCCCTTCAAGTACGGCTGTCGGGCTAATGAAAATACCCACACCTAAACACAAACAATGCAGAGTTTGTACCTGAATGTAACATCAGCTTTGTATCATTCCACCACACTAACATATAGTCCCTGAAATGACGTTATGTATACAAATAAGTCTATAAGGAGGCTTTCAAATCTCTTAATTTAAAAACACATATAACTTAGAATGGAAGAGTATTGGCTGATAGAAATGAGAATGTGATTCTATAGGCTGTTAGAACTGAGAAGGGGGTTCTGTAGGCTGATAGAGCTGGGAATGGGATTCTGTAGGCTGATAGAGCTGAGAATGGGATTCTGTAGGCTGATAGAGCTGGGAATGGGATTCTAAAGGCTGTTATAGTTGAAAATGGGTTTTATAAGCTGACAGAACTGAGAATGGGATTCTGCAGGCTGATAGAGCTGAGAATGGGATTCTAAAGGCTGTTATAGTTGAAAATGGGTTTTATAAGCTGACAGAACTGAGAATGGGATTCTGCAGGCTGATAGAGCTGAGAATGGGATTCTAAAGGCTGTTATAGTTGAAAATGGGTTTTATAAGCTGACAGAACTGAGAATGGGATTCTGTAGGCTGATAGAACTGTGAATGGGATTCTAAAGGCTGTTATAGTTGAAAATGGGTTTTATAAGCTGACAGAACTGAGAATGGAATTCTGTATGCTGATAGAGCTGAGAATGGGATTCCAAAGGCTGTTATAGTTGAAAATGGGTTTTATAAGCTGACAGAACTGAGAATGGGATTCTAAAGGCTGATAGAACTGTGAATGGGATTCTATAGGCTGTTATAGTTGAAAATGGGTTTTATAAGCTGACAGAACTGAGAATGGGATTCTGTAGGCTGATAGAGCTGAGAATGGGATGCTAAAGGCTGATAGAACTGAGAATGGGATTCTATAGGCTGTTATGGTTGAAAATGGGTTTTATAAGCTGACAGAACTGAGAATGGGATTCTGTAGGCTGTTAGAACTGAGAATTGGATTCCAAACGCTGATAGAGTTGATAATGGGATTATGTAGGCTGATAGAGCTGAGATTGGGATTGTGTAGGCTGTTAGACCTGAGCATGGGATTATGTAGGCTGTTAGACCTGAGATTGGGATTGTGTCGGCTGATAGACCTAAGATTGGGATTGTGTAGGCTGTTAGACCTGAGCATGGGATTATGTAGGCTGGTACAGCTGAGCATGGGATTATGTAGGCTGATAGACCTGAGATTGGGATTGTGTCGGCTGATAGACCTGAAATTGGGATTGTTTTAGGCTGTTAGACCTGAGCATGGGATTATGTAGGCTGGTACAGCTGAGCATGGGATTATGTAGGCTGATAGACCTGAGATTGGATTTGTGTCGGCTGATAGACCTGAGATCAGGATTGTGTAGGCTGTTAGACCTGAGCATGGGATAATGTAGGCTGTTACGGCGGAGCATTGGATTCTGTAGGCTGAAACAGCTGAGAATGGGATTCACCAGGGTTGATGAAGCAGAGGATGAGGGTGGAATGGACTGGGGTTGTTGTTTATTTAATATAAGCTCTGGGTCTGTACGAGAGACTACCATTTCATGTGTGTCCTAATTACAGTCTAACTGGTCGAGTACAATTTTAGCATGAGTTTCGTTTTATTGATATACAATGTCTTAATGCATATCTTATCCTAAGTGTACGTCCGCTCGCACCACGCTGGTGATCCTGCCTCCACATTATTATGGTTGAAATACTGAAAAACAGACCTTCTTTGACCAGTGCCCAGATAACCTTCTACGTGTCTACGGGGGCATGGATGATTGACTCGTCTGAGGCACCGCAATTCTCTGCGTCCATATTCCTGCCAGAACCCTATGCTAGCGGGATCGAATTTCAGACTTCTAGATTATGTTTCAAGGTTGGTCAGCACCATACCCGTGCTTGTGGGTTTCACCAAAGTGGTAAACGTCTAAAACCTGCATCACTTCAGGCTTTCATCCCACATCAAAATGACAAGCCGTCATATAACTGACATAATTTGCGGGTCGGCGTTAAACCAAACTCACTCACTTAATAACTGTCCTTGGTTTAAAATAACAGATCTTACCTATGATACTGCCAACGATGTAACTAGTTGTGCTGATGAGACCAAGTTGTTTCTTCAAACTGATATCTGGGTGATCTCCATTGGTTGCCATGGTTATATGCAGCTGTAACCACATTAACTCAAGCTCCATAAATTTCATACATCACTTAGAACGATATTACCCTTATGCATGATCCCGGACGAAATTTTAAGAAAATGTCTATAAGTATGGATTACTCGATATAATTTCCATAAGATACGACCTTAAAGGATGTGTGTACACACTAAAATCCCTTTCTTTGTTATTTGAAACAAAATGCAATTTTAGAAATAGTTAATATCAATATTTGAAAATATACACTCATTTTCCTCACATTAAGAGTAGGAAACTCAAAATAGTGTGAAAATGTCATGCCATTATGGGGCCTTCGTTTTCCGATCTAAACAGCCGGAGTTATCCCCCTTAGATTATGAGTAATTGGTGTCAATTTAACTGGGTCCCTGTTTAGTCACAACGCAAAAGATATCAAGTACCAGTTTATGGTGAGACAACCGACCGCTGAGTACTTACCCCACCAGCGATAGACACGTTAGCTAAAGGGCTCCACACAGGCCATCTACTTAGGGTAGGGTCCCTTTTAGCCCAAAACTCAGTTATGACGGTGGAGCAGCTGCTCGGGTTTCGTGCGGGTTGGACGTTGCAGGTGGAGGCAGCTCAGCAAAAGTAGACCTCGAAGGATGATAGAATAAGACAACAAGAGTGCGTAGTACAGATCTCTCCGAGACGGGGGTGGTTGATGGCGGAATGAAGAGTCTCTACCGCGATTTTCTACCTTGGCGAGATACAGTCAAATAGAGACGCATCGCTCGAACTGGAAAGAGGGAGAGATGTTCTTGGTCATCCGATCCCAAGATCGACGAGAGCGGGAACCCGTGAAGATCTGGCTTAGAATAGGTCTTCAGCAACCCATGCTTGCTGTAAAAGGTGACAATGTTTGACAATCGATCCCAATTGCGTGGCTCGACACTCAAGATATCAATCACTGGATTGTCTGTTCCAGACTCGATTATTTACAGACCGCCGTCATATAGCTGAAATACTGCTGAGTGTGGCGTTAAACAAACAAACATACAAACGAGTACGGGGAAATCCTTAATAGCCGATCAGGGTGGACGGGAAGTTGATTCTTTGCTATAAAATCCCAACGAAGGCCTAGGAATCCTGTCGACATCCAAAGCATGTATCTCACCAAGGCGAGCTGCTGTAGCCATGGCCAGTAGGAATGGGTCTTCAGCGTGATTGTTTCGTAGTTCTCATCCGCCAGTGGCTCGTAAACATTGGGAGTCAAGTGTAACAGGATCACATTGAGCTCCCGCGCTATGGGCCGAAATCGCGAAGACTGGTCCGCTAGCTTGAAGGAGCGAATGAGGAATTGGAGTTCTGAAACAGTGGAGACGTTCGCACCGGAAGTAGTAGCAATAACGGAGTTAATCGCCACCCGATCCCGTTAGTCACCTCTTTATGGCATACATAGTCACCTTTTATGGCAAGCATCGGTTGCTGAAGACCTATTCTAACCCGGATCTGCATGGGTCCCAGACAATAACGATTCAAGTTTAGACATAATGATGATTAAGACAAGATCGCGTTAGTGGCCTCTTACGACAAGCATGGGTTGCTGAAGACCTATTCTAATCCGGATCTTCACTGAATCGAATGACCAAGAACATCTCTCCCTCTGTCCAGTTCGAGCGATGCGTCTCTATTTGACTTTATCTCGCCAAGGTAGAAAATAGCGGGAGACTCTTCATTCCGCCATCAACCACCTCCGTCTCGGAGAGTTCCCGTACTACGCTCTCTTGTTGTCTTATTCTATTCTATTCAACGTCCAACCCGCACGAGACCCGAGCAGTTCTTTCCACTGTCGTAACTGAGTTTGGGGCATAAAGAGACCCTACCCACAGTTATCCAAAACGTACTGCCTTTCTGTGTCATGGTCAATGTAAGCCATGACTCTACAACTCGCCTGGTCAGGAATGGGTCATCTAAGTCAGGGAGTAATTGGTCTATCGGCCGTTATTCCGAACTGCCCTCATCAAAATTCATTTATGGGCCCGTACACACAAATAAAACCACAACACCAGGTTATACTCACATTATTTAACTAAGCTTCAGTCCATCGATCAAAATACTTCGAAGCAAGACCAGGTAGGCTTGTCACAGAAAGGGAAAACGGAGTGGTGGCGATGTGCTTCAGTCAACTGAAAAGCCCGCACTACTCCGTGATAAAAGTATCTTTTTAAGGTGATCGAGTCTCACCTTTCTTTGTCACATGTCGTTATACATCAATTTGATTCGTTAAAAATTATATCAGACCATGAACCCATGTGTGTCGTAATTGAAAAAAACCCAATGAACTCCTGACCGATGCGTCATCCTTTTATTGATTTCCTGCAGCACCCTGTCTAATTTTTCACGATGAAAGTGTTCACGCTCGTCTGATTAATTGAATAAAGACAACATCGAAACAATCACGATGATAAATGGGAAATGTCATTTCTCTATCGATTCCCTTTTATGTTTGCGTTAACTCGAACATTTCTGTCGCCTTTACTTTTAATAAAACATCAGCAGCACTAAAGCTATCCTGACTATACAGCAAACTTACCTGAGTTACTTCAACTTTACAGTGATTGTTTACAAATCACCGCCCAGTCAGGATCTTGGTGAGAGTGCAGCCAATTTAGCCCGTTTCCATAAAAGGATGTACACCAACTGCTTCCAAAGAGTTTCAGAACCAGCGGGTATCTATAGCGGAACACAACAGCAACTAAGCAAGAGTGAATATGCGCAAAAGAAATGGACGAATAAGCACAATACATATGACGGACCCTGCCAACTATCATCGTGAATCAGTGCGTTATCCGTGCATTGTTGTCTTCTCTTTGGCGATTTTTGAAAAGGAAAATAATTTCAGAGTAATTGTGCTAAGCCTTGTATTTTGAACATCACAGCACTGAACAAAACAGTAGGCTGCGCAAGCTAGAAACACACTCCTGTACCTACACCACGTGAAACGAGTCTAATAATGTCTTGTGATGTCATTCCTTTATCAATTGGCACCAGTGACGTCATATTTCAAGGGACATAAGCCATTGTGTGTTTATTATAGTAATAGACCAATCAATAAATGTGAAAAATATGAACCGATTTAATGCAAAAATTAAATCAGTTATTTGTGATATTTGTATTGTTTTGTCTATGAAACTAGATGGTAAATACTATTTCACAAATACAAATACCAAACCCGCTGCGCCCCTCGTGGTATAGACTCCCTGTAGTGTATTATTGTACATAAACAACTCCCACTCGTTTATTTCTTAAATATGATATAAGGCTTATGTATATATTATGTTCTGTCTTATTTTCTGTGCTATGTTTTGATATATGACATGGGGGCGTATGTATAATTATGTTCTATGTCTTATTTACTGTGCTATGTTTTAATATATGACATGGGGGCGTATGTATAATTATGTTCTATGTCTTATTTACTGTGCTATGTTTTGATATATGACATGGGGGCGTATGTATAATTATGTTCTATGTCTTATTTACTGTGCTATGTTTTGATATATGACATGGGGGCGTATGTATAATTATGTTCTATGTCTTATTTACTTTGCTATGTTTTGATATATGACATAGGGCGTATGTATAATTATGTTCAATGTCTTATTTACTGTGCTATGTTTTGATATATGACATAGGGCGTATGTATAATTATGTTCTATGTCTTATTTACTGTGCTATGTTTTGATATATGACATGGGGGCGTATGTATAATTATGTTCTATGTCTTATTTACTGTGCTATGTTTTGACATATGACATGGGGGCGTATGTATAATTATGTTCTATGTCTTATTTACTTTGCTATGTTTTGATATATGACATAGGGCGTATGTATAATTATGTTCAATGTCTTATTTATATGTTCTAGTATTATGTGTATGTTCTACATCTTATGTGCATGTTCTGTCGTATTTATATGCTGTCTTCTACAGCAGAGATTTCTTATAATTATGGAAATTTATTTTTTCCTTTTCCGGAAAACTTCTATGTCTAAAGTGTACGTGCCACAATATGTCGTCTTATTTATATCTCCTGTCTTATTTATGTCTTGTTTTATTTGCTTGTTCGATAGCTACGTCTTACGTATATGTATGTGTTCTCTTACAGGGGGCACAGGAGACCCAATTGTCTATGGTGTCGCAATTCGCTGTGCACATTTGCGTCCTTAGGGTCTGCCAGAAACCTGTGACACTCGGTTCGATTCCGGTTCGCCCGAATGTTTCTAGGTTTGTCAGCACCATACCCGTGCTTGCTTCACCAAAGTGGTAAACGTTTGAGACCTGCATATATTCTTTATTCATCCTTAGAGTTGGGAGATTACAAAAACATGCTCAGGAGATGAGATTATGTAGTACATAATGGGATCTTACTGTCACAGATGATAAATAAATGCCTTTACCGAATGTTCATAGGAGTATGTTGTGGCAATGCTCTGTATCAGTGCATAGAGAGTCCTCCTCCACACATCAGATGTACATAACTGACACCCACAGAGATTAATTGTTCAGACTCGTCTTCGTTCAGTTCGTGGTGAGGCCTACAGGACAGTATTAATAGCACAAGCTCAATACCAGACAGGCCGTGGAGGTGTACACTAAAGCCTATAGGTCCAATGTTGATCAGTTCACAACAAAGTTGATCCCGTATATCATTAAGGTCATCACAGTGAACAATTCTTTGGATGCGAGAGTCTCTGTAGGTCTACCACATGTCTCACAAGAGGGTAGAATAGGTCTTCAGCAACCCATGCTTGTCGTAAGAGGCGACTAACGGGTTCGGTGGTCAGGCTCGCGTGACTTGGTTGATGCATGTCATCGTATCCCAATTGAGTGGATTGATGCGCATGGTGTCAATCATTGAATTGTCTGGTCCAGACTCTATTATTTACAGACTGTCGTCAAAAAGGTGGAATATTGCTGAGTGCGTGGTTAAACAACAAACAAACAAACAAACAAATACAAAGGAATGCCACGTCGTTAAGATCCCTTATAGAAGCACAGACATGGATGAGAAACTTTGCAGGAACTCTGCGCAAGGGTTAAGTTGGCTGAAATACAAGTTTTTGGTGCATTAATGAAAACCAAAGATTAGTTTTGTTTTATTTGCATGTTCGATAATTACGTCTTACGTATACGTATGTCTTCTCTAAGGTGCCGAGATTCTATGTGCAGAGTTGCGTCCCTTGGGCCTGCCTGTGACTGTTGGTTCGAATCCCGGTTCCCCCCGATTATGTTTCCAGGTGTGTCAGCGCCATACCCATGCACGTGGGTTTCACCGAAGTGGTAAAGGTCTGCTACCTGCATCACTTGGGCCTTCCTCCCACATTAAGCTGAGACGCCATAATATAACTAGAATACTGTTCAAAGTGGCGTTAACTCTCACTCATGCAATTAATAAATCTAACATGTTGTATTATCACAACCTGAAAAACCAGTGGCTGATATCATGAACACCGACCCTGACCACCCGATTCATTTTCGTCGCCTCTTACGACAAGCATAGCGTACTGTGGGTGCGTTCTGACCTGGATTCTTCAATGGCTTGTCCGTAAAGAACTGTAGTGGTAATACCACGGGTATATCTTCCTATGAATGTCAAACGTCAGAAGATGATGTAACGAGAATACCAGGGTCTTGCGGGATTATTGTCAGAGAATATAGATTCGCTATTCGCATGAACAATACTACTTCACTTAATACCATATTCGCTATTTACATGAACAATAACACTACTTCACGGAAAAGCATTCCCTATTCATATGAACAATAAAACTACTTCACTAAAAACCATATTCGCTATTCACATGAACACTAACACTACTTCACGGAAAAATATTCCCTATTTATATGAACAATAAAACTACTTCACTAAAAACCATATTCGCTATTCACATGAACAATAACACTACTTCACGGAAAAGCATTCCCTATTCATATGAACAATAAAACTACTTCACTAAAAACCATATTCGCTATTCACATGAACTGTAACCAAGACTCAATGGCCACGTGCACAATGAGACTGTTTTACTGTACGTCCCATATCTGCTACCAACATGTGCAATCAAGATGTCCCTATTTCACAATTCACACAAACAATAAGGCAATTTGGCCATATTTCTCAGATTCGCTTTCGGATAACAATTACTTTTTTTATTTTATCGTGTATGTTCTACATTCCCTCTTCGTATCTAAATAACCATGACAATACAGCTGCCATTCATTCCACGTTCGCTGTCACGTTTGACCATGCTGGCGTGAAGTATAATTTTTTGACCAGTTCAGCAATACTGATATATAGACATTAAAAATACAGAATCTGTCATATACATGCTGCACATACCAAATTATTCTTATTGTTCTGAAACACCTGTTTCACTTTTCATTAATACTAATTCTGTTAATCCACATACAATGGAATCTGTGAAAACTGGACTCTGGTTAATCCGGATCTGTCAATACCTGACCACTACGTTAATACGGTGTTGGAGCGGGGCATCGAATTTCTTTTTAAAAAGTGGTACCGCAACGCCGTTAATTTCATCATCAAGTAGAATTTGTGTAAGTCTTAATTCCTGAGTTGGATACTGAACTTCCTTAGCATTGAACCAAGTAATCACGCAGTTGACGCTCCCTAATCCGGATTAACTGTTTACACATCCGGCATAAGCTGTTCATATATTCTATTGTAAGTGCAACTGCGAAACAAACTGTTAGAAATTATTATTTTTAAATCAAAGTGACAAAATTAATTATATCCTACATTTTAAATAAATCTATTTTCTAACGTTAGTTTTCAGAAAATACTATTTCATTTTTCGAGTACTTGTGAGAGTTTAGTTTGATTTTGTTTTATTTGTTTGTTGTTTAACACCGCACTCAGCAATATTCCAGCTATATGACGGCGGTCTGTAAATAATCGAATATGGACCCGATGATCTGCATCAACCAAGTCAGTGGGCCTGGCCAACCAATCCCGTTAGTCGCCTCGTACGACATGCATAGTCGCCTTTTACGGGTTTAGTTTGAGGCTGCTTTAAACAGTATTCCTGCGAGATGACGGAATGCCATATATATGTTGGAGGAAAGTTATATGATGCAGCTTGTGTTCACTGTTACCACATATAAGAAACCCAGGAGCACGGGGGTGGTGCCGACAGACCAAGTGGTATGTTTATACTCTTGGCGAATATGTGATTCGGACCCAACATCAGCCTTCACCACTTGGTAAAACCCGCGAAGGTACAGCTCTGGCAGGCCTCTCATAATCGGGACGATTTGGGGTAGACTGACATTTAGTCCCAGAAATAAAGAAATTTATTTTTTAATATATATTTACAAAACTAAAAAAATCCAAATGGACCTCAAAACAATCTTTAATTTCAGGAGCTAGAGCTCATACAATCTAGACTTGCCAAATTATTGTAGAGACCTACTCTTTTTTAATGTATTCTCTAGGGTCTGGTAGACTAGATTTTTGGGATTCAACCCACGAAGAGCGGATACTGGATTGGCTAAGGGAATCAACTCTGCAGAGAGTTGCGACGCCTTATATACCACTCAAAGGAACTTAAAGAACACCCGACTGTTCCATATGACTATAGTTCTATAATTTCTCTTGAGTAGGTCCGCCGCATGTGATGTGTCCTGTTGAGTCACTGACTGCGATAGAACATACGTAATATATCATTAAAAAGAACACAGCAGTGATTTCCTTTCTTTTAATAATTTCTGCATGGGTTGTTGTAAAATACACAGGACGTATGTTACAATCACCATACCCCAGAACATTGCAATACCACTTGTAAAATAAATTATGTCATGAGACGTTGAATATTCTTCAACATGACTAGATGACTAAAACATCAGAATACTTGGACAGATTAACACGTCTTTGACACTAGTTAACACAGTGTAGCTTTGGATATCTGTCTGTAAAACACAGTAATAAATAGAAATAAAATCTACATTATGACTGGATATCTGAGATCACTAAATGAACATAAAAGTCAGATCTATCGGTCGTTGTCAGCTTAACAAGTCATCACTGATGCACAACGACATAATACTGTTTATCACATTACAGCTTATAGGTACGTGGCACCACTGAACCACCATCACTGAGATCAGGTTTCAGAAGACGAGTCTCTGGCGTTTCGGCTTAGGGGTGACATCATGGGCCCTACGGGGGCTCATCACCTCATTTCCGACCCCCAAGGCGTTCTCGTCAGACACGGAACGCTTTCTCTTTTCAGAGCTAAACAACAAACGGCAGTCGCCTGTCTTGCGAACTTTCCAGAACATCTTTAAATTGGATTTCTGGGCAACGGGCGTAACAACTACCTTACACAACTTTAACTTGGTATCACTAGTCTTATGGCTGTAGTATGTGACCTTATTTTTGTCTTTCTCACATCTGACATTTGATGTATTCGTGTTTTGTTGACTGGATGGATTAGCATCCACACTGAGAAGCAGCTTCAGCTTTAGTTGTCCGGGGGTGGGGATTGATGCCGTCACCTTTGGCAACTGGACGGGGGAACCTACAGACATCGGAGTCTCGTTTATTTTCAGAGCAGGCGTAGTTTCAATGGTGGAGTCAGATGCACGTGATGTACTTGTACATGACGTCATGGTTTGTGATGTTGAATTTTCACTCGAGTCATCGGAAGAACTTTCGGTACTCGTGCATGACGTCATTGACTGAACGTGTGGCGACACAATCGTATCATCTAACTCACGTGCTGAACCCGTGCATGATGTAAGAGACGTGAGTGGCCGGGGTTCGACCGTATCAACTGCGCGAGCTGAATTTGGACATGGGCCTACTGACTGTGACGTCTGCTCGCGGGGCGTGTTGACAACCATTGGCGATTCGTGTGTAATCTGAGATACGACGTTTTCGTTTTGCAAAGATAAATTGTCTATTAGATTTTTCAACACGTTCGTTTGAGAATCCGTTTCAGATACTTCAGAAAACATATTGGCTTCAGCGACATTGTCACCGAGGATACATGAGAACATATCACAATCGTTCAGCGTCAATACAGGCGTGACGGAGTTATCCACCTTGTCTGGTACTGCTGGGATGGGGATTTCACCAGATAGAATGGCATCGATACAGGGAAGTGTAGTAGTACTGTTGGTGATGTTTGTAGTGACAGACGACGCCGGCAACATCGGCAACCCCTCCGTGGGTGGAGCGATATTTTTGACATCCTCTACATTGGCGACATTGTCGCCGGGGACGTCGAAGTCGTAAACATCTTTAGTGGGATGTGTCATTTGAATGTCTGGGGACGTTGCCGGAGTGACATCAGACTTGTAACAAGGGGGTTTGTCAACATTACGAATAGGAATGTGCTTGAATAAAAACTTGTACAAATTCGGTAATTTTCGCACAATTTTGTCCAACACTGCGAAATTTTCTTTATTCCTGACAAACTTCTGATGCCCAGCACTCCTGCTGTGTGTCCGAAGAGAGTCCTTGTACCAGCACTGACACATCTCGCAATAGCCCCCCTTGTTGTGAGAAAAACGACTCGGTTTTGGCCCCTTTTTCACTGTACTCCCTGTCGTGGGGCGGACGAGAACCACTGGACAGTCAAAAGGCGACCCGCCCCCGTTGTCGGCATACAGCAAGGGCATATTTTCTAGTTTCTTATGAATCGGTTTATACTGGCACGAATCATCCTCCACTTTAATAAAACACTTATCTTCCCATTTTATGGGAAGAAATTCATTCGGGGGTTCCTTTTTGGTTACCTGTTTATTCGATGCCCCAAGCTCCTTGCAGCGTTTAATGAAACCGTGAACATGCTCAGTGGTGATCCCCATCTCCGCCGCCTTGTCTTGAATATTACTTGCATTGTTCACCTCGGATGCCAAACTTTCACTTGTGTTTTTCCTAGCTTTCAACAACAAAGCTCTTCCTCGACTCAGGGGAATGTCTTGTTTACGTTTCGCTATATCGCCACGATCGAGGGTGGTTTCCCCCCGCAATCGACTCGGTCTCTTTGTCAGAGGGCGAGAATCCGATACACAAACATGTACGTCGTTTGACAGAAACGTTTCTACGGAGCCTCCCAACTGACGAATATATCCCTCGACACGTTGTCGCACAGGTTTGGATTTCACATCAACATAAAATGACTTACTTTTGAAAGGCATTGAGCGGAATTCCAGCCTCCGTCTCGCGCAGGCTTCGGGACTATCGTCCATGCTATCACACATCGCCTTGTTCGAATAGCCCTCGCTTTTGTCACGTGACCTAGGTGAAGATATTTTTTTCCCATACACGATCTTCGCTGATGTAAACAAACTCTTGTCTTCGCATATATATTAAGTGAAGACTTGTGCACAATATTTCAAGAAAACATCTCCAATTTCCGTGTGTTACGTCCTTATTACGTGTCCATGTTGAACTGACTTGGACACGAGGAGTTTATGTCGTCTGGGGGTTTAAGATGGAACAGTCCATGTAGAGGGGAGGAAGGTTGTGATAAGGTCAGACCAGTTTACGTGGCCGATCGCTGTACTGATTATTGCGAAATGTTTTACAACATATATACTTGTAATGTAGTACAAAGGAATATATTTCACGAGGATCGTTTATCTTGAACATATACTCACACTATTTAACCTGACCACCCCCGCACGAAATGTGGAGGTCGGCTTATGTCACTCACAGCAATTCGTACAGCTAGGGGGTTGCCACGGTCCAATGCACCCAGGTGACACCAGACTCGCAAAGTAATACGCTCACTACAGCGTCTCATTTAGATAGTTCTTTCGTTTGACATGCAGCTGGATTATCGCACTGTTGTGTAATTCTGCCAATTTAGTAGGCATTCCACAATTTAAGTTAATATTGATAATTAGACAATTTCATACAGACTGCATTTATTGACACTAATTATGTTTAGTCTTTTTTTCAAAGATAGTATTTAAAGTAAAACTCTCTTTTTTTAAGTCGATGTGAATTTCAGCACACAGATATATACATAGACTTCCCTTTTCCAATACAGTGAGTTTATTCGATTTTCATCGAAATTCTACGTTATCCTTAGTTCAAGAGCAACGTTCTCTTTTGCAAAAAAAGGTTTGACAGTGTTTACATATATGTGACAGTGTTTGCGGATATTTGACAGTGTTTACAGATATTTGATAGTGTTTGCGGATATTTGACAGTGTTTACAGATATTTGACAGTGTTAGCAGATAGATGTACACGTGAAGTGCACTATACCTTTGGCGGAGACAGGTGGCAAGACGCTTACATAGCATCACAGTTTTAGCTTATGCTTATTTAAAAAAATTAATATAATACATTTGCATGTTTGTTTTTCTTTCAACAAGTCACCTCTACAACATAATCGGATTTATCTAACAACATGATCCATAAAATAAAATATTGAACATTTGTACACTATTTTTATCACTTTATAATGGTTAGAATCTATTATTTTACAGTGTTGGAATCGCATATATATTTCAAACGAAAGATTATTAAGGGTTTGATAAAGAATGAAATAACGATAAATATACTATATTGTCCATCTCATTCGTTTACACCAATACTCTTGTACCAACACCTTTCGCAGTCATAGCACCTTAGGGCTGTGCGTTGTTACACACGTGTTAGAAACTATAAACGCATACGTTTAACTACATTCTATTTTAATGAAGAATACAGATATGATATTTTTTAATTTAAAAAAAAAGGAATTAGGTATAGGTTCATTTTTTTTAAAACAATACTTATTTCCACTTGGTACAGTGAAAGGGGATTGATAAACAGGCAGAGCCTATATAAATATCTCTCCCCAACACAATTCAAACAAGCAGCAGTAGTTTAATTATACAGTAGTATAGACTTCAGTTACATGTGGAAAATCAAAGGTAAACAGTTGTTAGCGAGATATATATAAGAGTGCATGTTTAGACAAATCTTTTGCTCATAGAGAAGAAATGATATACAGAGTCAACGATATTCAGCAGTATTTCTTTGTCTAGGCTGACGTTACCAAACAGGACGGCTCGAAGGTCATATCCATTAACATTACAATAGCTTTCAGATCTAATCTCAGTATAATTTGGGCAAGTATGTAGGTAATGTAAAGCGCTTTCATTGAAAAAACCACATGAACATTCAGGATTATCGCTAATAAATCTTTCAAATTTGTGACCGTTTACATCACTACATCCCAGTCTTAACTTACATTGGATTATCTGATTAACGCGTGAACCAATATTTTTAAATATGTCAGGCACTTCTGATTTACTACTGTTATACAGTTTTTTAAACTAAGATAATGAAGCGGCTTCTGTCAAAGTAGAATCTAGTACATTCCGGGCGGAGACTGTGGAAGGTAAAAATGTTTTTTTTAAATAATTCAGTTCGGCAGTTAGGCTTATAATATTCGTTAGTTTCATAATGTGGGCGATCCAAGGTTTTTACAGGTACCATATCACATAAATAACTTGGTGCTGTCCCGCTTTTCATTTTATAAAAAATGCATAACTTGTGAAAGTGTCGTCTTTAAGCCAAAGAGGATAGAAGGTTTCGTTATATATTTTTGTATGACTTGTGCCCCTCACGGCACCACATATTGTCCTAAGTGCATCTAGATGTAACATTTCTAGGTTTCATCATATTATGGATCGTCTTTTCAAGAAAGGAATTGCTTACGTTATAGGTATTATACCACCATTAATTATTTACAAAATGTTAATTGATAACATATATACATAAATATATGTATTTAATCGATTAATGTTGCCCTTTGATGTAACCTCTTTGTTTACGTCACTGATTTTGTAGGTGAGGTGAAATGGGGTTTAGCTCCCGTAGATTTTTATAGTATTGGTCTTTATATTGGCATATTGACTGTTGAGAGACCCTTTTACTTTTGGATATAAATACAAAACATATTATTATAATAACCCTATTTTTATTTATGCTAAAATCATAAATAAAGACATAATTTTAACTTTCTTTTCCCCTTCCCCCAACACGCTGTTTCTTCAGCCAATGTGATTGTTGTTTTACAGAAAATACAAATTCCTACAGCGGAAATTGGTTAATGGTGTAAGCATTCAAAAAGTCAGAACTTGACCTTGTAATGAGAAAATTGCAATTGACACCACATATCCTTGTACAAACAAATACCGCGCGGTGGTATAGCCTGAACATCAAAGTAATCTTATAGGTAATTACCACGTGATTGTACAATGCTTTTGTTTATTGAGGAAGTAATCGACTCAGTCGGGATAGAACTAAGATGCTAAACAAACACGGAAAAGACGATGAAGGGAGAGATGATAATAGATGCTAAGCATTTTTATCGACATACTTTGAAATACGTTACGAAACAGGACATTAAAACTATATTCTCGTCGAAATATAAACTCAATTAAATTAGTATTTTATAGTTTTGTCGAAGTTATGGGTTTTCTCCACATATCTGTTAAACAACAAATCTTATCTACAACAAAAATAGATTGTTGCACAGGAATTTCTTATCACCAAATATAAGCAATAGACATGAAAATGAACATCAGGTACACTGATCAGGAAATAAATTAACTATTGGCTGGACATTGCTTGATGCCGTAAATCATAATGTGTTGTGCAGGAAATATAGGTTGTTCTGCCCTTCCTTTCAGATAAAAAAAAGTGTTTGTTTGGAAGCACTTACCAACTTTACACAAAACTGCGTAGTTATTTGTTGTTAAGAATGTTTGTGAACACGACGTACTATCTTAAACAGGACTTACTAAACAGTTAGAGAAAGCCTTGTTTTAATTTCATTCTGTTTCATTTTTCGAAGAAAATTTTTCGGAATAAAACTGAAGACAATGAATGACAAACAGTGTAGTCTGACAAGCTGGAAACTTGCACCAAACAAGCTCAACTGTTGTCTAGAAGTTTCCTCTCAAGTTTCTATTGGTTTATTGCCATAGTAACGTCTTATTAGTCTTTAAATCTTGTTACTGTTAAAAAAGGCCGCTAATATAAAGACGATTGCATTCATAAGTTGCTTTTCAATTTTGTATTTCCTAATTCAGTGTTATCGTCACTGTATACTCATTCATTCTGGTTAACCTGTATTTGTGTCTATAATTAGGTTTCATGTCTTACAGATAGATAGATAGATAGATAGATAGATAGATAGATAGATAGATAGATAGATAGATAGATAGATAGATAGATAGATAGATAGATAGATAGATAGATAGATAGATAGATAGATAGATAGATAGATTGCACGCGCATTTATGAACATGTCGTAAAACATATGTTGTTGAGTTGTGACATCCAGTTTGTTGTTTTTGTAGGTGCGAAGCGAGAACAAGACCAGGTAACGCTCAGTGTTAATTAGATGAGGATGCTGGTGTCAGCAGCACTCAGCCTTGTCTCCCCGTGGTGTACTTGTTTGGACGCGGAGAGCTGGTGAGGTGTTGACAGGCAGTCATATACAGCGGGTTTGTTGTAGTAACAATACTGTCACTACCGACGGTTTCATGGGTGTGAGATGACTTGGGTTTTATTATTTAACCCACATAATTATAGGCACGGAGTGTTAGAAGCGCTCGTTCAATCTCCAACATACGTAAGACGAAAACAGGGCAGTGCATGGTTCAACATCGTTGTGTCTACATGACAATATACCTACTGCAATGTGTGTAGGTACGTTGGGATATGATTCAACACCCCTTTCTGTACACGGGAATGGACTGTACCAAACTACCAGCTATTCTACGTACGACAATAAACCTTAAATTGCTTGATAAGAGCAGAGACCATATACGGTATCGGTATATGGTCTCTGATAAGAGTGTAGGTACTTTGGGATGTTGGCACATAGAATACGGCCCGTTTACATTATGAACATATGTAAAACACTTAAAGAAAAACTTATTTTTACATTTGAGCTGTAATTAAACATTTTACTAGCAACTATACAAGGAATGTTTTTTAAGCATTTTAGGTGCCATAAATGTTGGACGTGGTTTAAGTATGTTGGATGCGTGGTTTAATTAACCATTTCAACGATTAGACACAGGGTCCTCGTGACCTGACCTATACACTACTACTACTACTACTACTACTACTAATAATAATAATACTAATACTACTACTAATACTACTACTACTAATAATAATAACAATACGTTTGCGTATGACAGCAATAATAGGTTAACCGGATATGCTAGCATAGATATTTTCCGTATAAGTACCATTATGTTCGTCCGCATTGATATCAGGCTTGCTGACTTGGTTGATGCATGTCATCGATCCCAATTGCATGGATCGATGCTCATGATATCACTCACTGGATTGTCTGGTCCACACTCGATTATTTACAGACCGCCGTCACACAGCTGGAACATTGCTGAGTGCGGCGTTAAACAACAAACCAACCAACCACATTGAGATTCTAACAGTATCTGGAGCCTTCTCTTTAGTCACCCCAACAATCCCGCCCCGAGGCAGCGTGACGCTCTACCCCCCAGGGGCCCCTATACCGCCACATTTGTTGCCATCTCTCCTATATAATACACGACACTGATCACGGGTGTCTGCGAGCTGACCGCTATACCCTGGAGCAATGTGGCGGGAGTTGTGTTACAAACGTCCATACAATGGATCTCTGCGACAAGTTTTAGTTTTTATTGCTTTTGATGTCCCGTTTCTCATTAAGGGCGGGGATTACATCACCTGTTTATCTTTTAGGCCTTTAACACACGATGTGTAGGTGGGCTAGTTCACGGACTTGCGTTAATGTACCTGTGGTTCGATTTAATCAATAACATGTCAAATTCCGATGGCATTTACTAAATTCAGAATTACACGGCTTTGCACAAATTAAAGGTTCGTCACAGGCTCTGAAAATTAAAATTGAACCCTGAAGACACCAGATTGTGATTTGTTGTTTAAAGCCGCACTCAGCAGTATTCCATTTATATGAGGTTTTTTCTTGAAAAGGGGTGATAGATACTGGCTGCCCATGGATATTATCTACCTAGTGTATATATCTTCAGTGACAGTAAAAGAATAAGTCAATTATTGCTGCTCACACAGTATCGTGAAGAATTCAAAGATAATAACCGCCTGGAAATATTGCAGAATGTATTTCATTCATTTTCCGCAGTTTGCATAATTCCAATATAAGCATAAATAACTGTAAACAGACCCATGCAGGTCTATATGTAACAGTGTTATTGTTTTAACGATGTAAACATGTTCATGCATAATTTCAGTGTGGCCGATACGTTTTGAATTAGACTTCTTTGAAACACTTTGGCGACATTGTTAAGATCATATACGCACAATATCAGCTATATCAACCTCGATGACAAGTCTTACAAAAAAATCACTTCACACCTAAACAGAAACCTATAACGAACCGTGGTGATCTGGGTTAGAATTGGTCTTCAGTAACCTATGCATGTCGTAACAGGCGACTAACGGGTGGTCAGGCTCACTGACTTGGTTGATGCAGATCATCGTGTCCCAATTGCGTAGGTCGATGCTCATGATATCAATCACTGGATTGTCTGCTCCAGACTCGATTATTTACAGACCACAGTCATATAGCTGCAATGTTGCTGAGTGCGACGTCAAACGACAAACAAAACCTACAATAGCAACCAAGAAAACATCAAGAATATTATGTATAAACAAACTACCCACCTTCCAGCGACTGAAGAGCTGCTGGGGCATTTGCTAAATGAGACCAAGCAGGCCACTCTTTGTTCATTTCATACGCAGACCAATGTTCGTTATCTAAAACATGTGTGTAGTTTCAATCTAAATATTTAAAAATAGCCAAACATCAATCCCGACATGCATTTATGAGCATACTTGTACCATCGGGATGTTATGAATATTGCTGTTGATGACATAATTGATCAGGTGCACATCGGTGTAGCGTATCTTGTAATGTACTATGTATAAATATAATTACATTACAGATATCTGAAGCATGGACGATTCCAAAAACAAAATGAAATATACATATGGAAAAAAACGTTAAGTACGAATTTATTTTTATATATCCCGATCTGCCATATATCTATAGAAAGATATACAACATATGTTTTTACAGGCTTCTGTATTTCAGTATGTCACGTCGCAAACAAAAACATATGTTTCGTCGGGAAATATATACAGGGTACGATCTTTAAGAAATGCTATTTTATATGGTGATATGAAGTTAATCATAATTATTGCCCGGTGCATATTTATGTAGGTCTTCAGCAACCCATGCTTACCGTAAAAGGCGACTATGGTTGTCTTAAGAGGATCGCTGACTTGGTTGATACATGTCATCGATCCCAATTGCGTGGATCGATGTTCATGATGTCAATCACTGGATTGTCTGGTCCAGACTCGACTATTTACAGACCGCCGTCATATAGCTGCAATATTGCCTAGTGCGGCGTTAAACAACAAACAAACAAACAAACAAACAAAAAGACATACAAGGGGTGGTTGAAACGCTCTGAGCCTGACAACAAAGGGTGTGTAGTATACACTTGTTTCCATGTATTAAGTATAAAATGTCCATTCTAACAGGCTCCATTGAAACCAAATACACACTGTCATGAAAACATTCAACTGCAAGGCAAAGGTTGATGAAATACATGATATGATTATGGTAGACTAACATCTAGTCTCTGAAATGAACATATCGTACAGAAAAAACAGTTGTTCAGTTATCTTAATAAACATATAATAAAAAGGGAGCCCAGTGATTCTCTTCATTTTCAGATACTGCAGTAATCTAGACTTGCCAAACTTTATAGACTTGCATGGGCTGTAGTTGATATATTTGTATCAGGGTCTGTAAGACTGCCTATGATTATGGATGATAGGCGACCCAGCACACGTCGCATACACAATACAGTGAGAGTTGAGAACATTCTGCGGAATGACCTGGGCCATCTTCCCGAGGCAAGGGAGTTAACTGACTATAAAAGTCCAGTTTCCACCCTTGCCGAACTAGGCTGGTATTATGGAGTTACATTTTGGCCTAGTTCGACAAGGGTGGAAACTGGACTTTTATAGTCAGTTAACTCCCTTGCCTCGGGAAGATGGAACTGGGCAGGGCAAAGGTTTCAGCAAGCTGGATTCCAAGCATTCTGCATGACGCCTGATCATGCAGAAACGCTCCAGGATCCTAGTCTCGCGTGTAAATTTACGTCGTTTTGATGCAGACCCAGTCTGGCAAGCAATACACACATGATGGTTTTTACACCACCAGGAGGAAGCTCTATACACCAGTGGGATCCAGGCTCTCCATCATCGTTAGCAGAAGTGGTTTGTTTGTTTGTTTGGTGTTTAACGCCGCACTCAGCAATATCCACGGCGGTCTGAAACATAATCAAGTCTGGGCCAGACAATACAGTGATTGACATCAAAAACATCGAAACACACAATTGGGATACGGCATGCATCAACTCCGTCAGCAGCCTGTCCACCTGATCCCGTTAGTCACCTCTTAAGACAAGAATAGTCGCCTTTTACGGCAAGCATGGGTTGCTGAAGACCTATTCTACGCCATCAACGCAGTCCATCAAAGTTTGACTCCGAATTTTCCAGCCCTTCGTATCAGTAGTTGCATACTAATTGAGGAGTAGTGAGTGAGTATGGTTTTACGCCGCCTTTAGCAATATTCCAGCAATATCACGACGGGGGACACCAGAAACCACACACTGTACCCATGTCGGGAATCGAACCCGTGCACAATGTCTACACACAAGTGAGTATAGTTCTACTATTTTACGACTTTTAGCAATACTCCAGCAATATCATGGCGGGGGACACCAGAAATGGGCTTCACGCACTGTACCTATCTGGGGAATGAAACACGGGTCTTCGGCATGATGAGCGAACGCTTTAACTACTAGGCTACCCGACCTCCCGTCTAGTTGAGGATTTACTTTGGAGCATATAATATACATACATGTACAGACTGCATGGGCGTACACAGCCACTTTGACAATAAGTAACGACAAAACAGGAGTAGGACAAATTCAATGGAGACTCCCTAGTAGACATTTGGCAGTAGACTAACCCTTAGTCTATATAATATTTTAGGATTTTGATGGAAACAACTCTATTTAAATTGAAAAAGGGCCACAGTGAGAGACACAGATGGGCTAAGCCGTTGCCTGGAATTGCGTCCCGTATCCTTACCAGGATATGCTGATTGTTTGGACCGAATCCAGGATCCTTGTTGATTACCATCTTTAGTACTTCTGCACCATACCCGAGTTCACGATTCACCAAAGAGCTTAATTCACTCCTCCTCTAGGTCTTGTTGCTTCCCTCTTCACAATTACACTTGCTTATTTCATAGTGTGTACATACATGGTACTATCATAGATAGGTAATATTCCATACATCTTAGAATCTTACATGGAGGCAGATATCCTTTGCACAATGTCTACATACAAGTGAGTATAGTTTTACATCGCTTTTAGAAATACTCCAGCAATATCAGGGCGGGGGACACCAGAAATGGGCTTCACGCACTACCCATCTGGGGAATGAAACACGGGTCTTCGAGACGAACGCTATGCCACAACCACTACATACGAGTAATATGACTGTAACTTTGCTGAAATTTGCTGATAAAATTTATTATATCATAAATAGATTCGGAAAATTTATGGACGGGGCGTCCAAATTCTGCATCTGTATCTACGTGGCATCATTGCAGCAACAGAAGCTGCTATTGCTAAAGGCGGGGGACTGATGCTACAACCTTTCAGCTTGATGGGTATGGTAATATGCACCAGAAACAAGTAAGAACATGTACATATAAGTGAGTGAGTGAGTGAGGGAGCGAGCGAGCGAGCATGGTTTTACGCTGCTTTTAGCAATATTCCAGCAATATCACGGCGGTGGACACCAGAAATGGACTTCACACATTGTTCCCATGTCGGGAATCGAACCGGGTCTTTCGGCGTGACAAGCGAATGCTTTAAGCACTAGGCTACCCGACCGCCCTCATGTACATATGAGCGGTCAAATGATTACAGTATGCATTTTAAACAATACTAATTTTAATTGTTTGATTGGCATTACATAGAAGTTGGCGGACGACAAACTAAACAATTCATGGATAACAACTTCTTTAATACTGTAAAGGCGATGTTTCGGTATAGAACCTTATACCATTGTCAAGCAAGACTGAATGAGGAACATTGTACAGAATCTGTAAGAAGGTGGAGGATTAACAGTATTCCTAGCTATTTTCTCAGGTCACCAGAGAACACAGGTCGTATAAGGTGCAGCAATTCTTTGTGTTGCGACTGTTAGCCACTGCCAGAGCCTGTTGATCATTTGTTTAAGTCCACACACCCCATGATCATGATCCTAGGCTTGTCAGCACCATACTACATACTCGAATGGATTTTGGCAAGCCAAGGGACGCAACTCTGCACAGAGAACTGCGGCAGTGCAAATACAACTGGACCACTCTTGCCCACAAAACTTGCATTCCATGTACACAATTCTGCATATATAACACAACACGTGCTGAGATAGGATATCCTGTTTATTGTGGGAAAATCTCCACACATCCATTCCTGTACTAACAGGACACATACACCGTTCACTGGGTCGGACACCTGTCATATTTCACATGTCACATTTCGGGTCCTTTCGTCCACCTGGATAAACCGGACATGTGGACAGGTAGTTTTATACTTACAATTATGGCCACAAACATAAAGGTAAGACTGAAATCATGAACGAGAGTTTCAAAACCTGTAAATGACTTTCTCGAACGATACATCCAAAAATAAATTAGAAATGTGCCCTACCAATCAGATATATTTTGAATGAAATGAAAATTGAATAATAATTTCATTGTGGGCCAAATAGTGGACACCCTCAGGTATGTGGTGACTGGAGAGCAAGACAGTTGGCCCTTGAGATACAAGCATTTAAATACTATAAACAGGATGTCACATGTTATCATACAAGTCATGAAGGTTATCATACACCTCAAAACAAAGGACAAACAGGTAACATAAACATGATAAATGCAGCCCTAGACTGAGCTAGCTGTCGAGTTATTTCCTTTCAATGCGTTCCACTTGCAACACAGATCAGATAGCTCCAGCACTTTATAGGCAAAAGATCCACAAATCCAACATTCAACATACTGTAGAAATTCAGTACTGAAAAGACCCTTCTCATTTGAATAGTGCATAATCTAACGTTCATTCTGATCATCAGTCTTGGAGTCATGCTTAGAAATTACAGAAAATGACAGCATTAAGTTTTAAGTAAAATTGAGGAAAGATACAACAAATGGTCAACAAACATACAGAGTATTTCATCATTAAGTTACCAAACACTTCAAATATTAATGAAATTCATATGAAAGCTAAAAAAAACAATACTAATGAATTCAAACAAGATCTGATATGTTGACATGGGTAAAACATATTTTCAGAACAGTGAAACTTCATTAATCAAGACAGGATGGTCTAATCACAAAGTATGTTGCAGTACAGAACGAACATTCAGCTTCTAGCAGCGGAAACAGTAGGCAGTCCCAAGATGAAGACAAATATTTCTCTTTCTTTCAAGGTTTGCTGTGGATGGTGGGTTCAATCTAAGGTTCATCACCTTCAGCAATATCCTCTTAACCTGCTATTCATAACAAAGGGAGAAATGTATTCCAGATCAATATTTGACACGAAATGTAGGGAATTCATAAATTAACAGTACCAAACCCTCACCACTAAAATAATGAGAGAGCGAATATGGTGAGAAATGGGCAAATCGTAGCCATGTAGGGAACTGAACCCAGTCGTGAGCCAACAATTCAACCACTTGGCTACCTTCAACACCTTCCACCAATAAGATTCAAAAGAGATACCAGAATGAGTAGGTTGATTGCAATGGTTAAATCTAGACAACTACAGCTCATGTCTGTCTGCTACAGCTGCTGATTTTCCTTCAGCCAATGACAGCTGGCTGTACATGGAGTGCTTCCTCAACAATGACTTGAAGAACAAGTGAGAAAATATTTAACATGACATTTGCAATATTTCGGGCATATAGTCAGTCGCCTGCATGAAAATAGTAGCGCTGTTTAAAATGTTAGGCGATTAATCTGTTCATTTCAGCATTGTAGTCAATAATTTGAGGAAGTGGCAAGAATATCTTTGTTGCATGAAACAGTTGGGAATATCAATAAATATATGCCGCTTTATTGTCATCACCAAATATAAAAATAATGAGGTATATATGTTTTTCTACAAGTTTAATCTTTTGAGTCATTTGTCGCAAATAGCTAGAAATATTTCTGGCAAGGATCGTAATTGTTTTGGGGTGATATCTATTACCATGGTTTCAGAGCATTTATTTAAGACCATTTACATGTATACGCAACTGTTACTGCTTTCAAAACACTCTGCCAGTAGTAATAGTATGAGATGTAAAAGAATGCTAAATCCATGCACTACCACAAATTTCATGTTCTTTTGACCCGAAACTGGACATATCACTATCCCACACTGTACCTCTACCCCGTTAGCTGTACCACATACTCAGTAATTCTTTCTTGCCAGGTGCAATACCAATCAAAATACTATTCCAGACAAACCAACACATAACATACACATTTCAACAACAGGAATGACTATTTCTAGAAAGTAAAATGTGATTAGAATCCCCTCCTCAAAGACATGAACCATGACATGTACAAGGCTACCTCAGGTATCCCAGGTAACATGTAGTATGATAACACATCCTTAGAAATGGTACAAGAAAAGAACCACAAGGGCATCTTTAGATTAAACCATTTTTGCTTACAGTCAACTTGGATATATCATTGTCAGTATTAAGGAACAGTTCTCAGTATTAAATAATACCAACTATAGGTATCCTACACAAAAGAAGTTAAAAAGAAAGAACACCAATTCTTTCATATGACTATAGTTAATGTATCATGCCATGAGAGATTAACTGTAGTAATATGAAAGAATCAGGTGTTCTTTAACTTCTTTTGATTAGTATCTCGGAAGAGAGATAATGTCAACAGAACACCAAGGTCAGATTTTTTCCTGGGAGCCATTTGACTCCTGGCAATATATTTCTATGTGCCATTTCAAACTTAAAGGAGCCACATTAAAATATAAGGAGCCACATTGATTACGGCTCATAAAGAATTTATTATTTAAGAAATTAATTAATAAGATAAGAAAACATTCCAATTGTTCCAATGTGTCTGAAAAAAACTTGCTGCAATAAAGATAAGTTATTGAACAATTACCCTTGTTGAAAGACCATCACTGGAATTCACTTAGCCAGTTACCTGAAACAACAGTGCTGCTGCGTTTTTGCTTTATTCCAATATTTGTTTGATGCAATCACTGGGATTTCTGATTCAGTTATTACTATCAGACACATTCATAGCAGATGAAGTAATCTCAGTCGTCTCCATCCCAATGCCCACCAACATCTGCATCTAATAAACATCTTTTAGGACTGCTGGCAATAAAAGCCATAGTTATGCTATTCATGTCATCATTCTGTGATGGACAGTTCGGCTTAGAGATAGCTCTTAAAAACAAGTTGAAATATTCTTCTATGATTTGAACATCCCACCATTGTTAAAGTAAACAGAAATGTGCACATGACCAGAAATAACTAAACTTGTAGCATTATAGACGATAACACCACAAAACTTCAGTATCGCTGTAAGGTGTTACACAACACCCTTAACAGGGAAGTCATGATGTTCATACAGACAAGTGATGTTCTACTCCAGTTTCTTTCAATATGGGAAATATTTTAGTCCCAAAAACGTTTATTAATGGGAGTCAACTGGCAACCAGGCAATTAACACGGGTTCCAAAATGTAATTAAGGTTGCAAATGCAACCAAATTGGTCGCTACGTGGAGGGCTGGTCAACATCAACTATGGATATATAAATTGATTTTTAGGCCGATGACTATCCGAAATATCTCAAGTTGACTGTAATCAAAAGTTTGTCTCTAAGTCAGTGTTCCTGTACATCATGTCATAGAGGAGGACTATTTTTGTGTTTAATTCCTGAAATGCTCCCATGAAATGATGAACTTAATTCATTTGTAAGGCAAATTAATAAATATCAACACAGACTGGAACTGCTGGGATAACAATGCAGGCCAATACACTACATGACAAATAGACTTCCATGACACAGACCTCAAACATCAACCAGGACAAGACTGAACTGATTGAGAATCCGTTTCAATTGTGCTTCTACTTATAGTAGTGGAAGCCCATTAACCTTTGTTGATAAAAATCACTGGGTGTAAAGATATTCATTGTGGACTTCTCAATCTCTGCATCCATGCAGCCAAACCTCTCACACAGTCTTTGTAGGGAATGTCCAAAGGTCATGTCTATCAAGGGCAGATAACTCTAGTATCACGCTGATGCTGTAAGGAGCTTCTTTAAATCAGCAGCTTTTTCTCGCAGTTCATAAACTCCATCCTCGCACATGGGAGATAACTCCTCTACGAGTTTGTTGCCGACACTGGTGCGAGACAGCAGAGGTAACTGTCCGGCATCTAGGCAAGAAGAAGCAGACATATTATATCCCAATTTCAAATCATACTTAACACATTAATTATAGTATTATGACAGAGTGAGTGAGTATGGTTTTTACGCCACTTTAAGCAATATTCTAGCAATATCACGATGGGGGACACCAGAAATGGGCTTGACACATTATACCCATGTCGGGATTTGAACCCGGGTCTTCAGCGTGACGAGCAAACGCTTTAACCACTAGGCTATCAGACTGCCCTGAATATGAAAGAATCAATAGGTCCTTAACTTCTTTTGAGCAGTATATTAAGTAATCTCGCCATCATTTTTCACACCTTGCGAAATAATCTGTGATCAAATTTAAATTGTGTTGTATTTGCAAGGTAAGTCCACCAGAAACTTTATGTAAGTACATACAAAGCATGCTGAGCAACCATCCTCTATATCTCCAAGGCTATCATTTCGGTAAACCTACATTCACCCCTGGATCCATTCACATGGTTCTCGCAATCTCAAATTACCTGCCCTTGATTTCCATTTGCCAATTTGATTGGCTACACTACTAAGTCTAATGTTACGAACCAGCCTTAATGTTGGGTTGGCCAGTCCCATTGATTATGATTGTGTTTGTGAGAAATTCAACAAATAAAACCTAACTGACATGCAAAAGAAAGCCCTGAAAAATCTTTTTGACTGAAAAGATGTCTTCATGTCCATGACAACTTGCGGTGGCTTTGGTTTCTGCGCAAAAAGAGTTACCTCCCTTACCCTTTCGTTGACATTTGGACGATAAAATGTTAATGAAAATTGAGAGCAGGTAATTTGCAATCGCAAGAACAAAGTAAATGGATCCAGGGGTTAATGTAGGTTTACCAAAATGCTAGCCCTGGAGAGGGTGGTTAAGAAACTGGCACTAGTTCAACTAGCTCAACTAAAATGTTCAATAACTAAAATATCTAAGGGACAAGGAGAAATATTTTAAGGTCCCTGTTTATTCTTCAACAAGAGTAGTGACTTAAAGATTCTTCAACTCCCAAGAAAGAATGCTAACTGTAAATAATCATCAAACATGCTTACCATGCAGCTTTGACACAATACTTTCTATCACAGCAAGAGATTCAGTTCGGATCACAGCATACTTCATGTTACCTGCAAATACACAACCAACACTGAATTCTTCTACCAATATTCATCCACACATTCCCAGTTAAATCAGCTGATTTCAGTAATTTCTGGGTTAATGAATTTATTTCAGTACCATTGTAATTTAGTATTGTCCTTTGCATATATAAGTGATATATAGAATTCCATCCTAACCAAAATAAAATATGTGTACAATTCTTGTTGGAATTAGACTACTCCCAAAAGGGTGTGCTTTGGGAATAGTTGTGTTTTCCTTTGTAAAGATAAAAAATTTCCAAATCAAGGTGGTTGAGAAATCAAATGTTTGGGAGTTCTAAGTTCACTCAGGGTTAGCCTGACGAGATTTCTTTGGCAAGTTCATTAGATCTTCACACTGAGAAGTATCATATGGGTGATTGAGTGAGTTTGATTTTATGCCGCTTTTAGCATATTCCAGCACTATCACGGTGGAGGACACCAGAAATGGGCTTCACACATTGTACCCATGTCGGGAAGCGAACCCGGGTCTTCGGCGTGACGAACAAAGGTTTTAACCACTAGGCTACCCGACCGCCCCCTATCAGATGGGAGCAGAATATTATATTAATATGCTATGAATCTGTGGAGGATGGAGAAGCACTGCATGTGTTACAGGATGATGTGCAGTACCTAGGAGGGGTATCACAGTGGCCAGCAGCTTGTCTATGATGGGGATCATCTGACTGGACTCCTTGGCTACATTCTCCTTCTTCAGACACGATAACCTGCAAGTACACACCAGCTCCGGCTTGTAATCTGATGTAGCCATATTACCGCACACACTGAGCTTAATGGCTTTTAGACATGTGTTCATTACATACATATATTAGGTGTATCACAACATACTATATATCTTTTTATATACAACATATAATATATGACAGGAGCCCTGTACTGAGCTCACTCATTGCTGAAGTGATCCATCGTAGCAGGAAATGGAACTGCGACACACTTTTGTGTCAAGAATAGTCTAGATTAGACTGTTGTAGTGGTACATGTAAGTTGTATGGGATGTCAGGCATCAGTGTCGTCATTGAAACCAGGAAGTGAGTGAGTGAGTGAGTGAGTGAGTGAGTGAGTGAGTGAGTGAGTGAGTATGGTTTTTACATCGCTTTTAGCAATATTCCAGCAATATCACAGCAGGGGACACCAGAAATGGGCTTCACACATTGTGCTATGTCTGGAATCAAACCCAGCTCTACTGCGTGATGAGCAAACACTCTAACCAGTAGGCTACCCCACCACCCCAAAACCAGTGACCCCATATCAAACTGGCATTAAAATCCTTGCATTGGCTGTCTATACAAGTAAGAATTCTTTGAACCACTTTGCTAAAGTATTGCTATCTATACCTAGTAATGAAGGCCTTCATGAAGACCCTGCCTTATGATGGTACATATTCACATCATGCTTTGAGCATACACAAGTGTCAGGAGCTATGAGCAATATCCATACACTTACTATCATTATTATTAGTTTGGAGGACCATACATCTCTCAACTGAAGGTTTATCACTCACCTGTCAACAAACTTGTGCATTGTCTTCAGTATGGTGACCTGGCCCTTCCATGCATTGACTGGCACCCCCTCACACAGTGACTCGCACACACGGCCCTGAAACTCACCTGCAAGGGACACAACACTCATATAAACATCCATTTGTCAAATGCAGATTCCTGTCACATATAGAAAAACTTGGGAACTGGAGTGGATACATTAATATGACAAATCCATTCATCTACCATTGATATCTATAATATTTTGGCATTAAAAATGTAAAAGCTTGTCCTTTGACGAATACAAAATTACAAAGTAAAGAGACACCCTCCATAAGTATTCAAACAGTACCTGAGTACAATATGTCCCTGAGTGAGTGAGGGAGAGAGGGAGGGAGCAAGTGGTTTAACACCGAATCAGAAATTTTACAGCTATTTCCAGCAAGAGATATTTTGGACTATGAGTGAGTGAGTATGGTTTTACGCTGTTTTTAGCAATATTCCAGCAATATCACGGCGATGGACACCAGAAATGGACTTCACACAATGTACCCATGTCGGGAATCGAACCCGGGTCTTCGGCGTGACAAGCGAATGCTTTAACCACTAGGCTACCCGACCGCCCCTTTTGGACTATGACCATAAAGTAGTATGATGTATATGATATTGAAAAGACCTTTGTTTTATTATGTGGTTTACAGATTATTTTGATTTAATTTTAAAAATATGATTTTGTAAATGTCTCCTTATACAGTTACTGCCATTAAAAGAATTTTGTTACAGAAATTTGTTCACAGAATCACAGAGAAAATTAAATAATTATTCCACAATTGCGAAATTACATAAATCAGAAAAGGAAAGTATACAAAAATCAATTAATATAAGTAAAACATGCATAATGTTCTATTTATGTCAAGACAGCCCACCATGTGTGCTGGGTGTGGTGGGCCATGTCTCCCCCAGGGCAGTGTAGGCACACTCCTTCAAGTTGTGCTTCACAGCAGATGGTACATCATCCTTGTCCTCATCCTTGTCCGCGGAGTCCTTCTCCTGCAACATTCATACTAACATTGCAATATTGGAATGAATGCCATTGGATATATTTTGATATTCAATGCTTTCTACATCATATTGATAAGGACCAGAATGATAATCAGTGTTTTGTTTATTTTCCTTATACCAGTAAACATACAACACTTCTTGTTACAGATACTTATTCATTTGAGAGTGTTTCATCCTAAACAGTGTAATATGGCTGAATCAATTGTTTATACCGGTAACCTATTATCACCAGTGGGGCAGGATAAGCTCCCTTTTCCTCAAATACCTAAAAAACACAAGCTTATGATACAGTTTTAATCATACAATGGACTCTGCTTTTAGCAGAGATTTCTTATGATTATGGAAAAAGTTTTGTCCCTTTTATATATATGAGCCCTGATCTCTGTCATCAGGCCAAAGACAGCAGCTGGTGTTCCTGGGTAGCCACCCGCATAAGGACATCCACTCCACACTCTGTAGCCATGTTGGTCATCACATCACTAGTAGTTCTTTCGAATGAAAAGCCTGGACATTTGGGTACTTGAAGCTCATTTTGTCCTCAAATTCTCACTAATGATAGGTAATAAAGTTCTGGAGGCATTTCTAAATACATGGTTAGGAATTAAGTTATATTTTCACTTGTCTGTAAAATTGATCTGCTGAAGAGTTGACATTTACATAATTGCAAAAGTGACAAGTCCTTTTTCACTAGTATTGGCGGAAACAAGGATGCATTTCCGACCTTGATCATTGGTAGCAGTATATCCCACACGTCACGGAACAGGTCCAAATCATATGCCTCGATGATGGCACCGAGACACTTCAACGCTTCAATCTTGTAGGCTGGTCTCTCCTTCCGGGACTCACGTAGAACTGCCTCAACAATCTAACAACATACAAAGGTAGTTGGCAATAGCTTCTTCAGCAAACCATGTCAGAATGTTTTAGATATTGCTGTGTTTATCATAAAGAGTAAGTGAGCAAGAAAATGTTTTAATAAACAGTATTACAATTACATCATGGAAACCTGCAAAGACCAGCAACAAATAACTAATGGTTCATAGCTTGAGGAACTATTCAGCCACATACCGTAACCACCGAACATTCACGTTATTTGGGTCTTACGACAAACATGGTGCTGGACACATACTCCACCTCACAATACCTTTGATAGATTTCAGCTTGCCATACAATACCACTTACTTCTTTAACCTTGGGTTGTCCTCCTATATCCTTTTCTTTGATAGTGTCCCTGAACCAAGAAGAGTCATAGTGAGTGAATACGTGAGTTGGGTTCTACGCCGCTTTTAGCAATATTCCAGCAATATAATGGTGGGGGGCATCCAAAATGGGTTTCACTCATTGTACCCATGTTGGGAATCGAACCCGGGTCTTCGGCGTGACGAGTGAACGCTTTAACCATTAGGCTACCCCACCGCCCAGAAGAGTTATAGCAAACAGTGAGTGAGTGTGGTTTGTTTGCAAAACAATGCACTCAGCAATATTCCAGCGATATGATGGCAGCCTGCAATTAATCAAGTTTGGATCAGAGATTCCAGTGATCAATATTGTGAGCAACGATTCACACAACTGGGGTATGAGGACACTCTTACGGAGCCTGACCACCGAATCCATTTGGTCGCCTCTTACCATCGTAGATGGGGACCTATGCTAACCTGGAATCAGCAAGGAGGTAATGAGTGTCTAGCATTTTAGAGATGTCTCAGCAATATGACAGCAGGGGGACACCAGAAATGGGCTCAATGCACCCATGCTGGAAAACAGCTACCTCACTGCCCCTCAAATAATGCAGGGTAAAACGCCATACAGATCCTGCAGTGAGTGTATTGAGCAGTAGTTCAGTTATATCCTCACATATCAGTATAACATAGGACGACATCCCAAAGTGCCACAGCTCATAGACAACTCTCATCTAGTGAAATCGATATGGATGACATAGTGCTGACAGGCCAAGTTCATAATCGGATGTTTGACCACAGTGATCTTGACTGACTATCCGTACTGATCTCAGAACATTCTCATATACTATATACATGTAGGTACTGCTAAGTCTTGTTCCTGTAGAGAAGAAGACTGTCATACTTACTTGCAAGACGTGCACACTGTGGACAAAGCTTGGAGCAGGGCCTCCTGGAGAAACAATAGACTGATACAGTGAGGATACTGTTATATAAGCAATTCTGCAGGGAGACGCCAAGAATGGGCTCCACACAACCTGGGTCTTCCAAATATAACAAGCAAACCATTCATTCACAAAACAACTAGCCAGACACATTAAGAGAACTGACAGGCAGTTGTTTTATTGATTCCTAATAGAAATATGAAACTGAAATATCCAAGGCTAAAAAAAATAATAGTCTTGGTTCTCAGGCAGTGCCCGCATCATCATAAAGTCCACCGCAAGTTTCATTTTTATTTCCATTTTCAATTATTTTTTTTTAAATCTTTCAATATTCTGCCTCTCGAACACACGACCCCAGCAGTGAGATGCTATAATACTTAAGAACAACATCATTTTGACGAAATTATTGTAAACAAAATATGTTTACATACTAGCTTGATCAACTTCCCCCTCCCCCCGCAAAAAAACCAAAACACACCGCCCGCCCACACTACATTTTCAAAAGACATTGCATGAGAACCAATTCTTTTATTGTTTTCATTATGACATTATCTTACATTCTCCCATATCCAGCCACCACATACTCTTCTAATTAACTTTTATTCATTGATGAAAGTTACAAAGTGTGTTGTCTGATGACCCCACCTTGCCATCCCATGTCCTGCCCTGGAGACCGTTAAGCAGCGCTGTGAGAAGGTTGCCGAGATGTGGAGGTCCCAGCGACGACCCTAGTTTGGTTGCCACGGTGCTCATGGCAGCTGCTGCCTGGGCCTTGGTGCTCCACAGCTGGGATTCCAGGGACATCTGCAGGAGTTCCACCACTTCGGAGATGTATAGTCGCAGGCCTCCCTCCGTTCCTGACATACAAGCACTGGACTGATGAAGGTTTACAGAAATGTCTTCGGAACAAGAAGCTGAGTAGGAGGCCATGTTTGTCTTATCATAAACTGTTACTGGACATCTTTTGTGTTGAGGATAGACAATGGCCAAGATAAATTAGCACCATTACGTCATAATCTAAGGTGGTAACTCTCCACTGTTTAGTTAGGAAGGACACAATGGCATAATATTATCATACATATTTAGAGCTTCCTACTTGTGATGTGACAAAAGTGATTGACTGTTTCAAAAAGTTTTATAAGAGCTTGAATAAGTAGCATCAGGACTTGCAACATATTAGCTAACACCACAATTTTATTTTGTTTTATATTTGATGGAATATGTTTTTTGTCTGTACACTTCCCCTTTAAGCATATATGTATCTCACACATGCCCACTGCAGGAAGTGATCATTTTGCTTTCAAGATTACTAGAACTACTATATGAATAAGTCCATCAATCTTATGGTCCAAGGATATTAAACTGCTTGCTCGAATCTAGGCAACAGTGCATTTAGAGAATGGTTTTGCTTACTGACCTGGTGTTATCTCCTGCCACACCTCCTCCCACACTGATTGGGAGCTGCTGGCTGCCGTGCCACCTTCGTCTGAAACAGTGAGTGATTCTCTTTATGACTTACATTACAGAGTGAGAAGAGAGGAATGCATGGGGATGTTAAACATATGACAAGTAACAATCACTGGTTTAGAGGACAATGAATAGACCCTTAAAAATTCAGTACCACAATTTTCCAGGAAACCGGCAATCTCAGAAACAACTCAGCTGTACACCAAGGACCAGTTTCTCTCACAGTCCATTGGGTCTTGAACCCATGAACTTAACACCCATATCATACCGACTGAGCTACATATCCAGAGTGTATTTTCCTCATTTCAAACCAAAGACCTTATGGAAATTCATGAAAGAGATAAGAGTTAGAGTAAATATTTTGCATGCTAATACGGTGTCATGCACAGACCTAACATTTCATTGGATCTCATAAGGCACCTCTTGCCCTTTTCCATAACCCAAAAGAAAATCAGCAGTCAGCAGCCATTAGTGGTTAACTTCCTAAGCATGCAACTCACCTGTCTTCACCTTCTCATGCATGGCAAAGAATGCTAGCGGCATTGCTAGAGTGGCATGGCGCTTCAGGGCATCAGAACTGTGCTGACTCATCGCCTGCAGGGTCAAGCCACACGCAAGCCGAAAAGACTCATCTGAAATCAGAAAGTGGAACTTAAGGATGGTGTCACTTTGGACCTATCTGATGCACCTGATACTGTAATTAGTCTACTGATGATACCCATCACCAACGTTTATTCTCCTACCTTCCTTCTCCAGATACCACGACCTGAGTCGGTTGATCAGCTTCTCCACACTACTATCTTTGGCAATCTGAAAAACAACATACATATGGTTACCAAACTTAATAGATTTCAGGACCCATGAAGATCCGGGATAGAACAGGTCCATAGCAACCCACACTTGCTGTAAAAGGCAACAATGCTTGTCGTAAGAGGCGACGTACGAGGTCGGGTGGTCAGGCTCGCTGAATTGGTGGAAGCATGTCATCAAATCAATCGATGCTCATGATGTCAATCACTGGATTGTCTGGTCCAGACTCAATTATTCACAGACCGCTGTCATATAGCTGGAATATTGCTGAGTGCAGCGTTAAACAACAAACAAACAAACAATTCAACTTTATGAATAGGTATAAATTCCTCTAAGAAATTAAAAATAACATCTTTGCTAACTTTGATCATTATCAAAAACAAAAACAAATGACATCTCTTCATTTGAATTGTAACAAAAAAAATTCCAACAGCTGCACATGTTTCAGTGGTATAGAGTTGCTCCAGCCAGCACCAACTTACTTTGACCAGGTATCCTAATGCAGAGGCATAGGACTTCCTCACAGAGGAGTTTCTGTCACTGAGACCATGGAGGAAGGCACTCATCAGCTTGCCTTGAGATACAGAGGGAATTAGAGCAAGGTACTTCTAGAACTAATGACAAGCTTATACAAGACAGTTAATGTGATGAGGAGGAGCTTATGTTTATAAAAGACTGATGACCTAAATGTGGTTCATATAAAAACATAAGGAAGTAAATATCAGACAAAACTTGAGCTATTTTGGGCGACCCATCAAGAGATATGCCTAATAATGTTGACGGAGAAAGTGAACACATTATATTGTACCCCTGAAATGCTATCAATCAAAAGAAGTTCTGAGGAAGTATTTTTTTTTAAAATTTAGATTTCCCTAGCGAATTGATTGCATCAATTATGCCTCAAAAACTTTTGCGAGTATTTCAAGAAAGTATTGTCAAGCATGTAAGAATTACGCATCATGTAAACCCTGGGCTACACAATGAGGCTTACCTGCATGGGGGGTGAGATCCTGGGGACACTGATGGACGAGGGACACCACAAAGCTGGAGCACCCAGCCTGGAACACAACACAATCACTGGGTGACTAGCCTCACCTCTAGAGGGATGACCTCCATACACAAGACTCCAGAATACTGCATGTAACTGAACTAACATAATGTGCTATGCAATAAATCAACATATATAAGCTCACTTCAATGATTGTCTGTCAAATAAGCTAGTTCTAAATAATGAAAAGGTATCCTTAAGGATAGTTGGAGTGAGTGAGTGAGTGAGTATGGTTTTACGCCGCTTTTAGCAATATTCCAGCAACATCACGGTGGGGTACACCAGAAATGGGCTTCACACATTGTACCCATGTGGGATAAGGAACTAGGGTCTTCGGCGTGACGAGCAAATGCTTTAACCACTAGGCTACCCCATTGTAAGGCTTTGTAAATGTATTTTTCTTGTTATAACTATTCAGGCAAAAAAAGGTTCCAGATTAAGTTGCATCCTCCTCTGATCCTACAACTAATAATGTGTTAAAAACTAGTTTCTATCTACACACTGTCACCAACACCTTACCTTTGTTCCGACGCCGATACCACTCTTGATGAGGTCCACTAGACGTGGCACCAGCTCTGGTAATACTGACTCATCCACATACTGCACACACTGGAACATATCAACACTTAGTTATGGATGATCTATGGTGCTCTGAATGGCAACTGTCTACACAAAATGACAACATAGTTTCTCACATACAGGAAGGTTTTTTTTCAGTTTTTGAGCAAATCAGTTTGACTTTAACATTTTGTCAGAGGTCCCCTTCTTACCCTGTTGATTGTTTCCATCATTGGGGACATCTTGGAGGCAGCGATACGGGCACTGTCAAGCTGGAGGCAGAACAATGTATCATCATAGATTGTGACACTATCAGACACACACATGTAGGCATAAGCATGTGTTGCACTAAGAGAAACACACACATGAACTGTATTCAGTAAGACAGGGTAAAATGGTAAACATGGAAACAGTGACTGAAACTAAAAACTATTTGCATAGCAGACGAAGATGATTGGAAAATTGGGAGTAAATGGACCAGCATTCCTTCTTCTCTTTTTTAAGCATGACAAAAGGTTCTAGCCAAAATGTCTGAATTTCACTTTTATTTAAAATTAAACATAAATAAACTGGTGACATGCAGGTGTGTCTTATTGATGTAATTGTTCCCCAGAAATGAATGAGTGAGTGAGTATGGTTTTATGCCGCTTTTAGCAATATTCCAGAAACATCACGGCTTCACACATTGTATCCATGTCAGGAATCGAACCCGGGTCTTCGGCATGGCGAGCGCATGCTTTAACCACTAGGCTACCCCCCCAGAAATGAAAACTATTTTGGTTAAGCTTCAACATGTTTCAAACAGGTCACACGAGTCACATAATATCGCCCCTCGTTCACCATACACCATCAGTGTTCCTGACCTTTTCCTGTGTAGCCTGGGTGCTGACGTGGAAGCTGAGGTAGTTCATGACCTGTGGCTCCAGCCCACTGACTGCCTCCAGGAGAGCAGCCACCAGGACAGGGATGTGAGGCTTCATCAAGGCACCAGCGTTCTTACTGATCTGCAGCAGGGTGGACAGTCTACAATGAAACAACACAGAATTTAAGTCATTATGAGTGAGTGAGTTTGGTTTAACACCGCTTTGAACAGTTTTCCAGACAGTGTGTCAGCTTAATGTGGGAGGAAACCCTGACGTGATGCTGGTCTCAGACATTTACCACTTTGGTGAAACCCACAAGCACATGTATCTGGCATTCCCAAGGGAAGCAACTCTGCACAGCAACTTGTGTCACTTGGGCCCTGAGTGTGGATAAACATGGCACTGATGAATCTATACTCATACCCAGTAATTGACTCACTCGATGGCTTACACTATTACAACAATATATCTGTCCTTCAACAGGAGCAATTCTAAAACATAAGACTCCTAAATAATAGGAATTATGTCACTAGAAAGTCATAAATCACAGAAGAAATGAGAGATTCACCAATAGTTTACAAAAACTATACCAAAACGGTACATTAATGCGCTACCTCGTAAACACGAGACGCAGGAAATTAAAATGGCGACCAAGGTGCTAAACAGGCAGAGTTACGCAGTCGAGAGAAAAATTCAAATTACAAGCTGTAAACCGCAAACGAGCGGATATTATCCAGCCGGAAAGGATATATAGGTGTAACACCACCTGAAACCAGTGTTGACGACAATATCACAAGGTATGTAGAACTCTTGATCCGTACACGTCTGTCCATCGGACAGAGAAGAATATGAAGAGTAGGGGCCAAGGGGGATAACTCGTGGATGCCGAGGCACGGACTGTCTGTTTAAACTGTCTCTTCGTTCCAGTACTGTCTGTTTGTATAAGGTAGGGAAGCTAAAGCACTGTGTAGCGTCAGGTAAGGTAAAACATATCTGTTCTTCAACAGATGTTTAGTTCAAACAATTTTCTCATTATTGCAAATTGCACTCGTATTGTTGATACAATGTTAAATGAGAACTCACCCTATAGCTCTGACCTCGGGGACTGTGCTCTGAAGGCTGCAGTTGAGAATACAAGGCAGCATGAGAGTTGTGGCTCTCTCCCCCACCTTGCCCTGGCTCGGGTCACATGTCTTCACACACACCTGCAAAACACGTCATATACTGCCGAACTAAAGACCTTCGCTCACATCACAAAAATAACCAAATATGTGACATACACTATGTGAACTCATGTTGCCTGAACCTGAGACCTTCACTCACATCAAGAAAGAACAATATATACTCACTAAAAGCTTTATACAACTTTTAACAATGATCCAGCAATATTACAGAGTATGTGAGGGTGACAGAAAGAGCCTTCACACATTGTATCCCTGTGAGGAATCGAACCTAGGGTTTCAGCATGGCTACCCCACCACTACAACTATAATGAAAGATACATCAGGATGCAAATGACTTCATTAATTTCAAGAATCTTCCACTTACCCGACTAAGTGCTTTACAGGCCATATCAGCAGCATTTCTCACTGACTCCTACAACACATCATGGGATCCTCTCAAACTCGGGATATAACATAGCAGGATATAGCAAATGTTGTACATGCAACTGCAACAAATGCAACAAACTGAATTATAAAGGTTCCTTGGAGTTAGTTATTCCAAACTGCTCTGAGAGTTCCTGGTAAGCAAGACGGATTCATATAATATATTTAAAACATAAACAGAGATTATTTTTTTTCCCCAGGGTTGACATACTTGGCATTTTTCTTATCACTTATCACATATTTGCAAACAGCAAATTTCTAACATTTGTTTTCCTCTCATTGACAACTATAAAGAGATTTCTTAAAAAAAATAATTTGATTTTGCAATTTATATTTTACCACCAACCAATGGTTTTGAAGAAAGATGTGCTAAGCAAGCAATTTACAAAAAAGGCCTTACCTTAATGTCATCCCTGACTCGTAGACAGTCTTCCCACAGAGGTGGCAGCTGCTCAATGATGTCATCTACTGGTCGACCTCGCAGCAAGTCGGTCACAGCCAGGCAGCTGAATACAACACAAGCAACTACATCACTAAACACTATGTGTGATTACTTCAGTCACAAGTCTGCAACTAGGCCACTAGTCTAAAGCCTGAGTCTAGTAAATTTAGTAAGCTCAGCTTATGATAACATATGATAACACTGAAATGTACTTAAAATGACGCTAAGAGACAAGTTTGAGCTCGTACAATCAAAAGATTTTGGCACAGTTTGTAATGTCATAGAGAGTTGAAATATCATTACAAACTATATGGCCTACACTTGTTCAATGATCAAAGCCAAAGAGTTGATTTGGGGAGAGAACAAAACATTATAAATGCTTTGAGAATAAAAGTATTTATGAATTAAACAGAACATGCAGCTTGGCCCTTCAAATGTTAAATATGGCAGTGTCTTAAGTCGCCTAAAAACTGTACGATCTTCTCAACACGAAAGTAAGCTTAACAGTGCACAATTAATTGGGTCATTGAGGTCTTATAAGGAGCTTGAATCTAGGGACCCCTAAATCTTTAATTCTTAACATAAGAATTATGACGTGGACCCCATTACTTTCATGCTTAATTTCGGACAGGCATAATATTTGAGCATGACCCAGATGAAACATGAGATGCACGTCTGCTGACCTGGACTCTCTGATCCTCCACTGGTTGCTGGTCAGGTTCTTCAACAGATCTCGCAAGATTTCCTGGAGGTACGTGTCCACCTGAGGACAGACAAACATGGCACACCCTGTCAGGAGCTTTTACAGCACATCAACAAACAGAGAGGGTTCACACAAACATGGCACACCCTGTCAGGAGCTTTTACAGCACATCAACAAACAGAGAAGGTTCACACAAACATGGCACACACGCATTTTTTATTGTCACTCACTTTCTTAATGGTTTGGTACATCCTAGCAAACTATTTTATCACACACCCGACACCATGAGACTTACAGTTTTCTTGTTGTCCTGTATCAGGGCATTCCAGATGCTGGTCATGGCTTGCTGTATTTTGGGATTAGGGTCGAACTGGTATCGGTAGAGACGGGGCACAATCTGGGACAAGTACGGAGCCAGCTGCTCCCCAGCCTGAGCTGCGATAGTGGTGAAGCCAAATGCTGCTCCCTGGTAGTGATATAAGGGATGCCGTTAGTTTCTCATACTTTCATTCAAACAGAAACATATTTTGTATTATTGCATTAAAAGAAGGGTAAAAGAGCATATATTTCATGAAGTTTTGAAGCTACAGTAACAGAAGGGCACGTCTGATCCATGGCAAATATTATGTGAAGAAAATGTCACTTCAATGTTTCGTGTTCACAAAGAAATCAAGACAGTAATGGGGACCGAGGTTTGTAGATGTAAATTCATTTGCTATTGAGCAATGCTGTGACTGTTTAGAAACATCCTACAATCCTACATTTGCAAAACAGTAAGTGAGTTTGGTTTTACGCCGCTTTTAGCAATATTCCAGCAATATCACGGCGGGGGATACCAGAAATGGGCTTCACACATTGTACCCATGTTGAGAATCGAACCCAGGCTTTCGGCATGACGAAACAACATATTAACCACTAGGCTACTCCACTGCCTCGATTTCCAAAACAACCAAAGGAGGCTGCAGTAAATGATCCTGGTCCAACACTGATGCTGTTCAATCGACAACCCTGTGAGAAATAACTGACCTTCCTGGAGTTCCACATGGCATTGTGATTGGCAAGATGCATGAATTTGTAGATGAGGTCAGGCTGGTTGAGATCATTGGCTATTGCACACAGTTCCTTATATGTAGACATGCTTCCCCTGGTTAAAGGAAAGATAGGAGGACTGAATGGTGCTATACATCATAATATACATCAGTTATTGCATATATAATTTGTTCAATTAGAGTGGACAATATGATCAGCTCACCTACATGGTCAATAAGGTGATCTATTTGTAAATATTTTACTTTTGTCCTGAGAAAATAAAACAATGATAGAAAAAACAACATTCCTCACCCCTCAGGAGTTTTGCCGAGACTTCCTTCTTCAAACATTTGTGTTTCTCCACTCACTTCCTGCTTAGGCCTAGGAGAACAAATAGTGATCACTTTAACAATACTTTCATGCCATTTCATGTGATTCAGTGGTACATATATGACATAGTTATTACAATACCAAGACACTGATATTGACATTTATATTGAAATTGTGACAAACAATTTATCAAAACTTTGTCATGTATCCAAGTAGTCAAAACAAGATTGATTTTGTCTATAAATTCATAAATTTGAGGTCTATTGACTAGACATCATTGTTATTGATTAAATACTTCACTACCAGGACACTCAAGTCCTCTATGTAAGCAGTATATGTACCTCTTGCCAGTCATGAGTGTGTTGACCAGCTCAGACACCAACATGTCCTTCTGTTGGGCCGTGCAGTTCTCATACACCACGCCCAGACCCTTGGAGGCGATGTCCTGAGTCATCTCTACAACACAGGCAGTTATTTGAATTGTACATCTTTTAATGATATTCCAGCTATATCATGGCAGAGGACACCAAGAATAGACTTCATGTATCAGTTCGGGGATCAAACCTGGGACTTGAGTGTGATGAGGTAACACTCTAACCCATCAGCTACCTCTCATCACATGCAACTGAGGGTGGACATTCACTGTAGCCTACCATAACTAACTTCATAATATCACAGTATCAGAAGGATTAACAGAAGACTGCAATTGCTCTGACATTAACATATTTCATACCATCATTAAGCACCAGCCGTTTGACCTATTGGTACAGTGCCAGGAAATATATACAAGAGGTGTGTCAAAAGCTGAGGGGTTGGGTGTTGCCACTTGTAGCATTTGTCATATGACAGTATACAAATGATTACTCTTGACGAGGTCAATGTGTGAAAACAAGGAACCAAGGACCCGACCCCTGAAGTGGTCAGGCTACCGAAGAGGTCGGGTCTGAGGGTCTTTGTTTTCGGATATTGACCTTGTCAAAAGTAATCATTCGTCTTGTTATACTGAAACAAACTCACTTTAAAGTTTATGAAGTCTTGAACTGTCCTCTGTTTCATTACAGAATCCTATCTGTCAACCGTGAAACGTTCGTATCAGACACCATCTTGTTTTCTAGCGGACGAGTCAATATTGATCACGTGACAGGTCAATATTGATCATGTGACGAGTCAATAATGGAGGTCAGTGTCAGGCACATGATTTCGGGGTCTACATTGAAATGTATTGTTTCATCACGTGATATGGATTAACCAATGGAATTGCAAGATTCTTAATAGAGGGATAACAATGGGTTAGATTGGCTTCTGACATTGTAAACATGACAGAAATCAATCCAGGGCCTATGCCTTTGCCACTTGGCTACCCCAGCACACCTCCAAGGTTGAGGGAGACTAGTGAAATGCAGGGTTTGACATATAGATATAAAACAGACGGGAATTCTCACAGCCTCTTATTCCTATTTATCATCCAGAACTACTTTCAAACAGGGGATTGTTTGGGTGAAATCAAGCAATATCTCACGGGGGATACTGCTACAATGAATTGCATCACAATGCCTTGCCATTGTGACATCATCGGTAACCATGACGTCACAATCAGAGGACTCACTAATCTTTTTGCCAATGAAGCTGGTTAGCTCTACTTATTATACTCAACATGCTCTAGGCACAGATTGTTTCTGTTTTACAAACTGAAAAAGTTGGATAATAAATAGAATCTCACCCTCAAGTCTTTTGATATCAAACACATCAACACTCATGGATGAAAGATTAAAATATCTCGTCAAGCCTTGGAGTTTTATACTTTTATCAACCTGTGTTGATTTGTTTGGTGTCAAAAGACACTTCTCTATTACAGGGACATTTGCACAGACAGGCAAACTCTGAGAAAATAACAGGAGTGATTTACTGCAGCCTCCTTGAATCACTTCAGAAATCTTTAATTATTATATTGAAACATGGCATTACTCAAAATCAAATGATTTTCCAGCAGGTATATTGTATATCTCACCATCACTCTCTGACAGCAGCTGCATGAAGGCCCTCTGGATGTTCTGGATGTGAGTCTGGATGGAGCTGTGTTTGCCACACTTCTTCAACACTGACAGCAGCCAGATGCAGGAAGCCTGCACACAGCAAACACAGTCTTAATCACATCAACAAAAGACAACAAAAAGTCTCTTGTCCTATTGTCTATGCTTAACATCAATAAATCAAGCCAGAACCAGACCAACCAGTGGTTGATACCATGAGCAACAACACAAAAACACATGAACAGGTCACACATAAATAACCACATAATCCTTACTGTAGTCCATTTTAACAACAAGCATCAGCTGACCAATTCTGCCTCAAGGGGAGTAATATGTAAAAGGAAATATGGGTTTTTCAGATTAAAAACGATGTTTTATTGGTCTGTTTTCAGTCGTACAAATGGGTATCTCTCATACCCTCACGTCTAGTCGCACGTTTAGAGGAAGCCAGAAGCTGGAATGTAAACATTAAACTTGTTTCCGTCCGGTTGCGCACGCACCTCCCTATGACATGTCAAAAATCTCGAAGAATAAGCCATCAAGCAGGACTGGACTGGATTACTTCCCTGTGGGGATGGCTGGGTGGGAACGTACGACTGAAAACAGACCAATAAAACATCGTTTTTAATCTGAAAAACCCATGTTTTAGTCTGTTTTCAGTCGTACAAATGGGTAGAATTCGACGGAACACTGGAAGGAGGGTCGGGAAAGTAATCAGGCAGTGACCACTTTCACGTCGAATGTACCAAGTTCCTCACCCCTGTAGTGACAATAGAACATTCGACCAGATGCACGGACGAGACAAGTTGTTTATCACGAACGCACAGCATGGTTAATGCTCTTCGACACACAACTAATTATCGATGCGACAGGCCAACTGCACGCGTCAGTTGAACTGCGATCGAAGTGTGGTCAACGAATAGTTTAGTTACAGAGCAACTCGCAGTATACAAGGTAACTAAAACAGCATGTTTAATGCTCTTCGACTCACAACTAATTATCGAAGCGACAGGACAACTGCACACGTCAGTTGAATTGCGATCGAAATGTGGTCGGCGTATAATTTAGTTACAGAACTCGCCGTAGACAAGGTAACTAAAATAGCATGGGTAATGCTCTTCGACACACAACTAATTATCGATGCGACAATACAACTGCACACGTCAGTTGAACCCGGATCGAAGTGAGATCGGCGCATAATTTAGTTACAGAGCAACTCGCAGTATACAAAGTAACTAAAAAATACGAGCAGTACTATAATGTATGGGAAGACGATGCATACACCGAATAACCATAATAAAAAGCAGAAGTACTGCACGCAACAAAAAACCATAAGAATGCGTACATTCACCAACAGTTTTTATTGTAACCTGTAGTATGTCACGAAGTGTCGAGCAAAAACTCCAAAGTGAATAAAACACAAATTCACTGTCTTTTCTGAGAGATCTGTTGTGCCACCACGAGTGGACCAAACTGTTTGAGTCCTTCAACATCTTCTGTGGAGATATCTCTAAGATAATGCGAAGCAAACACTGAAGGAGATCTCCAAAAGCAGCCCTCCATAATAACTTGTAGCGAACAATTACTGTGGAGTGCTAATGTTGAAGCGAAGGCTCGAACTTCGTGCGGATGAGAGGAGGTGGGAGGTGCGAGTCCTTGCGCCTCGTAAGCTCTGAGAATTACCGCTCTCAACCAAAATGAGAGAGTATTACGTGTAATCTCTTTCTTTGCATTGGTTGAGAGCGGTATGAACAGCCGTCGAAAATGTTGTCGTCGCTGTTCAGAACGCTGCAGGTAAATACGAAGCGCACAAGGTGAGATCAGCGTGATCACGAGGGCCCATAATGGCAGACAAGGAAGGAATGTTGAACATTCTCGGATCTTGGCCAGGAAGTTAATTTTTCGCTAAAAAATCCCATCGGAGACCAAGATGGACGTTGCCATGGTTACGCTGATCGAACGTAATCCGACCGACGTCAATGGCATGTATTTCCGTAATTCTCGCAGCCGTAGCCAGCGAGAGAAGGAAAAACCGTTTTCTGAGACCTTATCGAGAGGCTCGTAAGCCTGACTAGACAGGTTGCGCAGAACGACATCGAGGTCCCAGGCCGGCGGTCGGAATTTACGTGACTGATCTTCAACCATGAAGGCACGTAGAATCTTCTGCAACTCCGGTACGTTAGTGAGCTTGTCGCCCGTAGGAGACGGCACTACTGAAGCCAAAGCTGCCAGATATGTCGAGATCGTCGACCCTTTCAGACGCCGAGATGACCGGAGAGAGACTAGGAACTCCGCCACCTGTGGTGGGGTCGCTACCGCCGGGTTGAAGCCATGAGACCTGGCGAAAATGGAGAAAGTGGTCCACTTGTCATCTTACAGCTTACGAGTCGTAACTCGATGTGCCGACGAGACAAGCGCTGCCGCTTTAGCCGAATAGCCTTTCTTCATTAACGAGGTCTTAAGCAAACCCAGGCGTGAAGCTGGAAGTTCTTTATACCCGGATGCAAGTCGTCGGTGTGAGGATGAAGAAGGAGGTTGTCTCGATCTGGCAACGGGAACAGTGGTTGAACGATGATCTGAAGAAGTTCCGGGAACCATGTTCTGGCCGGCCAATAAGGCGCGACCAAAAGCAGACGTAGGTTGGCTGTTTGACGAACTTTCACCAGTTGCGATGGTAACAGCACCGTTGGTGGAAACGCGTAAGCGTCTAGACCCCCCACGATATCGCTAGAGCGTCGTGGTCCCATGCCCATGGGTCTGGAACCGGCGACACGAATCGAGGGAGGCGGTTGTTGTACGGGGCAGCAAAGAGATCTACTTGGGGCAACCAGAGTCGATCTGTCAGCAGATGAAAGACTGTCGGATGGATCATCCACTCCGTGGGAGACGGCCTCGATGGTCTCGACAGGGCGTCGGCAATCACATTCTTGGCCCCCGGGATGTGACGGGCGCGTACGCCCATGTCCAAGTCGTCAACGAGGGCGAAGAACCTGAATGTCCGGTCCAGAAGGGCCGCCGACTGAGTTGTCCCCTGTTTGTTGACGCAGTGGACGACTGTGGAGTTGTCCGACTGTATCATCAGCCGTTTCCGACGGAGTCAAAGTTTCCAAAACTCGACCGCCCGAATCACTGCTTCCATCTCGAGGTAGTTGATGTGGAGGACCTTTTCTACTGGCGACCACCGCCCGGCCGCTTGGTCGTCCCCGAAGTGCGCTCCCCAGCCTTCCAATGACGCGTCTACGAATAGGTGTAGTATGAACGGAGGCTCGCTCATAAAGACGCCCTCGCAAACGTTCGACGGCTGGAGCCACCACTCCAGATGACAACGTAGCTGCGCCGGAAGTGGAACCAGGAGATTGGGAAACTCCAGGTGGGGGTACAGCAATCTCTGCAGCGGACGAAGTTGAAGACGACCTCGACGGGTCAAGTCTTGGGCCAATGTCAACAGACCGAGGACTTCCTGCCACGTGTGCACCGACGACGAGGCATGTAGACGTCACGGAACGCTGCTGACAATCTTGTCCCAACGGTCTTGAGGTACCTGGACCAGATTGACTCCCGTCTGGAAGCGTATCCTAATGTACTGTAGAACCCGAGGTGGTACCAAGTCCGATTTTTGAAAGTTGACGATCCACCCGAGGTACCGTAGTAGACTCAGGGTGGTCGCCAACTCACCTTGAAGGGCTACTGTAAACTGGTGAGCTTGGAGCCCGTCGTCTAGGTAGAAGGCGACCCTGATCGCCTGCCGATGGAGCCATTCTACGACCGTCTTCATGATCCGTGTGAAAAGGCACGGGGCCGTAGAAATTCCAATCGGGAGGGCCGCCCACTGGTAATGAATACATTGGCATTCAAATCGGAGGTACTTCTGGAACTCGGAAGCTATTGGTACATGTAGATACGCGTCCTGAAGGTCTAACGAGACGAGGAAGTCGTTCGGTAATATCATCCGACGCAGAGAGCTGAGGGATATCAAGGTGAATGTGTCGGGTGGTTGGAGGTATGTTGCGTTGAGGAAAACCCACTTGTGGGCATAGGGATGAAGTCGCCCCCCTACCGGTAGCTCGTCTAAAGGTAGTGTCACCGGGGGAGACTCCAACCACGGCGACGGCGGGGGAATGGACCTCACTTCCTCCCCCGCTGGTACTTTCCCCCTCTGGGAAACTTGGAAAAGGAGACCTGGCGACCTTTCCTGTCGGAACCTCCCTTGCGGGACGGCTGTCGAGGCACGTCCCTCCGGAAGGCCCGTTGCACATTCTCGTTTCGGTAACGTCGTCGTGGGGCGTTCGAAACCGGTGGCCGTCTGGACAGGTTGGGTGAAGCCGAAATGATGATGTCACGCTCGGCTTCCCTGGAGTACTTGTCCAGAACGTCATTGGTACGACCGTCGAACAACTGTTGCGATGTCCACGGGGCCCGTAAGAGAGACCTGCCATGACGATCAGGTAGGTCAGTGCAGTCGATGTAACCATGGCGACGCGCCGTAGTAATCTGGCCCGATACATATCGGGACTGGGCGAGGACGTCCTAGATCCACCGTTGCATACAGGTGAGGACCGATGGCACCGTCCTGTCGTCCTCGTCCTGGGGTTCTTTCACCTCAAAGTACACTGAGAGGGCCTTGATCGCTGTCGACAGCATAGCAAGCGTTTGCAGCTGGTGACGAACAGCAGTGCCCATGGATTCCAAATGGGTGCTGGTCTCTTGAAGAGTAGCCCCCAGTCCAAATCCCTAGTCATGGGTGACGAAAACGGCATGCCATAGATCGGGTAACGAGATCGACCAGGCGGCTTGCAGAAGCTCTGCCCAGGCAGAGCAGAGCCAAAGTTCTGGTCCATATCGTGAGCCATGGCTCTGAAGACATCGGGAGGAGAAAACTGAAGAGACTGCGGTGTATCTCGGTGCGGTGTATCCTTTTTGGTCGACGCCGTTGAGGCGAGGACCGCCGCCGTGATCTGGGCTATCAAAGCCGGGTCGATATGAAAGTGAGACGAGGTCGTCGTTCTGTCACTATCTTCACTACGACGCTGAACCCCCAAACTCTCCCTGCGAGAACGTCGCACGTCCCCGTGTGGACGAGGGCTACGATCTCTAACTGTAGAAGTACTACCATCCCCATCGTAGTTATCGTCCGAATCGTACATTCGACGACCACGATGACGATGAACGCCCTCGTGTCGTGTACTGTCTCTCGACGAGGCACTAATCCTGTCGTCCCGACTTGAACGGGAACGACTTCTGTGTCCACTGTCGTCCCGCACGACGTCCCTATCGTCGTTGGTAGAACGAGATGCGGACCGACTGGGGACTGTAGTCCCCTCATGGTCCTCGTCACCACCCGGTCCCGTCGTAAAGGGGGAGGCTGAGTGACGCTCTCGATCAACCGAATGACGAAGACCAGTCGTGCGGGTGGTATCATCAGCAGGGGAATGGTCACGTGTCTTGTCGAAAACTGAAGTTGACTGAGGCGGGTCTTTTTCAACTGATTTCTGAGGTGTGGTCGACTCGCCACCCCCAGGGCCTGATGGGGAGGGTGCAGAGTATAAGGATCCAACCGATGACCATCTCCGCTTGTAGCGCTGGTCAGCGGCCCGCTTCGCCAACGCACGAAGATACAAGTTAAAGTTTATTGAAGACAAGTTCTCACATTTTTTACAACGTTTATTCCACGAATACGTTGAAAACCCGTCCTTAATGATGCAGGAAGGACAATACTTGTGAGGGTCTACTTTAGACAGTTTTCGTTGACACGAGGCACAAATGCCCGACATATTGCCACGTGTAGAATCACTGTCAAACAGCGAAACACGCGTTGAACACAAACAATGGATTACCAAGGATTACATTCCAGGAGTCTACAGGTAAGACATATTATGACTTTATTAGAACAACTGTAGATAAGCGATAAGTACTAGTAGAATACAAACTAGCAGTCTACCGCGAAAGACTTTCTCGAGCGACCAGCGCAGAGGCGCGCTGAGAGATTTGTGACATGTCATAGGGAGGTGCGTGCGCAACCGGACGGAAACAAGTTTAATGTTTACATTCCAGCTTCTGGCTTCCTCTAAACGTGCGACTAGACGTGAGGGTATGAGAGATACCCATTTGTACGACTGAAAACAGACTAAAACATGTAACTTTCATCTTCTTAGTGGCTCTCACATTTAGTTCACAGAGTTGTGCTGTTTCAGTGAGTGAGTGAGTGAATGAGTATGGTTTTACGCTGCTTTTAGCAATATTCCAGCAATATCACGGCGGGGGAAACCAGAAATGGGCTTCACACATTGTACACATGTCGGGAATTGAACCCGGGTCTTCGGCGTGACGAGCGAACGCTTTAACCACTAGACTACCCGACCGCCACAGTGCTGTTTCAGGCAGGACCATTTGTATTAAATACTACTTAAAAAAGTAAAAGAACACCCCATTCTTTCACATCGATATAGTTAATTTGCCATAGCATGATTAAGCATAGTCATATGAAAGGGTATTCTTCAAGTTCTCTTGGGTAGCAGATAATGAGAAAGTGAAGGTTGCATGTAGCAATCTGTGTCAAAAACGTTGAGTCTACTAGCCTGAACTTTGCTATAAGCATCTTTAATGTTAATTTAGATATTATTAGACTATTATTTACTGTCCTTACTAGACCTAACAGAATTTCACTAGACTCGGGCTTGGGACCAGAGGCTAAGGTGGCTGATGTACTGACCTGTCGTAGATGATGGTTTGAATGTGTAACATATGACTTCAGAATCTCTGTCAAGAACCATTCCACCTCATCCTGCATAGCTCCAAGACTTGCCTGGGAACATAAACAAAGCACTCCAATACCCCATATATAGAACAATCATTCTATGTTGTAGATGTCGTCACAACCGTATCTTAGTAAAGACCACTAAATTCGTTTGTTTTTTTTGTCAGGGAGCCAAATGGCTCCCGACATGCATTTTTGGGGAGCTAAACCTGAGTTTTTAGTAGCCAAAAGATATCTTAAACAGATATTATCGCCAGTTATGTTTACTTTTAGGTAGACAAATTTAGGTCACCAACCATAGATTTAAGTTGCATTTGACAACCCCAATTGTCGCTACTTAGAGGGCTGTCTATCCCACTTGAACAATTCGGTGATGAAAGAAACAAATATAAATACTAACATCCTGTCTTGTAAAATCAGTGTCTAAAATATTCAGTTACAGCAGCTGTGAGCTCACCTGAAATTCTTCTTCTGTCTGTGTCCAAAAATCCCTCACCAAGGATGATCGTCCCCCCTGTGCCACACTGACAAGGGCATCACCGATAGTGAAGTGTAGATCCACTTGCTTCACCTGAAATACCAACTCAATACTTCTCAATGTATACAAGAATTGTCCATGATCCAACCAGGGTGAATAAAATGGTAGCCCTCAAGTTGGTCAAAAGGCTTGATTATTCATCTTAAGTATCTCCTATCTAAGGATTGAGATTTGCCTTTAATAATGTGTAAAATGTTCACTCAATGTACGTCAGTAGCCATGACAGTTACTGGCATAGTGTGCACAGATCAAAGAAAAGTGAGTACTTGTGAGACATGAAGTGTCTGTTTGTTGTTAAACGCTGCACTCAGTAAAATGCCAGCTATGAGACGGTGGGCTGTAAACAATCAAGTCTGGTCCCTACAATCCAGTGATTGAAATTGTGAGCAATGCTGCATGCTATCAGAATACAATGCCACATCATCAACCAAGTCACAGGCCCAGACAACCAGATCCATTTAGTTGTCTGCTACAACCAGCACAGGTTGCTGGGGACCAATTCTAACCAGGAATCCCCACAGAGGCATAGACATGAAGTGCACTGACCTGCACGGCATTGAAGAGTTCTGTGATGGCCTTCCTGCGATGAGGAAACTCCACATCTCCTGCACAGATGTATCCAAGGCACATGGCAGCTCGCTCCTTAGACTGCAACAAAGCATTGATAGCAAATATTGCAATCACACAACCATACCAATGTGGAGCATTGGGCATGAAGTGAGAGAACCCTTTAACTGCAAGGCTGACCTATCATCAATAGTCTTATGCAGGCAGTTCCACCTATCACAGCCTACTAGAACCATGAACAGTACTTCAGTTATATACCACAGCCTACTAGAACCATGAACAGTACTTCAGTTATATATCACAGCCTACTAGAACCATGAACAGTACTTCAGTTATGTATCACAGCCTACTAGAACCATGAACAGTACATCAGTTATATACCACAGCCTACTAGAACCATGAACAGTACTTCAGTTATGTACCACAGCCTACTAGAACCATGAACAGTACTTCAGTTATATATCACAGCCTACTAGAACCATGAACAATATTTCAGTTATATTAAAGCCTACATGAACAGTACTTCAGTTATGTACCACAGCCTACTAGAACCATGAACAGTACTTCAGTTATATATCACAGCCTACTAGAACCATGAACAGTACTTCAGTTATGTATCACAGCCTACTAGAACCATGAACAGTACATCAGTTATATATCACAGCCTACTAGAACCATGAACAGTACTTCAGTTATGTACCACAGCCTACTAGAACCATGAACAGTACTTCAGTTATATATCACAGCCTACTAGAACCATGAACAATATTTCAGTTATATTAAAGCCTACATGAACAGTACTTCAGTTATGTATCACAGCCTACTAGAACCATGAACAGTACATCAGTTATATACCACAGCCTACTAGAACCATGAACAGTACATCAGTTATATACCACAGCCTACTAGAACCATGAACAGTACAGCAGTTATGTACCACAGCCTACTAGAACCATGAACAGTGCTTCAGTTATATATCACAGCCTACTAGAACCATGAACAGTACTTCAGTTATGTATCACAGCCTACTAGAACCATGAACAGTACTTCAGTTATATATCACAGCCTACTAGAACCATGAACAGTACTTCAGTTATATATCACAGCCTACTAGAACCATGAACAGTACTTCAGTTATATATCACAGCCTACTAGAACCATGAACAATATTTCAGTTATATTAAAGCCTACATGAACAGTACTTCAGTTATATCACAGCCTACATGAACATTACTTCAGTTATATCACAGCCTACATGAACAGTACTTCAGTTATATCACAGCCTACATGAACATAACTTCAGTTATATCACAGCCTACATGAACATAACTTAAGTTATATTACAGCCTACATGAACAATACTTCAGTTATATCACAGCCTACATGAACAGTACTTCAGTTATATCACAGCCTACATGAACAATACTTCAGTTATATCACAGCCTACATGAACAATACTTCAGTTATATCACAGCCTACATGAACAATACTTCAGTTATATCACAGCCTACATGAACAGTACTTCAGTTTGCTGACCTTGTTGGATTCCTTGCTGGTCTTCAGCATGTTGACAAGCCAGGTCATGATGTTCCACTTGGTTATGTCCTCCTTCTTATCCTCCTCCCCACCAGGGGGCACTGGTAGGGGTGCATTACGACCGATCTCACCCAGGGCAATGCATGCTGGGGTCAACAGATTACTGTCCCTGTCTCGTAGGTAACCAGCTAAAACACATACAGACAACAATAAATTTGTTTGTGATTGATGTCCCTCATTGAATAGTACATCCACCTACCTATCAGTTGTACTGTACATCCTCCTACCTATCAGTTTACAGTACATCCACATACATATCAGTGTTTCAGTACATCCACCTACCTATCAGTTGTACAGTACATCCACCTACCTATCAGTTGTACAGTACATCAACCTACCTATCAGTTTACAGTTCATCAACCTACCTATGAGTTGTACAGTACATCCACCAACCTATCAGTTGTACAGTACATCCACCTACCTATCAGTTGTACAGTACATCAACCTACCTATCAGTTTACAGTTCATCAACCTACCTATCAGTTGTACAGTACATCCACCAACCTATCAGTTGTACAATACATCCACCTACCTGTCAGTTGTACAGTGCATCCACCTACCTATCAGTTTACAGTTCATCAACCTACCTATGAGTTGTACAGTACATCCACCTACCTATCAGTTGTACAGTACATCCACCTACCTATCAGTTGTACAGTACATCCACCTACCTATCAGTTGTACAGTACATCCACCAACCTATCAGTTGTACAATACATCCACCTACCTGTCAGTTGTACAGTGCATCCACCTACCTATCAGTTGTACAATACATCCACCTACCTATCAGTTGTACAGTACATCCACCTACCTATCAGTTGTACTGTCTTTTGAATCAGTTCCTGGTTGTGGCTGGCCTGATCTGTCTGCATGTCACATGACCTTCCACGTCTCCCCAACTGACCAATCAGATAGCCCAAGGCAAGTAGTGAACCTTGCTTCAATTCCACCTTCTAAAACAGAAATAACAACAACTGTCTATTTATCTCTACCCTTGGAGTCAACAGATAAAAGATTTTCTCACTCAACAATATGACGGCAACCTGTAAACAATCGTGTCAAGACCAGACAATGCAGTGATTGATATTGTGAGCAACGATCAACCAAGTCACTGAGACTCTTACAACCAGCATAGATTGCTTGGGACCTATCCTAAGTCTCCTATCTCCACAGTGTCTGAGAAAAGAATTTAATGTGTTTGGTATTATTCTAATCTAAAACATTAACTAGTAATGCAGGAATACTATTCTCATATTGGATTTCAATATGTAAAAGACACGATTGCTACTTTTAGCATTGATATCAAAAACAGACATTAAAATTCAAGACACCAAAGATGATTCTGATATAAGAAACACAAGTTTAACAAGTGTGATGAGTTAACACTCTGTGTAGTGAGCCTCAGATGCTATCTTTTGTTACAAGTTATCACACCATTCAACTGCAGCACCAAATGTGGTAAACCATAGTGAATGTACCTTGTGGCCGAGGTTGTCACATTTAACCACTTTATCGAAGCATCACCCCAGATGCCACCTTGTGTCCGAGTTGATGTGCAAACTCCTTTCACCAATCACATGGTAATGTACAGTGCTCATACCTTGCTTTTGAGGCTGTCTGCAAACTCCTGTGCTGTTTCCTTTCACAAATCACATGTTAATCTACAGCGTTCATACCTTGCTTTTGAGACTGTCTGCAAACTCCTGTGCTGCTTCAGCGACCTGGGCCTTGTCTGTTGAGTGTAGGATGACGATGGAGAACAGCTGGGCAGCAGGTGCTCGGATGTCATCTTTACTGGATGATATCAGATTCTGCACAAGAGACCAACAACTCTGAAGAGACCTTACGATTCATGAAACAACCATATTTCATTTCAACATGGCAAATAAATATAAAACTGATGTACTGAAAAAATATATTGATGCCATCTTCATCCTCTTCAATACTGTCCTGTTTTACACTGAATGCTCATCTTAAGAAGAGTGAGTGAGTGAGTATGGTTTTACGCCACTTTTAGCAATATTCCAGCAATATCACGGCGGGGGACACCACAAATGGGCTTCACACATTGTACCCATGTCGGGAATCGAACCCGGGTCTTCGGCGTGACGAGCGAACGCTTTAACCACTAGGCTACCCGACCGCCCATCTTAAGAAGAAGTCCAAGTGTCATCTTACACATGCAACACCCTACAGTGTACCCACCTTAAGCCAGTCCATGTGACGCTTGAACTGAGGAGCCAGTTTCTCCGGAGCCACAGCTACAATCTCCAACAGACAGTACATCACCTGTGGATCTGGAACAACACATACATACTTCATAGTCTGGTCTCAACTCATGACTTGAGCTATTATTGTTAAGTAGCTCTACTTATAGTGAAGCTTGAACTACCAATGATGTTTAATGAAGACACTTAAATTTTGCTTTAAATAGTCTAGTTGTGTTAAATGAACCAGTAGTCCAAATTGAGCTATAGATGAGTTGATCATAACTCATTGTGTCTATCTTCCCGAGGCAAGAGAGTTAACTGACTAATAGTCCAGTCTCCACCCTTGCCGAACTAAGCTGGAATTACCAGACTCGATCGTAGCACCACCAGTGACTATTACGAGTTATGTCCCTTCTATGTCCCTCCTATTGACCAATCAGATTCCATCTCTCAAATCACTTTAATTTGCTTCAAACAAAACGGAGACGCCGATCAAGATGATCTGATTGCTAATCAAGATCTTATCAACTTGAGCACCTTGATTAGAAACATGAAAAGATTTGCAAAATATTTGTCGACACCCAGCTGGCGCTACACATGCTTTGCAAATCCTGCAGTCGACCTAAATCTGCACGTTGAAATCCATGCTGTTTACAAACCAGATGTCTAGTTCATTAAACAATTTGATTGGACTATGCATAGGCTTGTTAGTCTAGTCAAAATGTAACTCCGGAATACCAGCCAAGTTCGGCAAGGGTGGAAACTGGACATTTCTTGTCAGTTAACGCCCTTGCATCGGGAAGATGACTCATGCTGACTTATGACAGTCCACAATCACAGACTGATAACAAAATAGACCTGTATTGTCAGTTGTCAATACTGGAGACAAATGGCCTTCAGTCTGATGCAGAGCTACAGATAAGCTGCATATTTTTGTAAAATACCCCCAAAAAATATTCAAAACACAATTACTTTCAATTAACTTGCGTACAGAAACGCATGCATTAATGAAAAACTCAAATGTATAAAAACAGCATGCGTAAATACCCAATGAAGCTTTTTCAGCATGCGTACAACAGAGCTAATTTCCGAAACACAATTACACGCTAATTTACTTTCTGAGTCAAGCCTTTAGTTAGAACCCTTATATACATCACAAAACATTATTTTATTTTTTTTAAATCTCAAAATGTTAGCTCATTTTGGGAAAAACGCAATAGAGTCAAAATATATTGGTTACCCAATGAAAAATGTAATAACCCAATTAAAATAGAACCCTTCGTGTAAAAACTCAATTGCTAAAAAAGTTATCTGGAGCTCTGCTGATGACAAAAGTTCAGGGCTCTTGATACATATTCCATAGTATATATACAAACACAACATCACAGCTTTAAAAACAAGTTGTTTCAGCCCTCCGTACCCACCTGTCACAGCCCTGAGCAGCTGTCTGAGCATGTCTACATACATCTCGACACCTGACGTCCCGTCCCCGCTGGCGGCCAGCAGCTGTCTCACATACTTGGCAATAGCAGGTGCTTGGTCCTGTTGGGAGTCAGTGTCCAGCTCGGGGGAGATCCCGGCACTGTAGGCCAGGCATGTCCGTAGATACACCACCACCTGGAGGGAGAAGACACTTGCAAACTCAGCACTCATTCAGTTAAAGCAGTCTGCTTGACAAGAGAGTATGCTGCAAGCTTTAGTGTGCCCAAGTGTCTATGCCAATAGTGAGCGAGTTGGGTTTAACGCCGCTTTTAACAGTATTCCTGTTATATTGCGGCGTGTCAGCTTAATGTGGGAGAAAAGCCCGAAGTGATGCAGGTCGCAGATGTTTACCACTTCGGTGAAACCCACGAGCACGGGTATGGTGCTGACAAACCTAGAAACATAATCAGGCGCGAACTGGGATTCGAACCCACAATCATAGATTTCTGGCGTGCCCAAGGGACGCAACTCTGCACAGCGAATCGCGGCACCTTAGACGACTGGGCCACCCGTGCCCCCGTCTATGCCAATAGGTGGCACATGTCACCGTGTTTAGCAACTTGACTCCTGAGCGTTTCTGGGGGTTGGGTCCTGACACATACAGTGTCTCCTAAGGCAAGGGACAAAATACACTTCTGTTCACCCAGCAATGAATGGGTACCTGGTATGCTGAGATGGTAATGTGACTGTAAATCTTCTAGTGCCTAACAGGCAGCTTGGGTTGTATACTCCCCAGGGAGCTGAGAAAGAAAATAGAATGCACACTGATCCATTGACCAGCTTAAGAATAACGTAGCACAATGAGGATTCACTGTGTGGAATTTATAATGGAGGAGAAGCAGGTTCTCCTGAGGCTACAGAGAGTGTCTCCAGAATGCGATGCTTGGACTCACCTGTGTGTATGCTGCTGTGTTGAACGGGAGAGATGTGCTGCCCACCACCGTCCGATCCTTCCGCTGGTCAGCCTGCCAGGAAACAGTCAGTTACATGTTAGTTACAGTATTTCCTTAAACAGTTCAGTGACACTGGTTCATATGTTAAGTTTTGGAATAAATGGCAAATTTCTACTAGTCCTTGTGATACCTTAACCACAGTAAACTACGGTTATATCAAACTCAGAGGGACCACTAATTTTAATTTGTTATAACCGTAGTTTTTTATAAGCATATGTACGGCATATACAGCACCTGGACAGGACCAAAAAATAGTTCGATATATCCGTCAGTTCATTATAAACGTAGTTTACTGTATTGGTCAGTTTGGCAAGGACCACAGGACTAGTGCCAATTTCTAATGCTGGATACATAACTATTGCATAGCAAGTTTCGCATTCCCTTATGTTCAACTTGCTCCCTCTCCATAGTTTCATATGATATTTACGTTTTAACAGAACTGCTTGAGGTACAGGTTCGCAACAATAGTTGCATAAACATTGAATATACTGTTCAAATTTTCAGTAGCAGATTTCTATCTGTACTAGTAGTAGTATTTGCTGATGTCTTTTCTTCATGTTAGGTACTGGCAAATATAATTACACGACAATATAAATAATTGGCAAGTGACTCCATTGCATTTGATTGGTGGACCAAGCAAGTTCTTTGTGTTTATGTTTTGAGAACCCTAAATAAACAATTAGGCCATTTCCACTAACAGACTACTGACTCCTGATTGTCTAATAACAGAATGGGCGGGGCTTGTGTACTGAATGATGTCCATGACTTTGGAAGTTTTAAAATTCTTTTCATGTTAATGATTATAAATACCGTATTTTCTTGAGTATAGTGCACACTTTCTTTCAAAAAAACAGGAAGGGGGTGCGCATTATACACGAATTATGAGTTTGGATGTTTTTTTCCCCCATTGAAAGACATTACCGTGAGCACGTAACACCGGAAATACCATGTCAACAAATCCATACTGAAGTACGCAAAATAATTATGTAATTACACTGTCTGGCTATAAAAAGTGTTATTTGTATAACTTGACTTATTTTTGTAACTTATTTCATTAATTTTATTCAAAATTCCTTTTAATATTGTTTTTATTAAATTTCGGCGAAATCGTGTGTGAAGCGATCGGAAGATCGCACAACTCACCGTTATTAACAGCAACCACGGTCAGAATACCGCTATTGACGCCTTGAAACAAACTTTAGTTGACAGAGAATGGATACATCATACTTGACATACTTTGACTCGTTAAAAGTCATATTTGTTTTTGTTTGATGATTCTATGTCAACATGAAATTCTCGCGATCACGCGATCACGCGATCATGTGCGCGTGAGCCTTGACGGTGACTGGTCAGATTGGTTCCATGTAAAAAATAATACCCGGGAATAGCAATCAGCTGCTTCGCTTAGGGTTATTATTATTTTAAATATGTTTAGTAAAGGCTGCATATAATTAAGAAAATAATGGAATATATTATTCCTGATAAAAAAAAATAGTTTCAGATACAATTTTTGCCGATTCTTGCATTAAAAATCCTATAAAGTTATATCATTGGGTGTGTCTTGACCGAATCACCGGTCAATTCCAAGAAAACGTGTGTACAGCTGATTGCTGTTTCCAGCTTTGTTTACGAGACAATACACAAGGTAATCTTAATCCCTGGATATAAAACAATGCCTAGCAGAACAATAAATACTATTTAATCGGTAAATAAACATGTCTGGTGATTTTTTATCTCCAATTTCGAATTTGTACTGACGAAGTTTCTCATCACCCGTTCGTTTGCCGGACTTCGCTGAAAGGGTACGGTGTAATTTTTTTCTGCGCATAATAGTCAATTTTCTTTTTTTCAAAATATTGAACCCGCTAGAGGGGGGTGCGCATTATACATGGGTGCGCACTATACTCAAGAAAATACGGTTGTCTGTGAAGTTATTATCATGATTATTGTTATTTTATTTATTTATATCAGCTGTCACATTTACAGTTTGCACACTTTATTACGTTTATACCTTCATAAACTCAAAAAATATTGGAATCAGCTCATTCAATCAACAGACTTACTTGTGCTCTGATGTACTGAATCATCTGAGTGAAGTCTGGCAGTGTCAGGTTACGTCTCTTCTCAGCGTCCAGCTCACTCCGACTACTGCCTCCGTGTAAGGCTTTCACAGCCTCACCACGAATATCTTCCTTACTGTTGAGTGGACATGACACTTCATATTTATACATTACTATTACATAGACATGATCATTATCCAGTTACCTCTTTCAATAATTGCATTGATGAACTCCTTTTTGGGGTAGAAAGCTATTGATATGGTGATGACAGACCAAAGATCATAATCAGGGCAAATCTTTGATTCTAACCACCAGATCCTGCCTCAGACAACGATGCAAGCCGCACCCAGGGCATGACAAACTAAAATCAAGTAGGTACTTATTATGTTGTATTCATACTCAGAAGTCATTGTGACCAATCAATCCACATCTTAGACAAGTTTAAACCCAATTATTACACTTATAACAAGGGATACAAGAGATCTTATCGAGTCTATGATAGACATTTAGAAGTTGGATGAACGTGAAGACATGAAATTTTCATGGATAACAACATCTTTATCAGGCCCCTTCATCAGGTGAATACTAAATAAACTATGTGAGTTCAAACACAGACACGCCACCTGGGCAGCTATATGCTGGCAGCCGGGAAATAATTGAGTCTGGACAATCCAGTGTCCACACTAGGCAATATTCCAGCTATATAACAGCAGCCTTAAATAATCAAATTTGGTCCAGACATCAGTCACTGATAATGTGAACAATGATGCACACCTTCATGGTACCATGATGCAGCATCAACCATGTCACTGAGCCTGACCACCCGACCCACTTAGTCATTTCCTAGCATAGGGAAGACAGGGGATGCAGGTAATGAACGGTCATAGCACAGTAGAGTAATTAATGAATCTAAGTACTCACATATCTCCCGAGGCCAGGAGTAGAATGTATCTGGAAGGGATGTGGTCTTGAGGGAAGACAGCGATAGCATACTGTACAGCCATCAATCTTGCCTGCGATTCATTCTGAAACCATTACACATTCCTGTTATACATCAACCCCATATGATGTCATCATTTACTTAGGTTGCAGAAAAACAGTTTCTCAGGCACATTCCACTCAAAAGTGAGTAGGGTGGTAGGCTAACTTTGTTAATATTTTTATTGAAAACAAAAGTGATGAGGGAGAGACAACTTGTACTTTTCCCCACCAAGTATACCAACAAACACAACTGGACAAACATTGAACATGTCTCTTTCATACAATGTCAGCTGTCAAGCATGGATAACAGTGTCAATTTGAAACATGCTTTTATCATAAATAAGAATGAGTGACACACCGGATTTAAAAACATTTAAGTAGACCTTGGTCTGTATGTGTCCGTCACATAACCGAACAGCTTCCTAACCTTAATTAAGAAAATCCTCTTTGTACCTTCACCCTAAAAAATAATGTGAAATATCTTATAGCACAATATGTCAAGCGGCTAGAAATGCCACCACCACTGAAAGGACATAGCTCTTTGTATGTACAAAACAAGTCCAGATATCCCCAAAACACTTTTTATGTCAAGAAATAAAATAATTACCATATGATTCTGATGGAACTAACACAAGGTAGTCACATGAGCGAGTGAATTGGGTTTACATCTCTCTCACAGTTAAATCACATTGTGTCAGCTTAATAGTGGAGGTAACCCTAAAGTGACTGTAAACATTCACCAATTTGTAGCAATCGCCGAGGATAGGTATGGTCTAGATGGTGCTGACAAACCAAGGATCATAACTGGAATCAAATTATTTGGGACTAAAACCCACAATCGGATCCAAGCAATACTAAAGAATGCAAATCTGTTCAGCATGTTAAGTGGATTGCAGACTTCAGATGACAGGGTCACCTGTGCCGCCAAGGACAGACAAGAAACAGCTGTCCTGTATGTATCTGATAGGATACCAAGCTTGGTCTACTTGGCCGAGGGAACACACAACTACACATGTGTTATTGCTTGTTATTTGACATTAATCAATATCACCTTTATTAGCTGTATAGAACATTTCTACTCAGTTATGCATGAGATTGTCAACCCCCCAAAAGAAGTGTCTGATAGTTAAGCTTCTGAGGCAGTTCCAAGTCTTCCTCTCCATCCTTCTTTCCTAAACTCTGACAATGCCATGTTCTACCTGCACACGTCAACCATGCTGCTACATTACCCTCAGGGTCTTCAACTGATAGATTATATCTACATCTGTATTAAACATGCTAAAGCAAGATTCCCCATGTATGTCCACAACATTTGGACTTAAGGTCTTGAGAGACGCCATTCCCAGTCTTTGTAAAAAAAACAACAGAGTCTACTAGTCCGAACTTGGCATAATTTTAGTACATTTTTGGGGTTATATCATGGATTTTTATTAGCTGAGCTTACTACAATTACTACTAGACCAAACGCAACTCAGGTTCCAGACTTGTAGATAACGTTGCAATCTCCATTTTATTGTTCTACACATTGTTGCAAGAAAGGAATACCGTATGTATTGATAGATTATTGCTTGCCAATTTCAACATGTGGCTAGGAATCTTCCTGCGATTCCAATATCTGGCTGAGGCCGCCAGGGCGAGGTTAGATATGGGCCAGGGGAAGGTTCTAAGCAAGACATGGAAATTAACAAGTCAAAATATATTTATAGCTTAATTCATTCATTCAAAGTTTAAAATGAAAAAGGTAATGTCTATTGACAAACAGGATATTTGATAAACTAGGCCAAGTGAATAAATGTCACCTCTGAACAATTTTTAAATGTTCAAAATCAGTGAACACATCTTACACCATGGTACCTAGATATAAGCCTGGCTAGGTCTTGTGGTAAGCTACACACATCAGCTTAAACATGTTAAATGCATGATATTGTGACTTCATTCAACATTTTCAAACTGACATCCTTTTGAAATTTGGCAAGCATGCATTTTTCTTATCTGGAAATTCGAAAGCAATCATCACATCACCACTAAGATATTATATCATACATTCATATACCACACTTAACCAGACATCTCTGCTAAAATGCAGTTATATATTTGGTCGCCAATCAGTTGATTTGCATGCTTTCCACTCCCTTGGGATTATACAACCCATGCTGGCTACAAGTGCTAGAACGTTTAAGTGACACAAAGATATTATAACACCTCTCACTGATATGCTAGCATATGTTATATCTCTATCGGTTATTTGAATATCTATGTCTGGTGAGTATTCTACATGAAATCAAGTAATGGTGGTTTATTCTACAAATAATAATTCAAACCAGGTAGTAATTTCTAGTTCTGATTTGTGCGTTTCCAGATATCCAGATTTTACTGGACCAACAAACGGGAACATTTCTGTCCTTGAATCCAGATCAGAGAGAGTTCATCTCCTGAGTCATTCATGAAGATTAAATACAACATGAACAATGAGTTTAAGTAAGGCAAAATGAGGTTTAATGTCGCATTTAAGATATTGTGTAGCTGCATGTACTAGTGTGGACCAATGCCGATTTTATAGTGTTAGCCCACTGAGATACAATACCATAGTTTAACATGAATACCCCACTCAGATACATTATACTGATTCTGTTAAGGGCTAGTCCTTGCTTTATCCCCTTAATGCCGAGCGTCAGGCAGGGTAACAACAAGTACCATCTTTTAACATATTCAGGAGACCCCGCTCAGATACATTATACTGATTCTGTGAAGGGCTAGTCCTTGCTTTATCCCCTTAATGCCGAGCGTCAGGCAGGGTAACAACAAGTACCATCTTTTAACATATTCACGATAACCCACTCAGATACATTAAACTGACTGAGAAGGGCTAGTCCTTGCTTTATCCCCTTAATGCCGAGTGTCAGGCAGGTTAACAACAAGTACCATCTTTTAACATCTTCAGGATAACCCACTCAGATATGTTAAACTGATTCTGTTAAAGGCTAGTCCTTGCTTTATCCCCTTAATGCAGAGCGTCAGGCAGGGTAACAATAAGTACCATCTTTTAACATATTCAGGATACCCTACTCAGATACATTATACTGACTCTGTAAAGGGCTAGTCCTTGCTTTATCCCCCTAAATGCAGAGTGCCAGGCAGGGTAACAAGTGCCATCTTTTACCAAATTCAGGATAACCCACTCAGATACATTAAACTGACTCTGAGAAGCGCTAGTCCTTGTTTTATCCCCTTAATGCTGAGCGCCAGGCAGGGTAACAACAAGTACCATCTTTTAACATCTTCAGGATAACCCACTCAGATACATTAAACTGACTCTGAGAAGGGCTAGTCCTTGCTTTATCCTCTTAATGCTGAGCGCCAGGCAGGGCAATGTCTTTTGGTATGACCCATCCAGAGATCTAACCATCGACCTTCCATTATGCGGGTAGATGCTCTATCTATTAGTGAGTGAGTGAGTGAGTTTGGTTTAATGCCACTTTTAACAGTATTCCAGTTATATCACCCGAAGAAAGCCCAAAGTGATGCAGGTCTCAGACGTTTACCACTTCGGTGAAACCCATGAGCACAGGTATGGTACTGACAAACCTAGAAACATAATCAGGGCGAACCGGGATTCGAACCCACAATCATAGGTTTCTGGCGTGCCCAAGGGACGCAACTCAGCACAGCGAATTGCGGCGCCTTAGACGACTGGGCCACCTGTGCCCCCCTCTATCTATTACATTAGGGAGGCGGAATTTATGTACAATGAAAGTATTTGGACTCAGTGTAGTTCAGATTCAGGAGGGGTCATGCACACAGAGGATTTGGGTTCCTGGGACCAAATGGATGACAATAAAAATGGAAAAACTGATGATACAAACTAGTTGCATCATCATGATCATGGTAAAAACTGCAATAATGATTATTAATAAATTGAGAAAATAAATCTTGTGTAGCCATGCCATGAAAAATCTTAGGTACCTTTGTTACCCTCGTCTCCATCATTAAAATCAACTGAAAACCAGCAAGATTATTAACATGAGACAGTGGACTAACTAACCTTAGGTGAAGTAAATACAGTCAAGTCCTGTTAATCTGACATTGTTGGATGCATATGATTATGTCGGATTAACGAGTATGTCGGATAAACAAAATTAGGTTGTATCAACGTTCGTGATTGAAAATCGGACAACTACACGATAGAATACGATTCATAAAGAGGAAAAAGGCAATATTCAGACTGTTATGTTACATTGTTAGCGGAATATGTTTTCTAATCACATGTTTCTAATGTATGACTTTTTAAAGCATAGTCTGGAATGGAAGTCGCAAATTTGCAACTAGCGCCGCAATGCTTAAGAAAGCTGCTTACATAGTGGCTAATGTTGACTTCCTGTTAGTAATTTCATTGGCTGGTCAAAGTTTGAGAAAGGTCGTTCTGATGTGACCTGTAGTGGGATGTCAGCGGTAGCAAGAACTTGTATCCGATTTTATGAGATTGAGGTAATCTAAGCATGTGATTAATCCTGTTTTGTGTATTTAAAGCAGTAATTGTTAATTGTTAAGCAAGTTTATGTCTGCAGCCATTGAAACATGCAGCTACTCGCCGACTCGTCTTGCATCAAAACACAGGGCTGTGTACTCGCGGACAGATGACCACGGAGTATGCTGATCACTGTGTCGGATTAACCAGACTGATTAATGAGTGATTTCGGTAGTTTCTTGCAAATTAGGTGTGTCAGAGTCGGAGTGCGAGACTGTCAGATTAACAGATCTAAACAGCACTGATTTGATCGGTTCCCATCATAAGTGTCGGATAAAGCTGATTGTTGGATTAACGAATGTCGGATTAACAAGTGAGTGAGTGAGTGAGTATGGTTTTACGCCGCTTTTAGCAATATTCCAGCAATATCACGGCGGGGGACACCAGGAATGGGCTTCACACATTGTACCCATGTCGGGAATCGAACCCGGGTCTTCGGCGTGACGAGCGAACGCTTTAACCACTAGGCTACCCGACCGCCCCTCGGATTAACAAGACTTGATTGACTGTATGTCACACACTGCAGAGAAGTTGTGGAGTTAAAAATATCATATTACCACCATACTTACAATTTAGGCTAGATTAACTGTGTGTGTGTGTGTGTGTGTGTGTGTGTGTGTGTGTGTGTGTGTGTGTGTGTGTGTGTGTGTGTGTGTGTGTGTGTGTGTGTGTGTGTGTGTGTGACACCTCACTGAGCATGCTCAGCAATATTCCATCTATATGACAGCAGCATGTGTACAACAGAGTCTTGAGCTGATATTCTAGTGATTGATATTGTGAGCATCGATCCACGCAGTCGTCTACAATGACACGCCATCAACCAAGTCACTGAGTCTGACAACCCATTCCTTTTCAAACAGCAAAGGTTGCTGAGGACCAATTCTAACCTGAAATTCCCCCCAGGGGACTAGATTTACAGAACACCAACTTGGTCCCTATTCCTGATAACACAACCTATTATGGTGCAAGGCAATTGTTCTTCTAACAAGGTTTACAAAACACCTGCATGGAGGTAGCAACAGTTCCTCAAACAAGAATTGCTAGAACACCTACTTGGTCCATGCTCTGCACCAGTGGTGCTAGAGTGATAGACAATGGTTCCTATATCCATGGTAACAACAATGAACAGATCACCTACTTTGTCCATGTTCTGCATAACACAATTACCAGTGGTGATAGAGTGCTAGACAAAGGTTCCTGTAACCATGGGAACAATAATTGCTAGAACACCTACTTGGTCCATGCTCTGCACCAGTGGTGCTAGAGTGATAGACAATGGTTCCTATATCCATGGTAACAACAATGAACAGATCACCTACTTTGTCCATGTTCTGCATAACACAATTACCAGTGGTGATAGAGTGCTAGACAAAGGTTCCTGTAACCATGGGAACAATAATTACTAGAATACCTACTTTGTCCATGTTCTGCATAACACAATTACCACTGATGCTAGAGTGCTAGACAAAGGTTCCTGTAACAATGGGAACAATAATTACTAGAATACCTACTTTGTCCATGTTCTGCATAACACAATTACCACTGATGCTAGAGTGCTAGACAAAGGTTCCTGTAACCATGGGAACAATAATTACTAGAATACCTACTTTGTCCATGTTCTGCATAATCAGAGCCTCCATGAGTTTCTTGTTGTTGTCATCCAGATGTTTGAAGGCCTCGGACATCATTGATAATCCCTCTTGGACTGCAAGTCTCGTTTCATTGTCCTCCTATATACACACGAGAATCATTATAACACATTTATACAAACTGAATAACACATAATCCCTATGTCCAAAAGATAATGTCCAATGTACACTAACAAAGTGAGTGAGTGAATATGGTTTTATGCCACTTTTAGCAATATTCCAGCAATATCACGGCTGGGGACACCAGAAATGGGCTTCACACATTGTACCCATGTGGGGAATCAAACCCGGGTCTTCGGCGTGACAAGCAAACGCTTTAACCACTAGGCTACCCGACCGCCCCACACTAACAAAGAGTCAAGAAATCTTTTATCATGTTTATAACACATAAAAATTCAATGTTTTATTTTGTATATGCTGATGCAAAGGATCACTGTATTATATGTTATTCCACATACCATATACATACTGCATATCAAACTTTATGATACATGCAGAAAAGGCTGAATAATTGGCCAAAATGACATTTTAAATATGGCTGCCATCATGGCCATGTTTAAAATTGGATCTGAATTATATAAGCAAGGAGAAACCATTGCTCAGATCCCCAATGCAAACTTACAGCATCACTGTGTTTTCTTAGTGAAAATGTACAAGTTTAAGATGGACGGAAGATGTACAGAAGATTATTGGTTACCTGTTCAAAATTCAGTGCTAAGCGTAAGTTCAGCAATAAAATCCTGATCTGTATTAGCTCACCTGGCAAACTGCTTCAAAGAACTTTTGAACCAGTGTGATATCCTTGGCCACTCTCTGGGGCGACCTCCGGGCAATTTTTCCTACAGCGATGTAGGCTAGTCCTCTCAGTTTGGAATCCTAAAGGAAAGATACTACATGAATTAGAGACATGACAAGCTTTCATTGCAAGGTTTAGCTTCCATGATTTAACAGATATATATCCCAGTTCAGGATGTTATATACACTGGTTTTACACAACAAGCAGATCATAAAGCTACACAATGACAATGCAAAGTAAAAAGTTTCACAGAAGCTGATTAGATGGTTTATTTTCTGCATTAAACTGCCTATACACAGGATACTACACGTTAAAGAGGGGAAATATTCCAGAAGTTTCATCTAACACAAATTAGGTAGATGGTGGAAAGGCATTAATGATCCCATCAAAGCTGAAACTGATACAAAGTTAGTACTATCTATGCAGAGGCAATTGCATTACAGTGTTACTTAGCTGTGTCTTATAACACAGACAAACAGTGACCACAGGTCAGAGAGTTACTAACTTGTGTTAGTAACATAAAGGAATACATACTTCTTTTGTCATCAATAAATTGAAAGCAAAATTAAACAAATAATGCAGTTTTAACACATGCATATAAATAGTGCCATTTTCAGCAGTTTTCGCTTAATGTGATTAGGGTTCCTCTAAACTAATTCCACTAGAAAATTAGAGACTGCCAAAAAAGCTGCCAAAAAAGACATTCAGGTTATTACTAAGTCAAGTCAAAAGCAGCCACTTAATGGCAAAATGATAACACATTTACCACAGTTGACCTAGTTGGTGTCCTGCCAAATCCACAGTACTACTTTTGATTTAAATAACTCCTAACTAAAACATTTCTATTCAAGTCCTTCATCTACATTTTTATAGCTGAAAAAAGAAAAAAACAAATGGTTCTGAGAAAATGACTTTGGAAAGATTCGTGATGGAATGAAGCTCTCTTATATTGGACAATCGTAGACTGGTTCACTTTGAACAGACAGATTTAACATTTGTATAGAACTACATAAAATATTAACATAAGCACCCATAGATATGACAGAAGTCAGGTCAAATATAGGAATATTGACCAAATAGGTGTTGGTGTGACTTGAAATGGGGTTGTGTGTGTGTGGTGTGTGCTTGTACTAGTCCAGACTAATGCCGATTTTATAGTGGTAGCCTACTGCGATACCATGCCACAGTTTAACATTAATACCGATCTTAGACACACTATACTGACTCCGAGGCAACCAGTCCTTGTCTTAGCCATTCAATGCCAAGCACAAGGCAGGGTAGCAACAAGTACCACCTTTTAACGTCTTTTGGTATGATGAGGCCAGGGATTAAACCCCCTCCCTTCCACTCTCTAGGCAAATGCTCTATCATTCGACCATAGAGGCGGTCTGTTTGAATAGGTTCTTTATCAGGCCTACCAAAGAAAACCAGCAGATATCAACCAAACCATGGAATATGTACACACTTTGAATAGAAATAGCCATACATAAATTACAAACAAGACAAAATCCCCATAAAGTGTGCACCATAATGATTAAGACCTGCCAAATTTTCAATGAAGACCGCAACAAACCAAATGCGTGCACACTTAGTTTGTTGCGGTCTGCGTGACTTACCATGCTTACTGTGTTTAGTTCCATTGAAAATTGTCAGGTTTTAATCAATACGATGTACACTTTAGACAAAGTGTGTATATTCCATAGTTTAGCAGCTCTCTGCTGGTTTTCTTTGGTAGGCCTGATTATCATCCTGAGCTAGTATTTCACAAAGCATCATGGAACATTATGAAAACCACTTATCTATATTAGAGTATGGAGAGTATGTAAGCTAAAATTTGAGATCACTTTCAGATCTGGGGCTTGAACATTTGCTGAGGGTACAAAGTGAATATCTGAAAAGATTTTTTACAAAAGAAGAGCTGCTGTTCCTGAATCCATTGATAATATTTCAGCCATATCATGGCTGCTTCACAATGCAAACAATGCATACTACAATGTGCTAATGATACATTTGTCTAGCCTATCTACATTGGTAGGTCCCTATATTGGGATATGACAGTGTATAGTCGATAACATGGATGATTAAATGAAGAAGCTTCATAGGGTCTCTGCATCATGCCAACACCGATCACACACGGCATGGATTGGGTGGGCGGTGGTACCAGCAGTCTGGCAGCCAGCCAATGGGGCCTACATGGTGAGGACTGGGCTACTGGATCATCTAGCTAAACCACTCTGGGGGCACACACACATCTCAGGTACTCTGTACATCCATCTGTACATTCAAGGTACAGGTGTATCTCGCAATCACAGCAAATTAATTTCAATGTTATTTGGTGGCCCATGGAAAGTATTTCAAAGCATGTTACTTTCAGTACCATCTAGGTCCTAATACTAAGATTCGAAGAGACGTTTTCCAATTATGAAAGTGACAGGTCGTAATACAACTTCATCCCAGTAGTCTGACAAGCCTACCAATGGTTGATAGCCTGAGCATCAATCCACAATGCGTAGATGTCATGACATGCTTCATCAACCATGACAGCTGGGAGTTAGTCTTCTCTGGTAGCCAACTAATGATTCAGTTTGTTGTTTAAGATCACACCCAGCAATATTTCAGCTTTGACAGCAGCTTTAAATAATCAAGTTTGGACCAGACTCCAGTCACTGATGATGTGTACAACGATGCATATCGTTGGGGTATGATGACAAGCAATCAACCAAGTCACTGAGGCTGACCACCTGATTCATTTGGTTGCCTTTTACGACCAGCATAGGTTGCTGGGGACCTATTCTAACACGGGTCCAACTATTGGCCCTGCCATCTTTGTTGCCCAATAGGCAAGCTTCAGGTGCTTGGGATATGATCTGCTCCCAAATCTCCAGGTAAGACAATGTTGCAAAATAATGTTGCCCAGGGATGCCTGAAGTTTGCTGCTCTAGTAATTAAATCTGGGGCGCCCTTCAAACTTCAAGTTCATGGCAAGAACCCCTATGTATAATTTCAAACAAGATAAAACATCTTCCATCCTTTTCTTGATATCATGACACATATTCCTCTGATCAGTAGAAAGCGTTTTGTCATCATGTAGTTTTAGCATGAACACTATGTTGTAATTCCCAGAGAACATGCTCGAACACACACACAAACACACACTTATGTTCTGCTCGTAAGTCTCCATCTTAACCAATTCTGATGGATCAATTCTGTTACAATTACAGCATTTTAAGTACTCCAATGTATACTAGGGAGGCCACATAGATAAAGTAGCATCGTTCGGGTCAGGTTGGCATTGGATGGCTACAACTGCTAGGCAAAACCGTCATTCATCAGGAGCTACTTGCCTGATAAACAAACTTACGACGACAGCGTTTCATCTGAAAGTAAGTCGTAGTCGGCAAACTTGTTTTAGCATTTGTGCCACTTGGTACGTAATTCAAATATAGACGTAACATAAACAAAACACAAATATATATATGTACATATACAGTGAAGCCTCATTAATCCAGACCCCATTGATACAGAAACTGTTTCCTTTACATATAGCAATGTCAATGTATAGCTAAAGGGACAATACTTACCGTACTGAACAAAATTGTTCAGGGATCATGAATATTTTCATGAAGTTTTTATCAAATTGTGAGCTCAGTCATCACTACCAAAAAATATCCCGCCAATTATTCATGATCCATAACGGTTTATGTTCAGTATATATACCAATAATTCAGAAACTTGTCAATGCACTAACTAATTCACAAGGTTGGTTGGTTGGTTTGTTGTTTAACGCCGCACTCAGCAATATTCCAGCTATATGACGGCGGTCTGTAAATAATCGAGTCTGGACCAGACAATCCAGTGATTGATATCATGAGCATCGATCCACGCAATTGAGATCGATGACATGCATCAACCAAGTCAGCGAGCCTGACCACCCGATCCCGTTAGTCGCCTTTTACGACAAGCAGTCACATTTTACGGCAAGCAAGGGTTGCTGAAGACCTATTCTACCCCGGAATCTTCACGGGTCTAATTCACAAGGAACAGTAGTGTCTGGAGTAATGGGATTTCACTGTATATACGTTTCAACACTGATTCAGATAGATAAGGAGAAAGAAATGGCAGACTGACTATGTCACTACACTGTCTATTCACACATTCACATTTAATGCAAAATAACTGATAGCATTAGTGCTGAGAGATCTACAGAAAAGAGTGTGATAGTTGTAAAACACACTGTGTTTGTAACATATAATTCCTTTCGAAGTCGTAAAGATATGAAAGATAGTAGCAAGCAATGACTGTCCTGTGGTGACTGATGACAGAAGTCGGTTCAACTACATCATGAATGTTACCATGAAAACGTCAACTAATTAGCAGGAAGAACAATAATCACCATATCCAACTATATACAGTGGGTCAATTCCAGCTGTTTAAAAGTTTAAACATCGTAATGAACCTAACTAGTGACCCCAGCGTCAATAAACTGTGTTCAGCCTGGTTCTACAAAACAATTCACACTAACATCACATCCCCTTTTTACATTTTCAAAGCTGTTATTCTTAATTGCTTATAACAAGATTAGGTATTTCTTTTCAACTGAGGCTAGCCTTGAGATAATAGTGAGGTATGTCCAAAGACTGAACAGTGACTACCATTTCAACAGCTGGAATCCCTGTGACACTAATGATGAGCATCAGTTATATTCCTTTACCCTGGAAGTCACTGATGAAAGAAAGAAAGGAAGTCCGAGAGTAATTAAATCTTGTGAAATTTAGTATTCAAGCTGCATTTTATGGAAATTCAAGATTTCAAAGCCTTTTTTCAAAGCTTTACCAAATATTTTCAAAACTCTTTCCAAGATAAATCTAACATCAAAGCCTGTTGAAACCCTGTACAGCAGTGACCACAGTACGGAACAAAAGCAACCTCCTACAATGAGCACAGTAGTGTCAATGAGGACTTGCTCCCCAGTTACATACCTCCTTCGCCTCACCAATCAGCTTCACCATTCCTGACAACAGCACTGCATCAAACATGTGGAACTTGGCCGAGTCACAGCTGGGGGGGGATTAACGACAGACCACATCAATACAGCATACGTTTATATGTGTACACCACGGCCAGATTCAGTTGCACAGCCCCAATGATGTTTTTTAAAATATTAAAATATCAACACATGAATATAACTGAGAAAAAAAAATTATTCTCTCATCCTCATCTAACTGGTTCTTTCATACATTACAGTTTCATCATCGGACGCAGGTGTGTATCCATACTAAATTTCTTTAACTCATTTATTACACGACAATACTTCTAATATTACAAGGAATATATCCATAACTCTCTCACCAAGTGAGTGAGTATGGTTTTACGCCACTTTTAGCAATATTCTAGCAATATCACGGCAGGGGGACACCAGAAATGGGCTTTACACATTGTACCCATGTCGGGATTCGAACCCAGGTATTCAACATGATGAGTGAGAGTGAGTTGGGTTTAACGGGATTCGAACCCACAATCATAGGTTTCTGGCGTGCCCAAGGGACGCAACTCTGCACAGCGAATCGCGGCGCCTTTGACAACTGGTCCACCCGTGCCCCCTCAACGTGATGAGCGGACGCTTTATCCACTAGGCTATCCGACCGCCTCTCTCTTATCAAGGGATGAAAGACTTTTGCAACTTTAAACATGAAATAGTATAAATCTTGCACAGCTCAAGTTCTTTATCTAGCATTGCTTGTCCAGAAAAATCACACGTGTCCTTTCAATGCTTTCATAAGCAAAATAACTGATAGTAAGATGATATGTTTCCATGGAAACACTCAACATACGTACGTGTAGGAGATGTGGTGAACTAGTTGTACTGCCATGTTCCGCAGTTTCTGGTTAGGGTTAGTGCCGAACAGGCAGTCAAACACCACCTAGGAGATTGGAAATATTTCTGTCACATCACAAACTGGAACCGTACTTACTGGTAACACTTACAAGTTGAAATCACAATTCTCTGGTAAAACACATGCATGTGGATGGTATGTTCCACTACAAATAATTATCAGTGCGATTACAAGATTTGAACCCACTATTAACAGATCCTGGCTGAAGAAAGGGACACAACTCAAGACAGAAATGTGTAGCTTCTCAAACCACTGAGTCACCTCTGCCCCCACAACAAATACATGGCAAGTGAAAGTCATGGTTCCCTATTCTTTTATACATCATGGCCACACCATTTGCTGACATTACTGACTTTAAACAAATTGACTATGCTTATGATAGAGACGTTCTAAGAGATACAGTAAGGTGATACCTGAATACAGGAAGGGAAAGTGTTGGCTGCCTCTCGGGACTTCAGGAAGATGGGGAAAATCTTCAGCCGTATTCTCGTACACGCGGGAGTGCGTCTCTGGTCTGGTTTCACTGGTGCCTAGTTGAACAAGTTTGTATGACACTCACATTCAATGGTTAGAAAAGCAACAAAATGTCAACTAATTAGAGATAAACAAAGAGCAATGATAATTAATTTTGATTTGAAACATAATTTCTCAATGGAGGCCTATCTGTAACTCAACGTAATGACACATATTACACTAAAGCAGAGCTCGAGATAAGCTGCGTATTTAAGTAAACTTAAATACACTGAAATACGCAGACAAATCAAATCCTAGCGTATCAAATACGCAACAAAAACTATAAATACCCTATTGAAATCAAATTAATATGTATATCATAACTATTAGATAAAACGATTGCGTATATTTCAACTGTCAATTAAATGATTGTGTATCAGCCGATCGTCAAATTCACTTACCGACAGTTTCATTCGGAAAAACTTCCGTGATAAACGAACTGATAGACGCCAATTGTGTCTAGTCAATGTATGTTTGCATCTTGAACAATCACTGATGGGTGATTTAAAAAAAGCGCCTTTTTTTTTACAATGCTAGGTTTTGCAAACAAAAATGCCTTCCTGGACAGGGAGCTGCAAGCAGACGCAGATGGGTGTACAACCATTCTCATTGTATTAAATGATTTACAGGGATTGTCACATAAACAGGTTTTAAGTTAAAATACTCAAATGTCAAGAAACAGGTGGGTAAAAAACATTGAATACCCTCTAAAAAATGTGGATACCCAATCAAAATCAAACCCCTGGGAAAAATACCCAAATAACCAAAAGCTTATCTAGAGCTCTGCTTAAGTTTGTTAGGGTATGAATGCAATGGAATTCTACAGACAGTCAGCGTGAAACAGATGTGATACGTCTCAATGAAAACTACTGTAACCAATGTTCCGGATATCCTACTGGTAATATATACTACTCAAAAGAAGTTAAAGAACAGTCGATTCGTTCATATATTCACATAGTAATATGAAAAAATTGGGTGTTCTCTAACTTCTTTTGAGTAGTATATTTCATTTACATGCTTAAATCCCAAAATAGTTAGATATTTTCTCCCATGACAATCAGTTCGGTTTGTTGTTTTACGAAGCACTCAGCAATATTCCAGCTATCTGACAGCAGTCTGTAAATAATCGAGTCTGGACCAGAAGATCCAGTGACTGATATCATGAGCATCAATCAACGCAATTGGGATCGATGACAAGCATAGTTGCCTTTTACGGCAAGCATGGGTTGCTGAAGACCTAATCTACCCTGGATCTTCACGGGTACCCGTGACAATCATCTAAATGAGTCCACAAACCTGGCCCTTCATTACAACTGTCCCCTGGAAGATGGAGAACAGCTTGTTGATAACTGCTGGTGAGTTCCAGTTGATGCTCCTGGAAAAACACCAATACATAAATCAATCTAATGTACTTCAATAGAAATATGAATGCAATCCTTTTCTTCCAAATGAAGTGTGACACACAACCTATGCAATTGTAAAGATGATGTATATATCAGACAGTACATTTTGTTTTTTAAAGCCATACAAGGTAATATTTGAGCTATATGACAGTGACTTGTTAGTAATTGAGTCTGGACCAGACAATCCAGTGATCGATATTGTGAGCAACAATCCTGCCGTATGAGGACACCCAAAACCAAGTCATAGAGTCTGACCACCCGATCAATCTGCTTGCTTCTTACGAACAGCATGTGTTGCTGGGCACCTATTCTAACCTGGCTCCACAAGGAGTGTTTTTGTTATGGAGTAAATTTATTACCCTGTGATCCTCTTCAGCTCCATGTCAGCTGATGTAGCAACACTGTAACAAAGATGACAGCACAATAAAAGATCACCTCACTGTTGGTATACAAATACTGATGAAGCACAATCGTTAATTAATGAATTAGCAAGTAAGTGTGTGAACTGTACGTAATTCTGCATAATGAGCTCAGAGCTATGCTTCATGAATATGATGCTGAGCGTTTCCGATGGAGCTGTCGTCACACTAAGCTACGCAAGTCTGTAATGAGTCTGGACCAGGCAAACCAGTGGTCAACAGAGTGAAAGACAATACATGCAATCTGTCGTGACAGTCTTTTAACAGAAGAGTGATGGTCTTCATCTGTGACCGCCCAAGTACTAGTGATTCTCAGCATTCATCTATATATCCATCTGCCAAGTTGCACATTGTGAACAAGAAACTCGACTAGTTACATGACTGTAGAAGCTTCTTTAAACCATGCAAACATTAAGACAAATTTGTCCTAGTGATTGAGTGAGTGAGTACTGTTTTATGCCGCTTTAAGAAAATATTCCAGCAATATCACAGCTGGGGACACCAGAAATAGGCTTTACACACTGTACCCCTGTGGGGAATCAAACCCGGGTCTTAGGCGTGAAGAGCAAACGCTTTAACCACTAGGCTACCCCCACCTCTTACCTTAAAGAACTTAAAACAGAATAAAAACAAACACGTTCTCTCCACATGAATATCTATACATTTTTCCATGACAATATTCAGAATTCAGAACAGTGTTGAGATAAACTGTACCTATGCCTGGTGTCCGAGGAAGCCACAACGTAATGCACAACAATGTCAGCATCAGGTACGACGTCCGCCCCAAGAAACTTGAGGACACCAAGTTTTGCTTGTTCCAGGGCTTCAGGTGCCAGAGGGTCTTCTCCCGTCACACGCTTGAAGGCGTGCTCACACAGCCCTGGGGGAGGAGCCACAGAGGTACCCCCGGAGCGGCCAGCAGGTGCTGTAGCAGGGCGACCTGACCCACCATGAGCCTGAGCAGCTGACTTCTCTATGGCAGCAAGGTGAGAACTGAAGAAATGGTAACAGATGTTATCTCCAATAACGAACATAGTCAGTTTCAAGATCAAGGCAACACTAAACATTATTTTAAACAAGTTATGAAACCTGACAAATAAATCCAAACATTCACGGACAATGACAATATGATCTTCAACCATCCAGTGAGTGAACGTTGCCAGCAATATTCCAGCTACAGTGATCGCTCGCTATTGCGCTCTTCGATAAAGCGCTACCTCGGTTACTACGCGCGGTAACACATGGCTCCCCAAATTTATGTACACTTTTATTACTGAGAGTTTTACACAGACATAATTGTATTGTTGTTCGTTGTTCATTTGCACATAACGCTTCTCATTGCATAATCAACCGTTTATCGCTGAATGGAGTTCTAATAATCTGTTTGAAAACATCCGCGGCAAGTCCCGGAAATACGATTGTTCAACTAGTTAACTTTTCACACTATACATCCTTTGATCTTAGAAGCGCATGCATGCAATAAAAGAGAACCACAAGCGAAGTTTATATTCTTAATTAGTGGGCAATCCAATTTAAGGCTAAACTGTCACACACATGTAGTTGCTGTCACAACACGGCGGTCATTCATTTCGTAATCGCGCTTTCGTAACATCGCCTGGGTTTTTTCCGTAGTTATAACAAGCGATTTCATTGGATTAAAATGTGTTTCTAATGACGCTTTCTTGCCGAAATCTGCTACAAGTTTCGTGATTGGTCAATTTTGAGCACGTGACCTCAGGCAGCCAATCAAATTATAGCTGTGATACCAAGCTCGTGTTTGATAAATTTCAGAAGTTAGCGAAAGATTTTTTGTTAAATCTTGTTATTCTGAACGTTTTAAGCAGGAAATCACGATATATATTAAAAATATGGAACTTCGCGAATGTATCGTGCTAGGTTACGAGCTGTGACAAAGATTTTTCATGCATATATTTTTGCATTAAACGTTGTGTCCGAGCCGAGAATTCAAGGCGACGAAAGCCGAGATGTCATTTGACTTACATTATACGCGATCGCACGAAACGATGGAAATAATAACTTAGATGTAAGTTTGATTACTTTTAGATATATTTTTGTTGATTTTATTTATCACTTTGTATAATATATTTAAAGATTTGCTTAAAATAGTCTTTATTTTGCTCTTTGACATGTTCGATGCGGACCCGTTGTCGAAATGTGTGTCCGAGAATTTTATTTTCAATAACATCGCGGGAAATAGTGAATAATTTTTTAATTTATTGATAAAAAATGATAAATTAGAATGGAATACGTATTTCAGACATTGTGAAATGTGACAGATTTAATAAATGAATGATATTACAGGTAGATCTAGGTCCATAAAAATATATACTATTTTGACGTGACGTGAGATAAACACATATTGATGATTTGAGATTTGCCGAGCGCGCTCCCCCGCCTCGGCCTCGGTTAAACGGCTCATCGTCTATAACGCCCACCAATTATTTGGACCCCATTGGTAGCGTTGTAGCGAGCGACCACTGTATATCACATCCACGATGCCCTAATAATTATGTCTGGGCAAGTGGTTGACAGCATGAGCAAAGATCCACTTGATAGAGGAGTGTTGACACACAACCAGCTGGATCACACATTGTAACCACCTGATCCTCTTCAGCTCATGGGATACTCAGAACCTCCTCTGTCCAGGGATCACCAAGGCGATTTTCCCAAACAATAATTTAGTCAAATGAGTTAGAATCTCCATAAAACAGATGCTATGTAGAACAGCTAGTGCCATGAGTAACTATTCGGTACAGCTCCTACTTGTAAGGCAGCAGCAGTACATCCATCATGAAGTCAAGGAGCAGCTTGAGCACGGCCGGGCGCTCACAGAAGCTGAAGGTGGCACGGCGCTGGGCCATGTTCTGCTGTAGTTTGAGATGTAACAGTGCTGGGATCAGTAGCTGGAGCAGGCTGCAAGACAAAATAACCCAGATAGTACAACAGATGCCAGTCAGACACAATACACTGATGTCACAAACCACAATGCTTTGTCCATGATTTACATGGGAGCACATTTGTGTGCATGTATTCTTCTAATTCAAGCATAACAGAGGAAAGCAATGGCTGATTTTTCTTACAAATACTTGTTTAATGTTATAAGACAACCTAGATACATGATCAGCCTGAATCAATCACTGAAATTGTTATAGGGATAGTAAGCATGACCAGATATGTCAGATTTACAGAGCTCCAGATAAGCTTTTGGTGTTTGGGGTATTTTACCCCTGCATTTTAAAATTATTGGGTATCAGTAATTCTATCTGGGTATTCAAATTTCTGTTACCCACTAGTTTTTACACATATGGGTATTTAGTTAAATATTTAAAAACACTATTCATCTAGTCCCTGCAAACTGGGGTCGTGTGGGTTCGAGAGCTTTATAGGACTCAAAAAACCCACGATACTTCCACAAGAAAGTGTGATGGCAAATGATCATGATGTAACTGTCATCGTGGAGTTTGGCAAGGTTGACAGAATGCCCATTTATAATTTCAAAATAAGTTGCTGATTTGCCATTCGAATACGCAGGGTTACTTCACAAAATTTGGAGGTTACGCACAAGTTTTATTTTTGTAGCGTATATGTAATGTTCGTTGCGTATTTGATACGCTTGGATTTTATTTTACTGCGTAATTCTGTATTTCTGATGCATATTTTACGCAGATATGCAGCTTATCTGGAGCTCTGGATTTATGTAAAAATACATTTGACATCTGAGAATCAATTTTGTATATCGGGGAAAGAAAAATAGATCCCTATTGAAAGGGGAGAAGTATATATGATGTTTATTAGTGTCAGACTGCAGACCACCTAATGCGCTGACATAAAGAAATTGTGAAATAATGCATATGAACAATGAATGAAGCATATCATGTACTGTTTTGTGACAGTGCACCAATGAATACCTTAGTATGCATATTATCCATCATGGGCATTTTCAAAACAATCTTAACCAATTCCCAACACTCACATCCAGCGTCACAATACAGTTGGACAACATTACCTTAAACGTAGTAAAGTCCAACAGAGTTACAGTCAACACTCTAGGCATCACTGAAAACATCTCTACTATGGCAGACAAACATTTGTTTCTTTGTTTGTTGTTTAATGCTGCACTCAGCAATATTCCAGCTATATGATGGCGGTCTCTAAATACTCGAATCTGGACCAGACAATCATTGAATGACATCGTGAGCATCAATCTATGCAATTGGGATACGATGACATGCATCAACCAAGTCAGCGAACCTGACCACCCGATCCCGTCAGTCACCTCTTGCGACAAGGATAGTCATCTTTTAAGGCAAGCAGAGGCTGCTGAAGACCTATTCTACCCCAGATCTTGACAGGTGGGAGACAAAGAACATCATGCCAACTTCAATCCTGATATGATTACCTGTCTTGATGCTGCTGTGGCCGACCCTCTAGACAGTTGACAAGCTGGGGAACAAATTCAGCCTGTTTCTCTGGACTGAGTCGAGGGTATCCCATCTTGATATACAGGATTGTGAAGTTCTGCGAAGGTTTCAAATATCTCATCATTTCCGCAAATATATTCTTTTTCATTTTGATGGTAAATTTGCTTATGGCATGAATGGTGAGACTTGGAAATGTCTTTCTAACACATACATATTTTCAATGAAAACACAAGTAATTCTACAATAGACAAATTCAATCAAACTCACATTTAAAATATCCCTGTAAGGTTTAATAAAATTCTTACTGAACTGCTGCTCCTTCACTTTCAAATGCTTTTATTCTTAATTCCAAACTACCATGGGCAAAGTTCACTGATTGATCACCAAGACACCATACCAATATGAGTAAACTGGTAGTATTAAAAATTTACATATTTTTTTGCCTCGTAAAATATGCGGGAAATCGATGCTAATTTATATACCCCGTCTTTAGAGCAAATCAGAATGAAGCACATCACCAGTGCACACACAATCCCTACATTTGCAATAAAACTTGTTTGTCTTCCGCAGAAAAAAATTACATCCTATCCCTTCAGCGAATTGAGGGAAACAAACAGATTATAACAATTAAACTTTGGCCAATACAAAAATTGAGATAAAACATCACTAGACATGATGATTTACCAATTAAATTGTATTTCCTGTTCTGAACGGCATTGTTTTATATGCAGAGATTAAGATTACTGTGTGTCTGGTCTCGTAAACTAAGCCTGAAGTAGCAATCAGCTGTACACAGGTTTCTTGGAATCTTCCAGTGATTCAGTCAACAATTACCCAATAATATAACTTTAAAGAGTTTTGATACAATGAGCGGAAGAATTGTATCTGAAACTATTATTTTATCAGGAATAATTTATTTTAATATCATGTTAGTTGCAGCTTTACTTTATACATGTGAAATAAATTAATAACCATACGCGTAGCACTTCGGTTCAGCTGATCGCTATTGACGGCATCACCGTTGATGCTCCCGCAGCCGTGATTGCGAAAACTTTATGTTGACATATAATAGTCAAACTACAACAAATATGACTTTCAGCGATTCAATGTATGTCATTTATGATATATATATCCATTCTCTATCCACTAAAGTTCGTTTCAAGGCGTCAATAGTGGTAATTTGGCCATAGTTGCTGTACATAACTGTGAGTTGTGAGATCTTCTGATCACCCTCACATACGATTCCGCCGAAATGAAGTGAAACACTATTGAATGAAATGTTGAATAAAATTAATAAAATGGATTACAAACATAAGTCCAGAAATATTATGAACTCTTTTTACAACCAGACAGTGCAATTACATGATTAATTTGCGTACTTCAGCACGGATTTGCTGACATGGTATTTTCGGTGCTACGTGCTCACAGTAATGTGTTAGTGTATGGGAAAAAACACTTTAAAAAACCCACTTCAACCCTGTGTTGGGGAAAAAAACACTTAAAAAAACACGCTTCAACCCTGTGTATAAGACAACCACCCACCCCCACCCGACCCCCCTTGAAAGCCTCCTAATTCTAGTTATGGAAAACTCGCCTTAAACACCTCCATATACATGTTTTAATCTTCCATTGTAAAAGAATGAAAATAAATGGCATATTGATAGAAAACAGCTGTTCTCAATTGAGCTGAGGTTAACTTGTGCTGTGTCACCTGACTTTCACTGACTTGAAAACAATGTGCAGCTTTTTGTATTGTAGGCCATATAAGGGATTTATTCTCCCTTTCAGAAATCCACATACAGCCTGTTTTCCTCATGACAGGATATAAGGGATTATTCTCCCACTCTCCCCCCCCAAGCAGGGATACGTCGTATTTTATTAAGATCATGTGAACCAATCAGATCACAACAGTGACATGGAAGTAAGACAACAGTCCTTGTACATCAAGTGTCTGCCTCTCTAGCCTGGAAGTTGAACTGACCGTGAGGAATGGTGTGGCCTTGGGATCCTGGTACTGTGTGAGTAGTGGCTCAACTGGTAGCTGTACTTTGGGACGACTCTTCAGTCTCTTGTTGATGTGAACCAGCAATTCCATCACCTGAGAACCAAACAGCAAAAACACTATAAACAGTGCCTTCTCCATCACAGATTCTGCCTGTACCATTTCCCACACGACTCTTCCTTATTCTAAAAATACTCAATAAATTCAAGATAAAAACTTAGAGAGTAATTGAATTCAGAAAAGGATCTGTCTCATTATAGTGAGTGAGTGAGTTTGGTTTTACGCTGCTTTTAGCAATATTCGAGCAATATCACAGCAGGGGACACCAGAAATGTACACATTGTACCCATGTCGGGAATCGAACCCGGGTCTTCGGCGTGACGAGCAAACGCTTTAACCACTAGGCTACCCGACCGCCCCTGTCTCATTATAAGTTAAACATGTTGATGAGACAACACAACACTAAGGTGAGGTGTCAAGGTACAGAGAGTTTCTCAGCAAGAACAAATATGCATAGTTCTTTAACATTAAATTCTGATTACATTCAACTGATAAATAAGCACAAAGCTCTGTAGCTCACCTCAAATCTTATGATTTGTTGGATCATGATTACAAAAGTCATAATAAACCTTGATATAATGGTTAAAAAAACTATTTAAAACAAAATTTATAAACTTTTCAATACAACAAAACTGTGGGGAAATTTGATAATTGATGAAATGATATTCCATATACAACATACAGACTGCATTTACAATTCTACTTGAACCTTTGGTTCAGCATGTTCTGGAGCTACAAATCGTGGTACAGTCTTCACTGTCAGTCAGACATAAAGTGTATAGGTCCCATCTACTGACCTTGTTCTTCAAACTAAATGCAAAACAGCATATCATACCTTTTTCCTGATGCCCTCTTCTGTACTGTTAAGTTTTATGAGGACAGGGGCAAGGAATTTCCCAAGAGCAGTCTCCAACTGCTCATCTGACTCAGCTGATCCGATCCTCAGAAATACACGCTCAATCAGAGCTGCAGCAGAACCACATAACAGATAAATAACATATGCTGACAAAAATATTGAGAGAGCTGCAAATTACATTTTGAAAACACACGCAGGTTTTGAAATTCCTTGTATTACAGTAGCAAAGAGTGAGTGAAAGAGTGAGTATGGTTTTACGCCACTTTTAGCAATATTCCAGCAATATCATGGCGAGGGACACCAGAAATAAGCTTCACACATTGTACCAATGTGGGGAATCAAACCCGGGTCTTCCGTGTGACGAGTGGATGCTTCAACAACTAGGCTACCCAACCAACCAACGTAGCAATGGCACAGTTATTTTGGGCTTTTTCTTCATGATTTGCAGTTTTGGTAATGACTTCAGCATGATTTTTGTGTCTAAAATGGTATATAATACAAATCTGTGGTACTTTTTCAAAGGGGTAAGTTCATATTCATCTTACTGTCATTGCAAACCTTTTGTAGTTGCCCGAAGGTATTTTGTATAAAAAGCATGAAAATGCACCTATATGTTCAAGTTCATGTATATTCTGCATCTCATATTGGATGTTATTAGTGCACAGTTAATTTGGCTTTATCTGAAACAAAACACTTTCAAAATCTGTACATCATATAATTTGTCATTTATTCACATTGGTGGGCCCTTTCGTATTGAGTATATAATCAAGCACTATATCATTAAAGTTTAAATAACCTGACTGCAACTTACAGTAGAAATAATTCTGAGATTAATTCTAACTAATTAATATTTATGGTATTAATTAGATATGTTTTTGTGATGACATTTATGTGGACCTCTTATCATGCTCATGTTGTTTTTAATTAATATCGTGCAAACTTTGCTGCAAAACATATTTATGTAAACATTAAGTAACATAATATTAGGTCACAACAATTATGCCAAAACAAATATATTTAGCAACCCAATTTCTGATGAAAGCACGTGTTAATATTGCCACATTTGGTAGAATCACCCACGATCAACTTTGAAAAAAAAATGGAAATATGTATGAGATTAATGTAAGAAGTAACAGGAAGACATTCTCCATTTCATCATGATTGTTAAACAACCATAAATGTAGAACTGTAACAAGTCTGTGTTAAAGTATGAGAGTTATGCTTGTATTAGCACTAAGATTACTTAGTGGAACATGAGACCTTAAACAATTTCCTCATTGTTGTGGGCTAAGAGGGCAACTCTTATATTTATCATGTTTATTACTAGTCATGACAGAAGCACTAAGATCCATCTGTAAGAGAAAGGTTATCCGTGTAATAATCATAAAATATCTGGCTCCTTCTCCGAACAAGAAATAATATTTATCCCACGGATTTTGTTGTTGTGAGCCTGATTGTGTGAGGAGAGGGGTTGAGGATAATAAGATCATAGATGTGTTGACAAGAATATCCTTGCTTCTATACACATGATAACATCCAAGTGTTAAGCATTCTGATCAGTTTGTCAATAAAGGCCTCGATATCATCTTTATTATCCTGAAGACATGAACTCTACGTCTAACTCTATCTTGTCTTGGACAAAATGACTTGCCTGCGTTGCAGACATCTCATGATCGCATTTGCGTAGTAGCTATTGTTTCAAGGACAACATAACAAAACGGAGGTGTGAGAAGAAAATTGTCAACTGAGTAAAAAATAGAAGTCACACCGTGTTCATCTTGGCTGGCTGGTTGCCCTGCCATTCTTTTGTATTTTCTATCAACACTTCATCCACTTCTTACGAAAATCGCTTGTCACTGCAGCGTGTTGCATAGGTTGATTCTAAAGTTAGAAATGGATATTAGTTGAAAAACTATAAACATCACACAATCATGTACATACACTGACATTAGTTGTATGATTTGTTATGTAATTGTTTTTATCTCGAATTAACACTTAACTAAATGCTTCTAAAGCCCTAACCTTATATTTGATATATTGTGCAGTACTAATTATTTAATACAGACTAAAGGCTATGTAGATATCCAAAGAACTGGTCTTTTTTTCAAAATTTATCTATTTCGTTGAAGAAGCTATCTATTCAGTAATTACATTACATAATGACAACAGGAAACTTCATATACCTGCTTAAGGCATTAATACTTTCTCCAGAAAACAATACAATGGCATCAGTGTGATTTATTTCCGAACAGTTTATTTTATAGGGTTTGCAGTGAATCTTAATAATTTTGATGGGATTTCGGACTAGATGATATATTTAAACGTACGAGATATTTTCACTTCACAGATTTATGTTTGAAAAATGTGTGACTGGTTTCTTGTGCAAATTAGCCATTTGCGGGGATGTACCTTTCCGTAAGAAATTGCTATATGAATTTAGTACTTTTTCAAAGTCAAATGATGGCAAGTCGCAAATCCATGTGTTGTTCGCCATTTTAGAGTATGTGATTTGTTTAATGGTATAAACAAATCACATTGTAAGTTTCACGATAAGAATCCACCTCCAAGGACAAAGGTAATCAAAGTGAAGAAAATTTAAAAGGAAATGTAAACTTTGTCTTTACGACAGTCGTAAACCGTTAGGCAGGAAGCGCGTGAGTTTGTTTTGATTTCGACTTGACAGCTCCTTGTGAGCAAGTATGTAGTAAGCTAACAGCAGCAGAGCCAGTTTTCGCAATAACATCTAAAAGATGAATCCATCAAATATGCAGCAGATGAGGAACAGATCTCCGAGCCCATATGGCAGACGACCACATAGTCACAGCCACACAGGTTCCACTCAAGAAGGCGGAAGGGAAAAGGATTCTTCCTCGGATCATCATCACCGCCATGCCCACCACCACCACCACGACAGGTCAAGACCAAGAGTCAAATCAGCATCGCTGAATCTGGGTCAGCGAAATGGTGAGTACAGTACTTGGGAACAAGTACGATACTTGTCGCGCTCTTTTCTGTGTTGTGTTCCCCCTTGTAGGCGGGATTAGAGAGTTTCAGGTTATCCTCATCCCATGCGTATCAGCGTATTGACATGTACGCTATATACATGATATAGTTAGTTAATTTTTAATGGATCGTAATAGCGCACACTTACTAACCTATTAAATATGTCATATGTGAAATATTTATTGTTCTTGTTCGAATTTTCTGACACATCAATTAGGATTGATCGATGCTGATTTTCGGGAGTAGTGCACTTTACGGGGCATACTTTTTCCGATCCAGTTAGCGTGCAGGATTCAAACGAGCTTCACAGGCTTACCGGCTTGGCTAGTGCATTACGATGCTCTCCTACTGGACCAAGAGTTGTCACATGTTATTAGTGTTCGTTTAACGGGTCATTAGCATGTCATTAATATGCATGCACAATTAAGAAAACAATCATTGGCCATCAAAATAAGTAACCAATGGAGCGACGAAAGACGTCAAAAACAGACTGCTCATGTGCTTACCCTCATTGGATTATTGGAAACACTGTCAAAAGGTGAACATTTATGGCTAATCCTAGCCCTAACCAAGCTAGCCCTAAGGTTGGAAAAGGGTTCTTGGATCGCCAAGGCGTGTCAGCTCCCTAAAATCGAAAAGGGTTCTTGGATTGCCAAGGTGTGTCAGCTCCCTGAGATTGAAAGGGGTATTGGATTGCCAAGGCGTGTGAGCTCACTAAGATCGAGAAGGGGTGTTGGATCGCCAAAGCATGTCAGACCCCTATTCTGTAATGCCAAATGTACATGATGAAATTTCATATGAGACGATGAATTTCTTGCATTTTTATGATAGGTTTCAAAATGTTACAGAAAGTTTCATTCATTTTGTTCATTTACCATTTGTTTGGTTTGCATGGTGGCTTGTCTCACAGAAAGCCCTGATTCAGTTCCCCCACATGTACATGTGCAGTGTGTGAAGCCCATTTGATATTGCTGGGATATTGCTGAAAGTGGTGTAGATCCTTAACCTGTCCTCTAATGGAGAATTCTACCCGAGAGGATTCCGGGGTAGAATTGGTCTTCAGCTTGCTTGTCGTAAAAGGCGACTAACGGGATCGGGTGGTCATGCTCACTGACTTGGTTGATGGATGTCATCGATCCCAACTGTGTGGATTGATGCTCATGATATTAACCACTGGATTGTCTGGTCCAGACTCGATTATTTACAGACCGCCGTCATATAGTTGGAATATTGCTGAGTGCGGCGTTAAACAACAAACAAACGAACAAACAAATAATGGAGAATTCCTTTATCATGAATTTGTACTTATAACAATAGATGCTGGGCAAGTAGGAAGACCACCCAATAAACCCCAAGACAGACTGGGTGCCATCCCTATCCTTGAAATTGCACAGGGTGTCAAACACTGGTTACATGTTTTTAACCCCAGTAAGGGGAATCCCTCTAGTGGCAGATATTTTTGGTTATGGGACGATTGCGCCTTCTTATTTTATCGTCTGTTTTACCCTATTTCCCTTTTTCTTCTTTAATTTTGGTAAAGCATTTGTGATTAACAATGATTGAGTATGTAGATGATTAAGTATGCCGTAAAGTATTAAATTCTGGATAGTTGCTTTGTGTGAGTTTTCTTGCTCTAAATACTAGCAAATGAAATAGTGGACATCATTTGCAAGTTAGTGCAGACTTTTGGGTCATTATTACAAAAATTGAACAACCAAGGATTTTGATATTTGCCACAAGAGGACGTGCAGGCTTGGAGCACACCATGGTGTTGACAGGGAACCACAAATAAAACAAATATTTGCTTTGACCTCATTGAAATATCTTTATGATTATAAGTTACAAATGGAAACTCTTCTTGTTTCTATTTCCTTTGCTCGCATGTCATAGAAATGCCATCTTCCTGTCACATTGTTCATGTTGTACATGAACTCCCGCCCCAAACCTGTGAAGATCTGGGTTAGAATCGTTCTGCAGCAACCCAGGCCATGCTTGTCATAAGAGGCGACTAACGGGATCGGTTGGTCAGGCTCACTGACTTGGTTGATGTATGTCAGTGTATCCCAATTACGTTGATCGATGCACATGATATCAATCACTGGCTTGTGTGGTCCAGACTCTTCTTCATAAATCACAATCATCAATCAACTGGTCATGAAACCTAGTTTGCTGCCATTATTATAAGCACCATGTTGTAAGTTATGTATATTTAGTGATATGAGGTTAAACATTTGGGGTGGAATAGGTCTTCAGCAACCCATGCTTGTTGCAAAAGGCGACTCTGCTTGTCGTAAGAGGCGACTAACGGGATCGGGTGGTCACGCTCGCTGACTTGGTTGATGCATGTTATCGAAGCTCATGATATCAATCACTGGATTGTCTGGTCCAGACCCGATTATTTACAGACCACCGTCATATAGCTGGAATATTGCTGAGTTAATCAACAAGCAAATAGATAAACAAAACACTTCTGATGTCATTATACTTATCATAAGGGGATCCCAGTTAAGAATTTAGGTTCCCAGCGATTTATTGCTTCTTGTAAGACTAAGAGTATAGGATTAGGATTTTAGTGTGTGTTATCAGGGACCTATTTAAGTCCGTGGTGTTATTAAAGACCTCAGTGTCCATGTTAAATGCAAATCATAATTTTTTTTATTCAACTAGTCAGATTTTCATGATATCCTGAATTAATAGGCACTATCATGCTAATTAGTAGTCATTATAACACCCAGCAGTCCAGCAGTGTCAGATTATTACTACTCTGATAAAGTGTTGGGTTACTATCTATCAGAGTCCACACCGAGAGTGTAGGTCAGATTGTGTGTTGCATGACAGTCACATGATCACAGAGCTGGGTCACAGCTGGGTCACAGTCTATACATCTTCCTGACATGTGCCTTCAGTTAAAACTTCGTCCCACTTTGTAGTCATGCTAATAGGGATTCAGCCTGACCTCATTCTGCATGCCTTGTGACAGTCAGTGGACAGCGCTACTTGAGACTCGTGTATCTGACGGCATCGTTTCATCACCTAATGCCATAAAGACAGGTAACAGTACCTGTATCTCCCCATACACAGGACTTGTACTCCCCTGCTTTCCAGAGTTTACCAGGCATACTAACAATCCACTGGTTTTCTCAGCATCCTCAATCACCCAGCGTATTATTAATCTTTATTTTGTTATGATAAATATGTGAGGTTTCTAACCAGGCTAACTTACCACAGATTGTATCACGCTCGAGAGCAAGGATCCAGAATATATTTTTTGCCAATCAGATGTTATTGTTTTGGTCACGCCCACCTCATTTTTGACAGTTACTGGTGGACGTTCATGTATGAATAAAATTATAAAAGAATAACACCAAGGGTCACTTTTTTGACAGACACAATATTTTCTTAAGTATAGTGCACACAATTTTATCCATTAGACACACCACAATTAGTTTTGATGTTTTTCCCCAACACAACTAAAGACATTACTGTGAGCACGTAACACCGGAAATACCATGTCAACAAATCTGTGCTGAATTACACAGTGTAATCCTGTTGTTACACTGTCTGATTAGGGGCAGTGGGGAAGCCTTGTGGTTAAAGCGTTCACTCGTCGCACCTAAGACCCGGGTTCGATTCCCCACATGGGTACAATGTGTGAAGCCTATTTGTAGTGTCCCTGCATGATATTTCTGGAATATTGCTTAAAGCGGCATAAAACCATACTCACTCACTCACTCACTATCTTATTATAAGAAGTGCTCATTGTATATATGGACTTAGTTCAAAATTTCATTTATTATCCCGTGATATGCCAAATTGAGGCACAGGCCCATAATAACAACACAACATGGGAGTGGATTAAATGGCCCAAGGGTGTGCAGGTGCTAGGAGTAGGTTCATCACTACTGGGGCCTTGGTAGACTATTTGTTGATTATTGCGACCAGGGCTTGGTTGTTGCAGTAGAAGAGGACTGTTTTGTGTGCTAGTTGCCCCATAAGTTGGATGGCAAATGTTAGTGGGAGCAGCTTAGAAGTTCCACTAGTCTACGAGTGAAGGCCCTTGCCATTGGCCTGCACGCTTGCCTATGAGGTACTTTAGGGCACTATAAGGGACCTTTGTGTTACCTGTCGACAGGATGTCTTGGATTTCCCCTGTTACCTCCTTGATCTTGGACTTGGGATTCTGATCTGCTTTGCATTGGTGTCAATCTCCAACCCTAAGAAAGTCTGTTGTGTAGTGGGGCCTTGTAGACAGTCTTGTCGTGAGCAATAGCTTCCCCAAACTGTTCCAGTGTATTTACGCATCCCTTGAGGTTGTCTTAGCAATGGCTGGTGCCCGCTGTGCCCCCCGTTATGAAGTCATCCAGGTAGTGAATAATTGGGCACCTTGGGATTGTATGCACCATTGCAAGAAGGTAGTAAATGTTTCAAATATGGCGCTAGATTTGGAGCAGCCAAATGGTATGCATTTATCAAAATAGAACTCACCTTATGCCAAGTTATGCCTAGTAGCTCAAAATTGGATGGATGAACTTGTATAATTCTAAAAAACAACTTAATGTCGAAATTTGCTAGTAATGGCCCTTTTCCTAATTATTGAACCAAATGAATAGTTTCATAAAATTTGGCATACTCCATTGAGCAGGCCTCTGTGTCTATAAAGTCATTTATAGATTTGCCCTTGGGATAAGAAAAATGGTGATACTTGGAGGTTGTCCAGTGGGGATGTCCTTGAAGTGACTCAACATCCTGCCAAGGTCAACTTCCTTTTGTGGCTTTTTGTTTGACGTAAGCCACCGTGTCTTGCTGTGTGGCTGAGACCTTCAGATGATATCAAGCTTAAATTGGTTAATAAAAATGTTACATTTGAGATAAAATATCGGTACATGATGATTCACCATTTAAATTGTATTTCCAGTTCTGCTAGGCTTTGTGTTATATGTGGAAGTTGAATAAAGAATACCATGTATATTTTCTTGTTAACTAAGCCAGACTTCTGGGACCAAATGTCAATCTATGCTACTGCTGCTGGTATGGACATGATTGAGTAAGAAGAAACAGACACAATAACAAGTGAAAGTGGCTGACATTAAACATTCAGCTTTGAACATGTTGTAATACATCCTTATATTCATATAACCTCATGCAAACAAATGAATCATGAGAATAGATCATTAAGTGTTGTACTTCCTGAACAGGATGAAATTGAAAGGAGTAGTTCCTGTTCCCTGGTTAATAGTTTCTTGTTTGATGCCAGATTACATACATTTTATCCTTATATACTCTTAACAAACAGTAGGGGATCATGAAATATTAATGTTCATGCCGAGTATTTAAACAAGGATAAGTGTTGATGACAAACATCCTATGCAAGAACGTTGTATGTCGTAAAGCTTAACACCAAATCACATCCTATTATTTGGATATGCCTCACGCAGTAGTGCCTGATATGTATGTAGGGTTTCATTCCTGGTTTCACTTTCAAGGAAGGTTGACACGTTGACCATTATATTTTTCAATCTTATTGATTCTGCTGATCATATTGTTATGATTTACATGATTTCATTCATTGTGTATAAACTAGCAATATTGTGTCTGCAAAACATTGCACATTCAGCATGTAGTGGCCAAATGTTCGGTGTTTCACAGTCTGTGAATAGCAGGCTATGGATCAGGTACTGTTCAATTTAGGGCGTCCCAGGTTAACAACAAGAGAACAGGATCGATTGATCCGTAACCAGGCACTACGAAATCAAGCGAATAAAATTGCTGCAAACTTTCATCAGGCTACTGGAGTACTAGTTACAAATCAGACAGTTAGAAATTGTCTACCTGCAGCTCTCCGTCTCGATGGCCATGTGTTATGCCATGCACAACGTTGAAACTTGGGTAATCATCGCTGGTCACGTGTCATGTTTTCAGATGAGTAAAGCCAGTGTTAGCCTGAAACCTCATGATGGATTTTGCGGTGGATTGTTTAAGATGTAGGGTGGCAGCACTATGACTGAGCACCCCCACTTCATATTTTGCAAGGAAGGGTCACTGGACAGTACTACTGGGACAACATGCTGACACCCTTTGTTGTCCTAGTTGCAAAGCGTGAGGGCCAACGTTTTGTCTTTCAGAACGACAACGCCCGCGCTAAGAATGCACGAATCATCAATGCTCATCTCCAGCAGCACGACATCCATAGAATGGCTTGGCCAGCCATGAACCCTGACCTTTACCCCCATTGAACACATCTTGGACATGATAGGGAGAACTGAACTTTGCCAGGCGCTGCAAGAAAAGTGGGACAGACTCCCCAAAATCGCCATTGAGAGACTCGTACTCACCATGCCTCTTTGAGTGAATGAATTTTTGAAAAATTGTGGAGGTATTACATACTACTGATCCAAAAACATCAACTTTGAACTTTCCCATCTTACCCCTATCGCCCTTCAAGATCGTTGGACATATTAACATCTACTGTCATACTTCACTACCGGTTGTAATGTGTTCCTAGTTCATTCATTATTATCATACAACTATTACTAGAAACTAATGTCTCTTACAAGTTTGGAAAGTATCCCCTACTGTTAAGAAGAGTATAAACTATTCAAAATAAGTTAAAGAACACCCAATTCTTTCATATTAGTATAGGTAATCTGTCATGAAAGAATCAGGTGTTCTTAATCAGGTCTTCTTTTGAGTAGTATAGATTTAAATGATCTTCCTTCAATCAGCATTTATTGATTTTATCAATCACTCGCACAGCACCGAAGCACGCACTTACCTAACCACTCACTTTCTGTGTTGTGTTGTGACAGAGCTGGAGAGCATGGCTAACATAGAGAGTGCATCAGTACATGGCAGCATCAACCATCAGCATGATGATGACGACAACATCGGCGATGACGACAAGGCTGAGCTGCCTAAAGCAGCACCTGTCAACCGGATTCCGTCCCTGTACACCCCCGGCATGGAGGACCGACTCAGGAGGAAGCTGAAGGTGTTCTTCATGGATCCCTGCAGCAAGTTCCGAGCTAAACGGCAGTGGCCCTGGAAACTATCTCTGCAAATACTCAAGATCATTCTGGTCACAGTTCAGGTATGTACATCACCTTGTCTTCCATCCAACTTGAATTATTCGTAACCCGTAGTGAGTGAGTATAGTTTTAAGCCGATTTTAGCAATATTCCAGCAATATCACAGTGGGGACACCAGAAATGGGCTTCACACATTGTGCCCATGTCGGGAATCGAACCCAGGTCTTCGGCGTGACGAGCGAACGCTTTAACCACAAGGCTACCCGTAGGCATTCTGGGTAACAATATAGGTCCCAGCAGCCTATGATTGTCCCAAGAGGCAACTAAATGGATCAGCAGGGTCAGGGTTGATGTCATGGTTGGTTGCGTGTAATCATATCTCAAATGCGTAGATCGATGTTCCTTATGTCATTCACTGGAATGTCTGGTACAGACTTGATTATTTACAGCCCGCTGTCATATAGCTGGAATATGGCTGATTGCAGCTTCAAACAACAAACAACACAACAACAAATTGACTGTCTATTTGTATGGATGTAACAATCTGACAGTCCTTGGGTGCACTGCAATACTCTGTGCCATTATAGAAATATCAGGGTCATGTTTTGGTACAAAACATTACAGGTATTTACAAGATACATAAATGTATGGTAATAGGGTCTCAGACCACAGTTATATTTTATGATCTACTACATATTTTTAGGCTAGTATTATTTTCCATGGACAGTGAATGTTTTCATGAATTTCTTGACTGTTTACCCTCTCTACTTGGGGAACTATTGGGCGCTTGTTGGCTGTTCCAGTAATGTTGCAATAGTATGATAGAGTGCCTTTCCCTTCCAACAATGCAGAGTCACTTTCTTTGTTCGACGAACACATCCACCACAGCTTCAGTACAATCGCATTATAATCACGATAATCTGATCTTTTACACTGTTGATCTGAGGACACAACCACAGGAAGTTATGTCAGGTGAACATTCTAAACAGTCAATTAATGTCGAGGTTCCAAATTCTCAGTACTAGTGTGCTAAATATTCTGACAAACATATATGATTTCTGATCAAAACGACTATGGTTGGAAGTTGCGAATGCCAATGAATAAAGCCATATTATTGCTATGATTATGTACATGTAGTTGTCTATAGCTTACTCTAGCATTCAGTAAAAAATGCGGGGCTGCAACTTTCAAGGCGGGCTCGTTACATCTGTGAGTCACCAGCCTGCCTGACTGAGTCGAAGTAAACTTCTAACAGACACTGCTCTAATATAGGGGTATCCATGATTTTGAAAAGGTGTGCATTGGATTTGGGGAGGGTGGGTTGACAATACCCAAGTGTCAAAGTGTACAATGACACATGGAGAGACTGACATAGGTTGGCACTTGAGATGTCTGAAAAAAGGGTGGGTGTGCACCCCTGCACTTGCCCTCTGTAGTGCTCCACCCCATCCAGTAGTTCAACAACACAATCCACAAAGCTTGCTAAGTCTCCTGTGATGTTGACGAGAAAACTCTCTCTTCCAGCTGGTGATATTTGGCCAGCAAAGGTCAAGTATTGTGCAATATTTTGAGCGGAATCAAATTGCCTTGAAACACATTTTGATGAAAGACTGGAACCCCAGTTTTGAGACCCTGCCTTATCCCCCGGCAACTGGCCAGTATGCCTTATACATGCGCAAGAATCTACTGGAGCACATCAACAATGCCATGGAACAGGTAATGAGAAATACCTTCTGCAGCATTTGCCTGGATCTTTCTATACCACTGAGCCTTTCATAAGGATAAAGATTTTTGTAAATATTTTACAAAACCCAAGTTATTGGAATCAGTATTGAATTTAACAGAAACAATAATTGTCGGATCCTTGGCAATACTGTTTGCATGACAACACCTCCAAGTAGTCAGTCATATTTTGTCCCCACCTGGCCGCTCATAATATTCCTATCAAACATTGAGTGGTATATTTTACTTTCAGTAGTACTGGAGTGTCCCAGGGTGGCACCATGGGCACTGTTCCAACAACAAATAAACTATACAGTGTTTGTGAAGCCGTGCACTAATGTTTGTGGTTCATGTTTTTGAAACAAAGCTTTGTGACTTGAGTAAAGACATGAACAGGGAAGTTGTATCTGCATGTTGCCATGACAGTGATGATAACAATTACATTCATGTTAATGATTCAGTCATGCAGGGATTCCCTTTTGGGCTTGCAGTTCAATCAATTTTTCTCTTTTTCTTTAAGAATTATGAAAATATCAATGTTCCTTTTCAACCCTACATGTTGTTGCCTTCACCAGGTAGGAATAAACTTGGAGGTTTACAGTCCATTAAGAGTCCTTCCCAATAACCCAACATTGGACAAATTATGATTCTTGGTTAATGTCAATCATGATACTTGTGCTTCTGGATCAACCTAATTGGTTAATGGATTTTTTAGGCTTAGATGTGCAAAATGTCTGTTTATACTTTTACTTAATTTTTACCTTCTGTTTAACTATGGGGACCTTATATTTGATGCAAAATCTACGCCTATGCTTGTCTTAAAAGGGGACTAACGGGATCGGGTGGTCAGGCCTGCTGACTTGGTTGATGCATGTCATCGTATCCCAATTGATGGATCGATGCTCATGATGTCAATCACAGGAATGTCTGGTCCAGACTGGATTATTTACAGACCGCTGTCATATAGCTGGAATATTGCTGAGTACGGTGTTACACAACAAACAAATATACAGTTTGACTTTCTCTAACAGTTATGAATAACTTTTTACACATGTTAATGGTCTTTCGTTATTTTTCAGTATTATAAACTTCCTGACATAGCCATTGGTTCATTTCAATTACGAAAAGATGATAATGGTACCATCGCACCAATGAAGTTCTGCCGTAATACATACACAGAGGGCAAGATCTTTGATAACAACACATTCATCATTGATCCTAACGTGTTATACTGTGAGTATATTGATGTGAAGGATAAAATATGTCCGAGGGTATTTATGAGTTTTGTATGCCTAGGATGAGGGTTTTAAATGTGAAATATAACACGCCCAAGTCTTTTTATGAGATTTAAAACCTGAATCTGAGGGTTTTAAATCTTATAAAAACCCAGGGGAAGTGTTTTAGCTAACTACAGAACCTCAAAAACCATCTGAAACAACATTTATTTACAATTTGTTGTTTCATACATACTTTTCATGAACTTCGGGAAACTGGATTAAAATATCACTTCGTGGCATACATGTACTTGAAAAAGATATTCTTGAAGGCATTATGATTTATCAGCGTTTCTATAGCCAAAAGGTTCACTCACTAGGCTACAGAGACGAAGGATGCAAGTTCAATCCACTGACGTATAAGAAAACTGTACCATTTGATTTTACATCATTCCACACATTTCCTTGTCTGCATTGTGTTCAAATGCAACATAAATCTCAAGGGAGTGACATTCCAATGTTACAACATCCCCGGATGTGAATATAAAATCCCCAGGATATTTAATATAATCATGTCTATGAGATTTGGACTGATTGGAGAACACTAGGATGACGTCACTGGAGGTTTATGAGTCTCAAATTAGTGAGGTGTTTTTCTACAGAGTTTTTAGTAGCAATTTCTCATGGTTGTTGCAGCTTGTTTGGAGCTGGTGTGTCCAGAGCAAATTAAGGACGAGACAGCATCTTATAGCTGTGATATTGAAGAACTGCTGAAGGCAAGGAATGCTTCATTACAGTTTGACAGGTACTGTGCATCTCCTCATGCCTCTGTATTACACCTTGATGCAGACTATATATCAGTGTCTCATGTGATGATGTTGTGGTCCATATCCACAGTGAACCAGACCCATGAAGATCTGGTTTAGAATAGGTTTTCAGCAACCCATGCTTGGCAACTATGCTTGACGTAAGAGGCGACTAACAGGATCGGATGGTCAGTCTTGCTGACTTCGTTGATGCCATCATATCCCAATTGTGTAGATCGATGCTCATGAATCAATCATTGGATTGTCTGGTCCAGACTCGAATATATATACAGACCGCTGTCATATGGCTGGAATATGGCTGAATGAGGCATTAAACAACAAACAAACAAACAAACAAACAAAACACAGTGTACCATGTGATGTTATGGTCTATATCCACAGTGTACCATGTGATGTTATGGTCTATATCCACAGTGTACCATGTGATGTTATGGTCTATATCCACAGTGTACCATGTGATGTTATGGTCTATATCCACAGTGTACCATGTGATGTTATGGTCTATATCCACAGTGGACCATGTGATGTTGTGGTCTATATCCACAGTGTACCATGTGATGTTATGGTCTATATCCACAGTGTACCATGTGATGTTATGGTCTATATCCACAGTGTACCATGTGATGTTATGGTCTATATCCACAGTGGACCATGTGATGTTATGGTCTATATCCACAGTGTACCATGTGATGTTATGGTCTATATCCACTATGTACCATGTGATATTATGGTCTATATCCACAGTGTACCATGTGATGTTATGGTCTATATCCACAGTGTACCATGTGATGTTATGGTCTATATCCACAGTGTACCATGTGATGTTATGGTCTATATCCACAGTTTACCATGTGATGTTATGGTCTATATCCACAGTGTACCATGTGATGTTATGGTCTATATCCACAGTGTACCATGTGATGTTATGGTCTATATCCACAGTGGACCATGTGATTTTGTGGTCTATATCCACAGGGTACCATGTGATGTTATGGTCTATATCCACAGTGTACCATGTGATGTTATGGTCTATATCCACAGTGTACCATGTGATGTTATGGTCTATATCCACAGTGTACCATGTGATGTTATGGTCTATATCCACAGTGTACCATGTGATGTTACGGTCTATATCCACAGTGTACCATGTGATGTTATGGTCTATATCCACAGTGTACCATGTGATGTTACGGTCTATATCCACAGTGTACCATGTGATGTTATGGTCTATATCCACAGTGTACCATGTGATGTTACTGTCTATATCCACAGTGTACCATGTGATGTTATGGTCTATACCCACAGTGTACCATGTGATGTTATGGTCTATATCCACAGTGTACCATGTGATGTTATGGTCTATATCCACAGTGTACCATGTGATGTTATGGTCTATATCCTCAGTGTACCATGTGATGTTATGGTATATACCCACAGTGTACCATGTGATGTTACGGTCTATATCCCCAATATACCGAACAATATAACTGTTGCTTAAGATAACCTGTATATATATATATAATGATCAACACAAGGCGACTATGCTTGTCATATGAGGCGACTAACGGAATCAGATAGTCAGACTCACAGACTTGTTCAGATTTGTGTCTATTGCCGTCTCCTATCAACTGAGTAAGTAATCTGTACATGATGTCCTGGTGTGTGTTACAGACTCATATCAATTGAGCTGCACATGACAATTCGGTCGTACCACCTGGACCTGTTCACAGCTCACGCTGGACCGGCCTGCTTCAGCTCGGATGTCCAGGTACAGCCTTCACTCAGTACTCTCTAGCCAGCCTCACAATAAACATATGTATCATTACTCAAGAATCTAGCAACCGCCATCTTAAAAAAAACGCTTCTAAAATATCCAGGTCAGTAATGGTCCCCATAGTCATGATAGTCTCATGATTAGTGTAAGCTTAACTAATGATACTATTATTCCTGATTAAAAAAATAGTTTCAGATACAATTTTTGCCGATCCTTGCATTGAAAATCCTTGAAAGTTATATCATTGAGTGTGTCTTGACCGAATCACCGGTCGATTCCAAGAAAACGTGTGTACAGCTGATTGCTGTTTCCGGCTTAGTTTACGAGAAAATACACAAGGTAATCTTAATCCCTGGATATAAAACAATGCCTAGCAGAACAATAAATACTATTTAAACGGTAAATCAACATGTCTGGTGATTTTTTTTATCTCAAATTCACCCGTTCGTTCGCCGGACTTCGCTGAAGGGGTAGATTCTACGGTGTAATTTTTTTTCTGCGCTTGGTATTTGAATATTTTTTTTCCAAAATACTGAACCCGCTAGAGGGGGGTGCGCACTATACTCAAGAAAATACGGTACTTGTCTTTCAAGATGCAAAGTGTGATCTTCCCTTGGGCACGCCAGAATCCTATGATTGTTGGTCAAATCCTGGTTCGCCCCGATTATGTTTGTAGGTTTGTCAGTATCATACCCATCTTCAGGGGTTTCACCAAAGTAGTAGGTGCCTAAGACCTGCATCACTTTGGGTTTTCCTCCTGACACGCTGTCATATAACTGGAATACTGTTATTGGCCTCGTTAAACATGTTAAACACAACTCTCTCAACATCATGTATGGGGATAAACATGTGATGGATTATTGTAATTCTAAATACAGTATCATTGATTATCTTGTCTCAGCTGCAAGGGCTCAGTCAAGTTGTGTTTGTTTTTGATTGCTGCAGATTATGTATGACAACAACGAGCGAGACGGTCAGGTCTTAGTGACCCTCAATGCTGATGTCACTGAGTTGCAGTGTCATGGCCAGATCTTGTCAGAAGGTGAATATATTTTCATGTCACGATCAACTACAACTCATAAGAATTGTTGCCAAATACTTCATTGTTTGAAGGAGATTAAGAAGGTGGTACATGTCATTCAATGACATGTTGGGATAAGCATGAGACATTTCAGCGTCATAGTTGCCATGGTTACAGTTTCCATGATATGCATATTTATATGATTGTCATTGAGATAGGGATATATATTACTCATAAAGTTGACTATCTCTGCCTAGTGACGATAAACTGATATCGTCCTCCTCGACAATGGTGATGTCATGTATCGCCACTGGTCCAAGTTCAAGGCCACTTTTGACTCAAGGTCAAGATTCCAGTAGCAGCACTGCCACATCATGGCTTTATGCCTTTGGTAAAACAAAGATTGGCTGGCATCTGGCCTGTTTGTATGTTCCAAAACATTTTCTGCCAAGTTCCTTGTCTGCTATAGAAAATTTATGAAACGCTGAATGTTTAAAAGTGGCTGATCATCTGTTTGCAAATGGCAGCTGTTCTAATTTCTATACAAGTATTCCTACGCCCTGACAACTGCAGTACATTATGATGTGTCACGTTTTGTAATGCATTTCCTGCCATTCAAGCAAATGAGGCTTATGTTTGTCTTAAGTTTGGTTGTGCCAAATCATTCTTATAATTTTCCTAATCTAGTTTCCATTTAAGGCTGTGATGGGTAACTCGGGTACCCGGGTCGGGTGGGTACTGAGTAGGACCCGGGTACCCACAGGACTACCCAGACTCGTGGTTAGTCACATGATATATTGTTTAATGACAAAAAGTATCTAGAACTCTATGGTTACACTACAAGTCACAAATGTTCGCATTTTTTTCTGACTATGCACCCATTCCTTCTGACTTTTCAAATCTTTGAATAAAGATATAACTTGAGGCAACTTCAGTGTATGCATGACCAGATTGTTTAATACATGTATGTTAATACGTTTTGCAAGTGCTACGGTAAAAAAAATGCCCAATCAGACATTTTGTGACTTACAGTGGGTACCTGGGTAGGGTAGGGTAATAGGGTAGTAAGTTAGGACTCGTCCCAGCCCTATTTCGATTAGTCTCTCAGGTTAGAACTACGTTCTATCTGGTGTGGGAACACGGATGGAAGTAGTTAGGTGATACAGGTTTCATTTCGAGCACTTAGTTTGACAAGTCAAGTCAGACAAAATCAGCTTGAATTATATGATAAATAGAATCCGATGTTTGTTATGTTATGACATGGTTAGAATTGATATTGTCACTCCAGCTGTACCGGTCATAGTTCCATAGTTCTGGACAAGCCACGTACTTATGATTAGTAATTGTTAATATGGATTCTGCTGGAACCTTGAAGTTCTGACTTTTGAAATTAAGGTTCAGAGGAATTACCTACATTTTCATTACATGTCTTTTCTTAGGTTCGAAGAAATATTAATAAATTGGTTCTCAGGCACTGATAGCCTCATCAGATTTACTAGTGGGAGAAAACGGGTTACCGTATTCGACATAATAAGCGCCCCGCACTAATAAGTGCCCATGGCGATATTTGCTAATATATTGGCTAGCGAACAATCCAAATTAGCACCCCTTTCGATTGATCAATGTGCACAAGACTTATTTATTTGCATATACTACACATTCATGTGTTATATGCATCCTTAATTATGGGCAATTAAATTCTGGAAAAATATATCTGTCGTACATAAACATTTCAGGCTGTCAGCATAAACTATGAAATTTATCTTTCAAAGCTGTTTTTATTTTACCAAAATAATATTCTAATCATGTGCTAAGAAGAGCCCCCTATTTCTAAATTTGAGAGCGCCCTGGGCGATTATTACGTCAAATATGGTAAGTTGTTTACAGTTTTAAGCAGAAAGGAATTCATTCAACTTCATCATCATAAAAACATGTCAGAATCATATCCTTGCAGTAATGGCGATCCTGGGGTGTTTGTGACTCTTACCATGATTGTAAGAATCCTGGGCACCGTTCCACAAAGCAATCTTCGCGCAACAATTGTCGTAAGTCTGTGTTAAAGCATGGGAGTTACATTCATAAGGATTGCTGTTTGGAATGGGCCCCTGACAACAAAGAGTCGAACATACATTATTCTGTTTTCGTTACTGTCACCACGCTTACAAGAGTGTTGTGTGTTTCAGAGTCATCGTACCGGAGAGGGCTGATCATCTATGATGCGTTAATTATCATCCTCTGTATTCTGTCACTCTTCCTGTGTTTGCGCTCAATATACAGAGCCCAGGTGCTGAAGCGGGTGAGTGGTACAGGAGGGGACACAAGTACCCTTAAATGTACTCTGGTAGTAAGATTAGGTGGGCACTGAGTAGGACCCATGTACACACAGAACTACTGGACCCGTGTTTAGGCATGTGATATATTGTTTGGGAACCAAAATTCTCTACACCTCAATGGTTACACTACAAGTCACTAATGTTCACATTTCTTTCTGACTGTGCATACATGCCTTCTGACGTTTATATGTTTGAATCAAGATAATGCTTCAGACAACTTCAGTGCATACATGACTAGATTGTTTTATATGTGTCTCTAAATGCATTTCCCAATTGGACATATTGTGGTCAACTCTTTGAGACATACAGCAGGTATCCGAGTAGGTTCCGGTTATAGATGGTCAGGTAACCGGTTTTGTTTTTTGTTTGTTGTTTAACGCCACACTCAGCAATGTTCCAGCTATATGACGGGGGTCTGTAAATAATTGTGTCTGGACCAGAGAATCCAGTGATTGACATCATGAGCATCAATCCACGCAATTGGGATCAATGACATGCATGAACCTAGTCAGCGAGCCTGACCACCCGATCCCGTTAAGTCGCCTCTTACAGCATAGTAGCCTGTTATGGCAAGTATGGGATGCTGAAGACCTATCGCGGATCTTCACGGGTACCCGGGTAGTAAATTTGGACTCATCCTAGCCCTAGTTGTAATAGACCGTTCCTTCCTTCCTACCTTCCTTCCATCCTTCCTTCCTTCCTTCCTCACTTCCTTCGTTCCTTCCTTCGTTCCTTCCTACCTTCCTTCCTTCCTCTCCCTTCCTTCGTTCCTTCCTACCGTCTTTCCTTCCTTCCTACCTTCCTTCAATCTTCCTTCCATCCTTCCTACCTTCCATCCTTCCTTCCTTCCTCTCCCTTCCTTTGTTCCTTCCTTCCTATCTTCCATCCTTCCTTCCTCTCCCTTCCTGCCTTCCTTCCTGCCTTCCTTCCTTCCTTCCTACCTTCCTGCGATCTTCCTTCCATCCTTCCTTCCTTCCTACCTCCCTTCCTTCCTTCCTTCCTTCCTTCCTTCCTACCTTCCTTCCTACCTTCCTACCTTCCTTCCATCCATCCTTCCTTCCTCCCTCCCTTCCTTCGTTCCTTCCTTCCTTCCTTCCTTCCTTCCTACCTTCCTTCCTTCCTTCCTACCTTCCTGCCATCTTCCTTCCATCCTTCCTTCCTTTCTTCCTTCCTACCTCCCTTCCTTCCTTCCTTCCTTCCTTCCTTCCTTCCTTCCTTCCTTCCTTCTTCCCTCCCTTCCTTCCTTCCTTCCTTCCTTCCTTCCTTCCTTCCTTCTTCCCTCCCTTCCTTCCTTCCTTCCTTCCTTCCTACCTTCCTGCCATCTTCCTTCCATCCTTCCTTCCTTCCTTCTTCCCTCCCTTCCTTCCTTCCTTCCTTCCTTCCTTCCCTTCCTTCCATCCTTCCTTCCTTCCTTCCTCCCCCTCCTTCCTTCCTTCCTTCCTTCCTCCCTTCCTTCCTTCCTGCTTCTATAACAAAGCTTTTAGATCAATGTAACCTGCATGGTTTCTGACAAATGATCCCACTGAAAAAAAGTTGGTCATGACTAGGTCATATTTTCAAGGACGGTTCCCATGGCAGTCGTGTAAAAAAACTCCACTTTTCTGGATCATTCCAATGTTTACTTAGTCATTTATGTGTATGTCCAAATGTAGTTTGTAGGTCGAGTCTCTTATGACATTATTATTGTGTGTCATTTTATTGTGTAACTTTTTCTCTTGTTTATCAATCTTAATGCTACCATTCCAGCAAACAGTCAAATTTTTCATGAACCGGTTTGGGAAAAAGCTCTCCCTGACAGAACAGACTGATTTCTTAAATATGTGGTACATCCTGATTGTTGTCAACGATTCCCTGACTGTCGTCGGTTCCTCCTTCAAGATACAGCTGGAAGATCAGGTGTGTGGCAGAGTTACCTCCCTTACTACATGTAACAAGCAAGCTCCGTGACATTGCAACACATTTTGTACTTTTGTATTACAATTTCTCCTTCCTCTTGTCCATGAAAAAATCGGTAAGTGAACAAATTATTATAAAACATATCCTTTCAGCTATATAAAATGCACTCAGAAATACACTATTGTTCCAACATGTTCAAAGGTTTGTCAGTTTAACCTATCCCAAAAATATGTGTGCCTAGAGTAAATGTTGACGTTGTTAGAATCAGCTGACATTCTGAGGTTGACACCAGGACATACCCAGGGTATTGTTACGTATGTGAAAATCTGAATAAATCTGGCTATTGAGACATGGCCATGAAATTGTTGACCTGAAATAAACTGAAGATGCAGTGAGGCTATGAGAAAATATTTTATATCACTGGGACTTGTAAATGGATAGCACTAGGGGTACAATGACACCCAATAAGACGGATCCAGTTGACAAGCCACATCATACACTGACTGCTGGAGCAATGTTGCTCACTCTATTGATCACTGGGACTCATAAATGGATAGCACTAGGCTACAGTGACACACAATAAGACAGGGCTAGCTGACAAGCCAAATCATACACTGACTGCTGGAGCAATGATGCTCACTCTATTGATCACTGGGACTCGTAAATGGATAGCACTAGGGGTACAGTGACACCCAATAAGACAGGGCTAGCTGACAAGCCACATCCTACACTGACTGCTGGAGCAATGTTGCTCACTCTAATGATCACTGGGACTTGTACATGGATAGCACTAGGGGTACAGTGACACCCAATAAGACGGATCCAGTTGACAAGCCACATCATACACTGACTGCTGGAGCAATGTTGCTCACTCTATTGATCACTGGGACTCGTAAATGGATAGCACTAGGGGTACAGTGACACCCAATAAGACAGGGCTAGCTGACAAGCCACATCCTACACTGACTGCTGGAGCAATGTTGCTCGCTCTATTGATCACTGGGACTTGTACATGGATAGCACTAGGGGTACAGTGACACCCAATAAGACGGATCCAGTTGACAAGTCACATCATACACTGCCTGCTGGAGCAATGTTGCTCACTCTATTGATCACTGGGACTTGTACATGGATAGCACTAGGGGTACAATGACACCCAATAAGACGGATCCAGTTGACAAGCCACATCATACACTGACTGCTGGAGCAATGTTGCTCACTCTATTGATCACTGGGACTCGTAAATGGATAGCACTAGGGGTACAGTGACACCCAATAAGAAAGGGCTAGCTGACAAGCCACATCATACACTGACTGCTGGAGCAATGTTGCTCGCTCTATTGATCACTGGGACTTGTACATGGATAGCACTAGGGGTACAGTGACACCCAATAAGACGGATCCAGTTGACAAGTCACATCATACACTGCCTGCTGGAGCAATGTTGCTCACTCTATTGATCACTGGGACTTGTACATGGATAGCACTAGGGGTACAATGACACCCAATAAGACGGATCCAGTTGACAAGCCACATCATACACTGACTGCTGGAGCAATGTTGCTCACTCTATTGATCACTGGGACTCGTAAATGGATAGCACTAGGGGTACAGTGACACACAATAAGACAGGGCTAGCTGACAAGCCACATCATACACTGACTGCTGGAGCAATTTTGCTCACTCTATTGATCACTGGGACTCGTAAATGGATAGCACTAGGGGTACAGTGACACACAATAAGACAGGACTAGCTGACAAGCCACATCATACACTGACTGCTGGAGCAGCATTGCTCGCTCTATTGATCACTGGGTGTCTATTCACATTCTCTACTTACAGAAGTTTTCCAGTTCCTCTAAGAACTATGACATTGGCAGCGTGACGCTGGGCGTCGGCTGTCTCATGGCCTGGATGGGTGTTCTACGCTACCTTGGCTTCTTCGAGAAATACAATGTGAGTCCACAGTTGTACACTGACACCTGGTGCTGCACCTGCTGTCTGTCCCTGCCTGAACTGGATGTCCACTGTGCCTGGGATAACTCCATGATTGGTGTAAAACAATGTTACTGTATGGTCCAAGCAGTGTTACTGTATGGTCCAAGCAGTATTACTGTATGGTCCAAGCAGTGTTACTGTATGGTCCAAGCAGTGTTACTGTATTGTCCAAGCAATGTTACTGTATGGTCCAAGCAGTGTTACTGTATGGTCCAAGCAATGTTACTGTATGGTCCAAGCAGTGTTACTGTATGGTCCAAGCAGTGTTACTGTATGGTCCAAGCAGTGTTACTGTATGGTCCAAGCAATGTTACTGTATGGTCCAAGCAGTGTTACTGTATGGTCCAAGCAGTGTTACTGTATGGTCCAAGCAGTGTTACTGTATGGTCCAAGCAATGTTACTGTATGGTCCAAGCAATGTTACTGTATGGTCCAAGCAGTGTTACTGTATGGTCCAAGCAATGTTACTGTATGGTCCAAGCAGTGTTACTGTATTGTCGAAGCAGTGTTACTGTATTGTCCAAGCAATGTTACTGTATGGTCCAAGCTATGTTACTGTATGGTCCAAGCAATGTTACTGTATGGTCCAAGCAATGTTACTGTATGGTCCAAGCAATGTTACTGTATGGTCCAAGCAGTGTTACTGTATTGTCGAAGCAGTGTTACTGTATTGTCCAAGCAATGTTACTGTATGGTCCAAGCAATGTTACTGTATGGTCCAAGCAGTGTTACTGTATGGTCCAAGCAATGTTACTGTATGGTCCAAGCAGTGTTACTGTATTGTCGAAGCAGTGTTACTGTATGGTCCAAGCAGTGTTACTGTATTGTCCAAGCAATGTTACTGTATGGTCCAAGCAGTGATACTGTATGGTCCAAGCAGAATGTTTCTTCATGATGTGACCTAATATTATATAATGCAAAGATTTCAGCCCATTTCTGGTGTCCCCAGCCATACTACTGTTCACTCCCAGTTATTTTAAGACACACAGCAGGGAGGACCTCCCCCCCCCCCCCCCCCCCCCCCCCCCCGAGCTATGGTAACAGATGGGTCCTGGGTATTTATCATAATAGAAAGGAGGTATAATTCCCTGGCAAAGCAAGGATGAACCCTACATAGGCTGTTATCGTAGTGAAACCACCATTGATTGTCTCTGATGTGGAGAGGCTCCGGGGATCTTGATGATATAGCATATGTATGAAACTGATCAAACTTGGTCTGAGCTGGACTGATATTTAAGATATTTTCAGGAACTATAAAAAGAATTGGCTTCCTGTTGTCTGAACTTGTTTCAACCTTTTTTCCAGATACTTATAATTACACTTAAGAAGGCTTTCCCCAATGTGTTGAGATTCCTGGTGTGCACCCTTGCCATCTATTTTGGCTTCACGTTCTGTGGGTGGCTGGTGCTAGGACCATACCACATGAAGGTAAGCCACCTCTCCTGCTGACACCAGTCGTACTTTGGAGTTTAACAACCGCTTCAACCTTGCAGACTTGGAGCAGGGCAGTGTGTATATATAGGTGGGGTGGGGCATCAGGGCAGAGCAGTGTGTATATATAGGTGGGGTGGGGTGGAGATAGGGTGGGTCAGGGGATTTGAGCATGGCAGTGTGTATGTATAGGTGGGGTGGGGCATCAGGGCAGAGCAGTGTGTATATATAGGTGGGTTGGGGTGGGGATAGGGTGGGTCGGGGGATTGGAGCAGGGCAGTGTGTATGTATAGGTGGGGTGGGGCATCAGGGCAGAGCAGTGTGTATATATAGGTGGGTTGGGGTGGGGATAGGGTGGGTCGGGGGATTTGAGCAGGGCAGTGTGTATGTATAGGTGGGGTGGGGCATCAGGGCAGAGCAGTGTGTATATATAGAAGGGATGGTGATTATTGGTTAGCAGTTTGTTGTGACTTGAATTTTAAAGGCCTTTCTGAGTAAAAACACTTGATGATTAACAGGTATTTTAAATATGATGCCCTGAAATCATGTTATTTAGTTAAAATGAGTTAACTCTTTTAAACGATGGCCCTTACAACATGTGTTGAGGTACTTTCTGTTTGTGTGTTTGCAGTTCCGCCATCTCAGCACTGCCTCTGAGTGTCTGTTCTCCCTTGTGAATGGTGACGACATGTTCGTGACATTCTCTGCAACAGAGACAGATAGTGACCTCATCTGGTACTTCAGTCGCACCTACCTCTACGTCTTCATCAGCCTCTTCATCTACATCGTCCTCAGTCTCTTCATCGCAGTCATCATGGACACATACGAGACCATCAAGGTGAGGATGCTCTGTAGACCAATACCGGAGGTCAGGAAATAATTACAGATAACGAAATTGTAAGGAACTAGCCTGAGTGAGTGAGTATGGTTTAACACCGCTTTTAGCAATATTTCAGCAATATAACAGCTGGGGACACCAGACATGGGCTTTACACATGGTACCCATGTGGGGAATCAAACCTGGGTCTTTCGGCTTGAGAAGCAAACGCTTTAACTACCAGGCTACTCCCCTGCCTCCGAATTAACCTGAACTAAGGGTGCTGGTGCTGCCATTCTACATCACAGATGTCAAGAAAAGATAGATCTAGCTGTGAATATGCAACATGAACTCAGTTGTGTGTCGGCATGGAATGTGATAGTTCATTTGGCTAATTATTATCTAATGTAGCCAAGTATCATCGGAAAACTCAAATAGTTTTACAAGTTTTATTTGAAAAAACAATAATTGTTTCCCTTCAACAACAATGGCCTTATTACTCTGCAGTAAAAATCCTCATGATTAAATCTCCAGTATTTAGCCCATCATGTCAAACCTAGCAGAGCTTGTTCAATGTCCCTGTGTCTATCATTGTCGGGCATGTTTTGGGGTTTATTGGGGGACCTCCCAACAAATTTGGACCAGATTTGGGTTTGAGGATAGTCAGTGGGTAAGATACAATAAGTTAGTTGGCAAACTACCAGACAGAGAGTATGAGTAAGACTGACCTTAGATTCCTTTTGAAAGAATAGCTGGACAGATATTCATGTAGTGGTATAATTTTGTTCAGTGAGTGAGTAAGTTGGGTTTAACGCTGCTGTGAACAGTATTCCAGTTATGACATGGCGTGTCAGCTTGATGTGGGAGGAAAGCCCCGAGTGATGCAGGTCTCGGACATTTACCACTTTAGTGAAACCCACGGATACGGGTATGGTGCTGACAAACTTAGAACCATTATCGGGGAGAAGCGGGAATCAAACCCACGATCACAGGTTTCTCACAGTCAGTTGCTTGGTGTTGTATATGTATGCTATATAGACACATCTTACACTTGACAGCCAGACATGTATGTCAATAACATATTGGGGTCAAAACATACTCACAAGATTTTGGTTAAAACTGCTATCACACTGTAATTTTGATGATAGATTTAACAAATACTGGTGGGATTAATCCAAATTAGACAGGACAAGCTGCAACTCTCCAAATCTCTCAGTGTTTTGAAGGTCAAAGATTCCTTCATTTGTATATTTGTATTTGTTTTCTTCCTCCCCTAGCATTGCTACGAGCACGGCTTCCCCAAGACTGACCTGATGAAGTTTATAGATGAGTGTACTGAGCCCCCAAATTCCTCCGTGTATCTCCAGGACAACAAGCCCTGCTGTCTCTTCTCGTGCATGCCCTGTTGCAATAGGTCGGTGCTAACGTTGAACTATTTCATGTTGTCAGCTTTATTGTTTAGGAGCAGATTGGTTTCAGACTGAATATTTTGAAAACTGAATTTATGGTCATATTTATTCCAAAATGTTCCAACAATATTTTAATCATGTTCATTCTAAAAATTGATTTCTTCAATAATGTGTAACTGAGGTTTATATAATGTTTGTAAGGATACATCTTTCAATTAATATGTAATCATCATCTATCACAGTATCACAGGCAACAGTTTTAATCAGTGGCACACTTCTGTCAGTTACTCACTGTAGTGAGTGAGTGAGTGAGTTGGGTTTAACGCCGCTTTTAACAGTATTCCAGTTTTATCGCGGCGTGTCAGCTTAATGTGGGAGGAAATCCCGAAGTGATGCAGGCCTCAGACGTTTACTAGTCATTGTAGGCTGGTGTACACACAAAATGTTCCAGAATACGGTCTGTTGAGTGCATCATGTATGGTGTACATACCTCTCTTCAACTCCTTTGATTTTGATGTGTAGCTTCTTGGTTGATATATGATTATATATGCTTGTACAATATTTGAGGTATTATGTGCCATGTTCTCATAAGTGTCTACAAGTAGGGCTGCATGGTATATCAGTATACTGCAATACACTTTTCAAAAAATAAAAAATATATAACAAGTTTCATTATTATTTGTTTGTTTTAACCTGAAATCTACCAAGAAATTCATCATGTTCCTCCACATATGATTTTTCCTTTCAAAACTGATTGACAATATAGCGGATATCCAAAAGTGATTTTTCTTTCAAGTTGTTATTTCCACTGTATCCATGGCTACAAAATGGGGGTGACTGACCATGCTGATTTTGTCATCAAAATATTTACTTAGTATGTAGAAAATAAGATCTGCATGTACAATCAGTGTCAATCACTGTCAAATATATTAGCTTTCGTTATATATCGCACTACGTATCCCAATACAGATACTGTATCACAATATTGCAATACAATTTCTTTGCCAATACACAGCTCTACCTACAAGAGCAATTTCCTGACATACACCATGTTACACTCCCTACAGTTCTTTGGAATTCATAGTCTGCACGCTAGCTTATCTGATATGGCATATTGTAAATTCCCCAAGATTTAAGAATTCAATCTGAGTGCTCACTGACCTGATGATGTCATGCATCTTGAAGGAGTCTGATGCTATACAAAGAATCAAATACTTTATATGACATGTCAATACACATGTTTTTGGTCTGTTATATTCATCTTTTTGTCCCTGTACAGAGAAGATCCCGATACTCCTTCAGAGAGGACCCATCTTCTCAGTCAATCTATCTGAGTCCACCTCTGGAGCAGGGAGAGCGCTACAATCTCACAGTGTGGACTCAGGGACTCACCTTGCCTCTACAGTTTGTGCTAAGGATCTGCACACACCGACACTACCACAAAGACACTACCACACAGAGCAAGACTGTCATCACAGATCAGAGTGGGAGATGGCAGCCACAGATGGAGATGATGTCACCCGTCATGGATGGCGACGATGTCACAGATGGTCATGTCACCCTGTGCCGGGGTCACCAGCAACACAGATCAGAATGGGAGATGGCAGCCACAGATGGAGATGATGTTACCTGTCACGGATGGCGACGATGTCACAGATGGTCATGTCACCCTGTGACGGGGTCACCAGCAACACAGAGCAACTCATGTTCACAGTGTCTGAACTTTTGTGATAGTCAGTTGATATTATAACTGGAAACATGTTTGTATACATTATACACTTAATATAACTAATTTTGTTTGGAAAATGATGTACATATATTTATGACATGAACCATGATGAATATATTCTTTGCAATAAGACCTTTTTCTTGTGACTGTGTCATTTCAGTAGTATCCACAGAGCTAGGACATAGTAATGATATTGTCAGGTAGACTGTCACCATACCTAGGACATGGCAATGGTTTTGTCAGGTAGACTGTCAACATGCCTAGGACATGGCAATGATATTGTCAGGTAGACTGTCACCATACCTAGGACATGGCAATGATATTGTCAGGTAGACTGTCACCATACCTAGGACATGGCAATAATATTGTCAGGTAGACTGTCAACATACCTAGGACATGGCAATGATATTGTCAGGTAGACTGTCACCATACCTAGGACATGGCAATGGTATTGTCAGGTAGACTGTCACCATACCTAGGACATGGCAATGATATTGTCAGGTAGACTGTCAACATGCCTAGGACATGGCAATGATATTGTCAGGTAGACTGTCAACATACCTAGGACATGGTAATTATATTGTCAGGTAGACTGTCACCATACCTTGGACATGGCAATGATATTGTCAGGTAGACTGTCACCATACCTAGGACATAGCAATGATATTGTCAGGTAGACTGTCACCATACCTAGGACATGGCAATGGTATTGTCAGGTAGACTGTCACCATACCTAGGACATGGCAATGATATTGTCAGGTAGACTGTCAACTTGCCTAGGACATGGCAATGATATTGTCAGGTAGACTGTCACCAAACCTAGGACATGGCAATGATATTGTCAGGTAGACAGTCAACATACCTAGGACATGGCAATAATATTGTCAGGTAGACTGTCAACATACCTAGGACATGACAATGGTATTGTCAGGTAGACTGTCAACATACCTAGGACATGGCAATGATATTGTCAAGTAGGATGTCTTCATAATGAGGACATTTCCAAATATGATTTGTAAGTCTTTCATAAGGATATTGCAATCTCATTCAAATCAGATCTTAGTGCTCGCTACCACTACACTAAGATCTGAGGTCATCCCATTACAGGTCACTTCAAAATGACCTTTCACATACTTTGACCAGCCAATGAATCAACTAACAAGATGATGACAATAGCCAATCATGAGGCAGATTTCTCAAGTTTTATGGCACTAGTGTCCAACTGCTGAATTCCATTCCAGACAACACTTTGAAAAATATAGATTCAAACTTGACAACTGAACAACAGAAACTTCTGGAATACAATGTATCTAATAGATGGCTGAGATTGTGTGGCAGTACTTCCCCAACCAAGGAAAGTCTCTTCCATTTCAAATATGTATCCCAGTTGAGGCATGAGATAGATAATGATTTTGACAGAATCGATTGTGCAGCCCATAACTGTTGTTTAGAATATGTCATGTTAACCTTTTCGTGGTTGCATGTTTAGAAATACATTCAAACTACCCTTTTTCCCAATCTGGTAAGTGACACTCTGACTGGTCAGACAAAAGGTTGTTCTGATATTACCTGTAATGAGATTCCTCAGATCTTTGTTTAGCAATAGCAAGAACTAAGATCTGATTTTAATAAGATTGAAGGATATTGTTCACAAAGTCAGTTAGGACAAATCAAAACTGCTTTTCATCAATAATCATATAAAACATTGTATATTGGTAGCACACTGTCTGAAGTCTGTTACATAATCCTGATATATTATACCGTTCTACCCTTGGGGGATGTCTTGTGATAGATGCATACTGCCAGGTGTGTGTGTTGTGAGGAGATACATAGTGCCAGGTGTGTGTGTTGTGAGGAGATACATAGTGCCAGGTGTGTGTGTTATGAGGAGATACATAGTGCCAGGTGTGTGTGTTGTGAGGAGATACATAGTGCCAGGTGTGTGTGTTATGAGGAGATACATAGTGCCAGGTGTGTGTGTTGTGAGGATATACATAGTGCCAGGTATGCAGACAATTATGGTCTTGGTGCAGGTATATCTCCTGGAAACAGCGAAATGTGTTTCCGTGTTTTTGTGTCTGACATAATGAATTTTAAACTTGCCACATGTATGTCAGTCGTTGTTTTGATAACCTCCCCCAAATAACAAAGGACTAAGTAATTGTTTTCTATATTGTTATTTAACAGTGAATTAACTGTTATCACTATCATTATCCTATTGTTCTTGTAGAACCAAGTAGATCCTGTCCAACTGCTTCTGTTACTTCATCACCTCAGAAGGCCAATATTTAGAAGTTGGAACTTCCCCCAATGTTCTTTTGTTGAAGAAAGGTTGGATATGAAAATATTTTGGAATGATACAAAGGACATTTCTTTTAGCAGGTGCTGTGTTTCATGGGTTATCTCCTTGCAATATCTTGTGACCTATCTGTGCTGTTACTTACTTATCGATGTATCAATCTGTTATCGTTGTCCATGTTTATGTTTCAAAATCAGGCAAGTGAATAATCCCTTGACTGTTAAGGTTTGCAATGGTTTTGTCAGGGCAATGATTTGTGTTGATTAATAAGTTATGTTTTAACAGGTTTGACATAAAACTGTAAGGTAAACTACCAATATGCTATTGGTATTTGATTGAAATGAAATTTGTCATCAGCTATACTACCAATATGCTAGTATATTAAATTAAAATGAAACATGTCATCAGCTACCAATATGCTAGGATATAACATTGAAATGAAACGATGTCAGCTATACTACCAGTATGCTAGTATATTACATTGACATGAAACGTCATCAGCTATCATTATACTAGTATATTACATTGACATGAAACATGATGACATCAGCTACCAATATGCTAGTATATTACATCGAAATCAAATATGTCATCAGCTATACTACTAAGACACTAGTATATTACATTAAAATGAATCATGTCAACCGCTATACTACCAGTATGCTACTACAGTCAAGTCTCGTTAATCCGACACTCGTTAATCCGACACTCGGCTTTATCCGACACAAATGATGGGAACCGATTGAATCAGTGCTATTTAGTCCCGTTAATCCGACATTCTCGCACTCCGACTCCGACACACCTAATTTGCAACGAATTGCCGAAATCACTCATTAATCAGTCTCGTTAATCCGACACAGTGATCAGTGTACTCCGTGGTCATCTGACCGCGAGTACACAACCCCGTGTTTTGACACGCACTGGCTGCAGAGATTAACTTAACAATTAACAGGAAAAGCTATTCAAACCTGTCGACACGACTAATGTGAAATGTCACTTTTTGCCACCAAATACAACAGCGCACATTCAACACTGAAAGACTATTTTAAGTAGATGAAGCAAGTTGTCAAGACAGTAGCACTTGCATTTACACAAGGAAACGTGTGTCGTTGATGTGATTAATTCAGTGAGTAATGTCTCTATTGTTATGTATAAATGGGAAAATTATTATTATTTTTGCACATTCATTAATTATAAATTAAGGAATGAATGAATAAACAACATAACAATATTAATATTTCGTTTTTAATGATTTTATTACAAGGTACACACGGTTATTATCTATCGTGAAGACGTCCGATTTTCGATCACAAATCACTTCATTTCATTAATCCGACATACTCATTAATCCGACACAATCATGTGCAACCAACGATGTCGGATTAACAAGACTTGACTGTATATTACATTGAAATGATATGTCATCAGCTATCAATATACTAGTATATTACATTGACATGCTTACAATAGCTACCACTATGCTAATATATTACATTGAATCAAATATGTCATCAGCTATACTACCAATACACTAGTATATTAAATTAAAATGAAACATCATCAGCTACCAATATGCTAGTATATTACCTGGTACATTGAAATGAAACATGTCATGAGCAATACTACAGAATGCTGGTATATTACACTGAAATGAAACATCATGGCATCAGTGTGGCCCTTTACCATGTTGGTCTGTTTTCTCATATTGGCTGACCATATTGTAAAATGAATTTCCCGTAAATCTTCTGGACTGCATATGAATACTTTTCTATCTTTTTTTTCTAATAACATGCTAATCTGTTTGGCAAAATGGATGCCTCAATAATATCACATTAAGTTTGATCAATATTGAACGCTTTCAATGCAGTTGTTTTCTCCACATTCTGAGTTCGCAAAGACAGAAGAGTTCTACAGAAAATTACTTTTGTATTTTACATTGTCGATAAACATTATGTTTGCAGATTTGAGGGTGTTATTGAGTATTCAATGCATGGAAGTTAACATTTGAAACCTCCAGTTTAAACCTAAGGGGTCAAGATGAAGTTTTGTTTATCCCCTAATTCAACATATCAAGTGATCCTGTGCCTAAAAACTTTGTGGGTCCTTCTCAAAGACAACCTGTTCCACCTCGTTTTAACAATTTAACTTTCGTGATACTCAATGACAAATACTAACTGATACAAATGCACAAAGGAATCTAGTCTCATGTTATTTTATTGATATAGGGCACATAATCTGACTCACATGACTGGTCAAAAGTTATGCTATATAATCGGTGAAGTTCATTGTAGCTTATGTGATATTATATAATGGGTTGAGGACCAAACACATTACTTTCTCTTATGTACCATACATAAATGATGCATAATGATGACTATTTCACCTCCAACAATATAGCCATCTGTCTACATGTGCTTGGACCTGTGAAGATCCGGTTAGAATAGGCGTTCATCAACCTATGCTTGCCGTAAAAGGCGACCATGCTTGTCACAGGGATCAGGTGGTCAGGCTCACTGACTTGGTTGATGCATGTCATCGTATCCCATTGTGTAGATCAATGCTCATGATATTAATCACTGGATTGTCTGGTCCAGACTCGATTATTTACAGACCACCGTCAAATACCTGGAATATTGCTGCATGTGGCGTTAAACAATAAACTAACAAACAAGTTTGGGAAAAGAACCTTCAGATGTGTGTGTCTGATTCTGTGTGTGTCCAGTATGGGGTCTTCAACTTTGTGTCTCCTGTCAGTCTCTGCTGTTCGATTTGTAGTTGTTCACTATGGGAGAGGTTTTCAACTGACTGCTTGACTTTGAATCATGTAACACAATAGCCTAAAGTAGAGCTTCTTCAGTTTTCCACTCCTTTATTTTGTTTCATTATTTCATATGAGGAATATCTTCTGTTTTGTACCAGGAGGTCTGATACTTCTATATATGGCAGTTCTGGTACTTCTATATATGGCAGTTCTGGTACTTCTATATATGGATGTTATGATTGGTCTGGTTCTTCTATACATGGATGGTCTGGTACTTCTATATATGGATGGTCTGGTACTTCTCTATATGGATGGTCTGGTTGGTTTGGTACTTCGAAATATGGATGTTCTGGTACTTCTATATATGGATGTTCTGGTACTTCTATATATGGATGTTCTGGAACTTCTATATATGGCAGTTCAGATACTTCTATATATGGATGGTCTAGTACCTCTGTATATCGCAGTTTTGGTACTTCTATATATGGATGGTCTGGTACTTCTTTATATGGATGGTCTGGTACTTCTATATATGACAGTTCTGGTACTTCTATATATGGATGTCCTGGTACTTCTATATATGGATGTTCTGGTACATCTATTATATGAATGTTCTGGTACTTCTATATATGGATGTTCTGGTACTTCTATAAATGGATGGTCTGGTACTTATATATATGGATGTTCTGGTACTTCTATAAATGGATGGTCTGGTACTTCTATATATGGATGTTCTGGTACTTCTATATATGGATGTTCTGGTACTTCTATAAATGGATGGTCTGGTACTTCTATAAATGGATGGTCTAGTACTTCTATATATGACAGTTCTGATACTTCTATATATGGATGTTCTGGTACTTCTGTTTATGGATGTATTGGTACTTATATATTTGGAGGCTCTGGTACTTCCATATATGGATGTTATAGTACTTCTAAATATTGATGTTTTAATACTTCTAAACATTGACGTACTGATACTGCTATATATGGATGTCCTATGTATTCATAAATAACTGTATTGATGGTCAGTTGTATGTTGATCTTGTCAGACTTCCAAGCGTGCTTCCACTCATATTCGTATTTTCAAGTCATGTCTTTCAGTATTCTTTATCATTCCGTATTGCCATAGCTGTACATAAGATGATGTGTATGTGTATATGACCCAAGTTGTCTGCTTGTATACCATACCGTGTAAATATGTAATAAAGGTTTTTCACTACAGGCTGGTTTTTTTGTTGTTGTATGGAATGACTGTCCAGATCAGTTTTACATCTGCAGCAAATTGCACGAGTAATTTGAACAAACGCATTCAGATCAATCTCATTAAAATCAGATCTTAGTACTCGCTGTCGCTAAACAAAGATCTGAGGACATTCCATTAAGGGTCATGTCAGAACGACCTTTCATCCAACCAACCAGAGCGTCGCTTACCAGATCATGAAAGTGACAGTCGGAATGTGTTTTCTAATCATGCAACCACGAAATATTTAACACGGGGTATTCCAAACGACAGTTACGGGTTTTATTATTATATCAATACAATCTAGGCCATCTATAAGCCATTCCAGAATGTTCTTATCAGTTTGTTTTTTTTAATCGAGAATACGTCAAAATATGTTTTGAAGCGTAGTGGCCAGTTTGAAACTAGTGTCGTAAAGCTCGAGAAAGCTGCCGTCTGATTGGCTAATGTCGATTTCTTGTCAGTCATTTCATTGGTCGGTCAAAATTCGTGAAAGGTCGTTCTGACATGACCCATAATGGAATGTCCTCAGATCTTTGTTTAGCGGTAGCGAAAACTAAGATCTGATTTTAATGAGATTGCATTCAGATTAGTTCGGAATAGCCTTTCACAAGCTTTGTAAATAAGACAAATTAGATTGTTATGATAAACTAAGTACTCTTTCAACTTGTTTGTTCAGTGGTCAAAGTTTTATAAATCACCTTCACCCTGAAAGTGCCTTGATCCGCTATCGTTCGCCCGAATCACAACTTCTCCAGGACTGACCTTTGGTTTCATGTGGTTTGGATATCTTATGTGACATGAAATGTAAACTCCCCTAATCCTCAGTCTTCCGGTGCCATATCTTTGCTCCCAAAGTTTTAATGGCCGTCACCGTGTCTATCAACGTCTGATGGAACCTTACGACGTGTGTTTTTAACGTTTTGCATTTGGTGGTGGGAGTGTAATGGCGTGGGGAGGCATCACTGCACATCACAGAACCTCTCTAATCGTTATCGACGGCAATTTGAAAGGTGTACAGACCCATGAACATCACATCACTTTACAGCAGGTCAAAACACACTCTCGCGTTGCCCGTGTGGTCACAGGCTGAATTGGACAACAGAACATCCACACAGTCCCTTGGCAGCTGTTTCGCCATATCTGGCTCGCTGACTTACTTGATACATGTCATCCATCCCAATTGCGTGGATCGATGCTCATGATGTCAATCACTGGATTGTCTGGTCCAGACTCGATTATTTTACAGACCACCGTCATATAGCTGGAATATTGCTGAGTGCGGCGTTTAACAACAAACACACAAAAACAAAACTTATAAACAGCACTACAGTCCATTCAGCACATCCCACTTACATTGAGAAATTAAAATATTAGGCGCTAGTCTGAAAGTTACCATTATTGAAAGTTACCGTGATAGTGTGAGATAAGTAGATCCGGTATAGAGAAGTCCGAATTGACACACACCTGGGTAGTGATTTTAACTTAAAATGTCCATATATGGACCAAGTACAGAAGCTACTTGTCTCCGACTCCGCCATGTTCAGTTGTACAAGGATTATCAATGGGTCCTGAAGATGAGCTGGACTCAAGCCAAAGTTCAATCAGTTCATTCAACCCGCAATTTACCTGTCTTCGAACACGCGTTTTAGTATTCAATTCAGCCTGCAGTACCCTAATAACAGACACTATATACAGTGTCAAACACACTAAAAGTTAGTAACAGAGCGTAAAGTCTACCACTTTCCTTAACAAAGGACATATATAGAATCGAAATGGTTTATTGCAAAATGTTTAGTAAAACAATTCCCTCAGCTGCAGATAAATAGGAAACATTGCCGACAGTTTGTAATGCCACTAAAGAAATTAAGTACTGTCTTTGTGAACGAAACAAAAACACAATAAACACGTACAGCACCTTGAGCCATTATCGTTGATGGTAGGGTTTGCTGTTACACCAAGAAGACTTTATAAGATAGACTCCATGGCAATATATACAGAACCAAAACTGGTGATTATCATTTTTCTTGAAGGTATAGTTCTTTTGGAATTAGAATATCCTTTAGATCGATTTCTATAGAAACTTGGCAATGAAGATATACCCGCCGTCTTCAACGTTGCTTCTACTTCCCGAACTGGACAGCTCTGTTAATGCAGACATTGTTCTGGGGCGTGAAGGGGCCGAGGCTGAGGTCGACCTCACAGCTGAAGAGGTTGGGATTGTAGTACTGGAAGTTGAAATTGCTGCAGCTGACAGTCTCGACCACGCCCTCTCTACACGTGTAGAACCTGGTACAGTCGTCCCAGTCGGGGTAGATGTAGAACACGAGGTTGGAGGGGCAGTCGAACTTCTGATTGCACCTGCCGGAGGATCCTGTGAACAGGTCAGCCCATTATCAGCTCTATCAACACTATCAGCCTATACTCAACCCATTCTCAACTCTATCAGCCTATACTCAACCCATTATCAGCTCTATCAGCCTATACTCGTCCCATTCTCAGTTCTACCAGCCTATACTCAACCCATTATCAGCTCTATCAGCCTATACTCATCCCATTCTTAACTCTACCAGCCTATACTCATCCAATTCTCAACTCTGACAGCCTATACACATCTCATTCACAGCTCTACCAGCCAATACTCATCCCATTCTCAACTCTGACAGCCTATACTCATCCCATTCTCAGCTCTACCAGCCTATACTCATCCCATTCTCAGCTCTACCAGCCTATACTCATCCCATTCTCAGCTCTACCAGCCAATACTCATCCCATTCTCAACTCTACCAGCCTATACTCATCCCATTCTCAACTCTACCAGCCTATACTCATCCCATTCTCAACTCTGACAGCCTATACTCATCCCATTCTCAACTCTGACAGCCTATACTCATCCCATTCTCAACTCTACCAGCCTATACTCATCCCATTCTCAACTCTGACAGCCTATACTCATCCCATTCTCAACTCTACCAGCCTATACTCATCCCATTCTCAGCTCTACCAGCCTATACTCATCCCATTCTCAGCTCTACCAGCCTATACTCATCTCATTCTCAGTTCTACCAGCCTACACTCATCCAATTCTCAACTCTACCAGCCTATACTCATCCCATTCTTAACTCTACCAGCCTATACTCATCCAATTCTCAACTCTGACAGCCTATACTCATCCCATTCTTAACTCTACCAGCCTATACTCATCCAATTCTCAACTCTGACAGCCTATACTCATCCCATTCTCAGCTCTACCAGCCTATACACATCTCATTCACAGCTCTACCAGCCTATACTCATCCCATTCTCAACTCTACCAGACTATACTCATCCCATTCTCAACTCTACCAGCCTATACTCATCCCATTCTTAACTCTACCAGCCTATACTCATCCCATTCTTAACTCTACCAGCCTATACTCATCCAATTCTCAACTCTGACAGCCTATACTCATCCCATTCTCAGCTCTACCAGCCTATACACATCTCATTCACAGCTCTACCAGCCTATACTCATCCCATTCTCAGCTCTACCAGCCTATACTCATCCCATTCTTAACTCTATCAGCCTATACTCATCCCATTCTCAGTTCTACCAGCCTATACTCATCCCATTCTCAACTCTACCAGCCTACACTCATCCCATTCTCAGCTCTATCTGCCTATACTCATCCCATTCTCAGTTCTACCAGCCTATACTCATCCCATTCTCAACTCTACCAGCCTATACTCATCCCATTCTCAGTTCTACCAGCCTACACTCATCCCATTCTCAACTCTACCAGCCTATACTCATCCCATTCTCAACTCTACCAGACTATACTCATCCCATTCTCAACTCTACCAGCCTATACTCAACCCATTCTCAGCTCCACCAGCTTATACTCATCTCATTCACAGCTCTACCAGCCTATACTCATCCCATTTTCAACTCTACCAGCCTATATTCAACCCATTCTCAGCTCTAGCAGCCTATACTCAACCCATTCTCAGTTCTACCAGCCTATACTCAACCCATTCTCAGTTCTACCAGCCTATACTCATCCCATTCTCAGTTCTACCAGCCTATACTCATCCACCTCTCAGCTCTACCAGCCTATACTCATCCACCTCTCAGTTCTACCAGCCTATACTCATCCCCTTCTCAGTTCTACCAGCCTATACTCATCCCATTCTCAGTTCTACCAGCCTATACACATCCCATTCTCAGCTCTACCAGCCTATACTCATCCCATTCTCAACTCTACCAGCCTATACACATCTCATTCACAGCTCTACCAGCCTATACACATCTCATTCACAGCTCTAGCAGCCTATACTCAACCCATTCTCAGCTCTAGCAGCCTATACTCAACCCATTCTCAGCTCTAGCAGCCTATACTCAACCCATTCACAGCTCTAGCAGCCTATACTCAACCCATTCTCAGCTCTAGCAGCCTATACTCATCCCATTCTTAACTCTACCAGCCTATACTCATCCCATTCTTAACTCTACCAGCCTATACACATCCCATTCTCAGTTCTACCAGCCTATACACATCTCATTCACAGCTCTACCAGCCTATACACATCTCATTCACAGCTCTAGCAGCCTATACTCAACCCATTCTCAGCTCTAGCAGCCTATACTCAACCCATTCTCAGCTCTAGCAGCCTATACTCAACCCATTCACAGCTCTAGCAGCCTATACTCAACCCATTCTCAGCTCTAGCAGCCTATACTCATCCCATTCTTAACTCTACCAGCCTATACTCATCCCATTCTCAGTTCTACCAGCCTATACACATCTCATTCACAGCTCTACCAGCCTATACACATCTCATTCACAGCTCTAGCAGCCTATACTCAACCCATTCTCAGCTCTAGCAGCCTATACTCATCCCATTCTCAACTCTACCAGCCTATACACATCCCATTCTCAGCTCTACCAGCCTATACACATCTCATTCACAGCTCTAGCAGCCTATACTCAACCCATTCACAGCTCTACCAGCCTATACTCATCCCATTCTCAACTCTACCAGCCTATACACATCTCATTCACAGCTCTACCAGCCTATACACATCTCATTCACAGCTCTAGCAGCCTATACTCAACCCATTCACAGCTCTACCAGCCTATACTCATCCCATTCTCAACTCTACCAGCCTATACACATCTCATTCACAGCTCTACCAGCCTATACACATCTCATTCACAGCTCTAGCAGCCTATACTCAACCCATTCACAGCTCTACCAGCCTATACACATCTCATTCACAGCTCTACCAGCCTATACTCATCCCATTCTCAACTCTACCAGCCTATACTCATCCCATTCTCAGCTCTATCAGCCTATACTCATCCCATTCTCAGCTCTATCAGCCTATACTCATCTCATTCTCAACTCTACCAGCCTATACTCATCCCATTCTCAGTTCTACCAGCCTACACTCATCCCATTCTCAACTCTACCAGCCTATACTTAACCCATTCCCACCTCTAGGTATTTGAAATTAAGAGACTTGAGGGTTCCGTTAGAGGACTATTTTCATTGAGCCTAAGACATAACTATATTTCCCCGGTGGTGATTAGCGAGTGGGAATTGGCCCCCATGCTGTTCGTAAGAGGGCCCAAATGGATCGGGTGGTCAGGCTCGGTGACTTGGTTTATTGTGTGTCATCGTACCCCAACGGCGTGGATCATTACTCATAATATCAATCACTAGATTGTCTGGTCCAGACTCGATTATTTACAGGTCGCCGCCATACAGCTGGAATATTGCTGACTGCGTGTCAGCTTAATGTGGGAGGAAAGCCCGAAGTGATGCAGGTCTCAGACGTTTACCACTTCGGTGAAACCCACGAGCACGGGTATGGTGCTGACAAACCTAGAAACATAATCAGGGCGAACCGGGATTCGAACCCACAATTGTTGCCAAAGGGACGCAACTCTGCACAGCGATTCGCGGCGCCTTAGACGACGCCCCCCCCCCCCCCCCCCCCCCCCCCCCCCCCAAGAGAAACAATGATTAGAAAAGTCTGTGGATCGATGCTCATGATGTCAATCACTGGATTGTTTGGTCCAGACTCGATTATTTACAGACCGCCGTCATAAAGCTGGGATATTGCTGAGTGCTGCGTTATTCAACAAACAAACAAACAAACAACCCCATTCAAGGCATACCTGACCCCGACTGTCTCTTCCGTCGCCCTCTCCTAGAAACAGTGGGAGATCCGCCTGAAAGGTAGGGACGTTTCATCAACACAAAGTGACGGTCAAGGCAGCGGAAGTGATTTCTTAAAGGAATGTTCAGTATTAAAGAATTCTATTATACTCGTTTTTTAAATACCAGAATATGGATTTTTTATGGCACAGTTATGGCTTACGGGGGTTGGGGCTAGACATTGATTACATTATATTATAATGATGTCGCATACGCTTGTAAAAAGCTATGTCAGAATGTGCTCAAAAAGATGTAAAAAAGAAGAAAAAAAGAAGAAAAAAAATAAAGAAAGAAAAAAAGAAAAAGGAAGGTGCCAAAATACCATACCATAAATAGAACCCAGGAATCTTATCTTGCGTTTTACATCCTTGACAGTTGACTGTGACAGACATGGGAGTCTGAAGCCAACTAAATATTATAGTTATTTCTTCGAAAATATAACAATTTGTATAGGTGATATTGAAATGAGTAGAACGAAGCGGGATAAGGGCCCTTTTTGGCCCAGAGGATCTGAATAATTTAAGAATTGGGAAAACCTATTGGAATTATTATTAAAGCTATCAAATTCCGAGTGGTTTAGTTACATTCACTCCTGGGTTCGCACGTGTTGTTGGGACCCATGTACATGTCCTCGGGGCAGTAGCCGCTGATGGTCATGTTGCCGTCGCAGCGGTAGTAGGTCTTGCTGCAGGAGCCACTGCTGGGGTAGATCTGGTTGCCCACACACAGAGACCGGGGTCGAATCCGCTGACTCTCCACAGACACCAGGCACCACACGGCTACAATGGAAAAAAACCCGCGTTACCTTAGAAACCATTGATATAATTGTATCTAATTGCCTTTGCAGAGTTGCGTCCCTTGCCACGCCAGAAACCTATGATTATGGGTTCGAATCCCGGTTCGCCACGATTATGCATCTACCCGTGCTAGTGGGTTTCACCAAATTGGTAAACGTCTGAGACCTGCATCACTTCGGGCTTTCCTCCTACTTTAAGCTGACACGCCGTGATGTAATTGGAATACTGTTAAAAGCGGCATTCAACCAAACTCACTCACTCCTATTTCAGTTATATAACGGCATGTCAGCTGCAGTTAGATGTGGAGGGTAGCATGAAAGTACAGCTGGACCTAGACGCTTACCACATTTAGAAAACTAATGACAATGGATATCGTGCTGTAGGACAAGAATGAGATTAGTGCGAACCTGTGATTCGAGTGAGTGAGTGAGTATGGTTTTACGCCGCTTTTAGCAATATTCCAGCAATATCACGGCGGGGGACACCACAAATGGGCTTCACACATTGTACCCATGTCGGGAATCGAACCCGGGTCTTCGGCGTGACGAGCGAACGCTTTAACCACTAGGCTACCCGACCGCCCCACCTGTGATTTGAACTTGCGATCATCGGATCCTCGCCTAATCAAAGGATGCAACCCCTTAGCATCGCCATACGTAGGAACCCCTTCGTATCTTCATGCGTAGAAACCCCTTCGTATTTCCTTGCGTTAAAACCCCTTCGTATCTCCGTACGTGGAAACCCTCGAACCCGGGTCTTCGTCGTGACGAGCGAACGCATTAACTACTAGGCTACCCCACCACCCCACATCAGTAAAATGTATACACCCGCAATTGACTTGACACGCCATACTCCCTAATCTGTGAAAACGGAAGCACCCCTGCGTCCTTACATGATTGTTTTATCACAAAAATGTCGTGTTAGAAATATCATCCATGCAACAGAAAAAAATATTTTTAGCAAAACCCTACAGTAGTCCCCGGATGAGGAAGTACGTAGAATTTTTGTACGTGACATTACGTGCCTCGTTTTGAGGAGCGCCCACGCTCAGCGTGTACTGTAGAAGTTGCTAGAGGTATCTGTTCGGGGCCACGCACGGCCCAACTAAACGTCCTCATGATGTCGTGAATCCCCCTTCAAACTGAGGTAATTAAATGGTAGCGCGTGTTGACTCACGCACACACCGGTCACTCCCAGAGCGAGATGTGCTTGCGAGATCAAAGCACAACGAGAGTCTATTTTTTTTTCACCTGAATCTACCTTAACGCGCTACCTGCCCGGAATGTTAACAGGTAAGTCTCACTCACCTGGAGATGTGTCACAATATACGTCTCACATACCAGCCGTTCAAATTAGAACAATTAAATATATTGAGACAAGGAACCTAAGAGATTTGTAACCAATTCGACACGAACCCGGAATCGATGGGAATATTTTTTTTTTTTAAAAGAGAACGTTATTATTTGTGACCTTTAAAGATCTGAAAGAGTATTGTAATCTCAGATGAGAAGTATCATATTAATTCTTTAAAAAGTGTGACAATTGTAAGGGCTATGCCACTGTTTTCGGTTTGATTAATATTAATATTGATTATATAATAAGTCGTTAATATCTAACAAATATGATGAATTTAATTTCAAAACATTAAAAATATTTACATTAATTGTATTTTAATTATGATCATTAGTCTGGAGCTAGCAAGTGAAGCATGTAAATTCACACCTTTTATATCTATACAGCAACACTTTCTAGTGTATAATAGTGTACAATGGATATTTTTGTTCATACCCTTGCATTCTATCAAGAAAGAGTTTTACCCTTAGAAACCGTTAAAGAAAAATCTCCCAGCAGAGTTATAGAAACGGCGTGTTTAAGGGAAACATGATACCTAAAAACAGATACCTGCGTTCTGGCAAATGTTGGACGTTGAGTCTAATCCTCACTAACTGTTTAACATTTGAAATAAAAGTTATAACATACCGACAGCTAACAGGAGTGCATTCATGATGGCTTGTTCGCGTCACTGGGCTTCTCGAAACTCAAGGTTTACATACAGCCTGCTGAAGGCGGGGTCGCACGCCGGCTCTAGACAGGGGCAGACAACTCTGTATCCCACGGTGACAGTGTACGGATGCAGGGTGACCCTAGTCCACTGGAAGTGTCTGTCCGTCTTGTTAACCTTAGGGTTGTCAGGTAGACGAGACATCAACATCTAGCCATCCCAGCATCATCGGAATAGTGTCTGTATTGTAGGTAAGAGAAAGCCCCGTGTTTGATCGCCAGGTGAATGATACCATCCCTTTCTTGGGTACATCTGATGTAGATTTCAGTGTTTGTTTTCTACCACTGTAATTGCTGCTTGTTGACAGAGAAATCCTGTAGGGAGCATGCATCGTTGTTTGAAGAGCACACTGCAAGGTTTGCCTATTCTGCGGGTTTAGTCGTCCAATTAGTATCGGGCAAAGCAAACCCTACTGGTGTTACGTGTCGCATTGTCCCGTACGCATGTCACTGAAGACGACACCCAGGACGTGACGCTACCTGGATCAGACATACTCACAACCCAATTAAATAAACTTAGTAGTTAAAAGACCGATTTAATGCTAATTTCTTTAAACAAAGCATGAACACATTTTCGTTGTTTTGTACACTGAATTCAATATTTGACAGGAATGTCCCAAGTAAAGCCTTGCTGTCTGTATGTCTGATAAAAACGTTCTTTAATTTGTTAGAGATTAACATTGTTGTACATTTGGTTCCATCAATCTACTTAAAGGATCCCTGGTATGTTATACTGGTAATGTAGTGTTGAACTAATAAATGCTTCAAACTGCTTTGAGTGTGTGAGTTTCATCATCGGTGAACTATTGTCTCTTTGGAATGGAAGGCGGTAGGGTAGCCTAGTGGTTCTCGTCGCGCAGAAGGCCCGGGTTCGATTTCCCGGTTTCATACATACATACATACATACATACATACATACATACATACAAATCAATAGGACAATGAAGAATGCGTCGTTTGTTTCACGATAAAACATTTTCTATCGTTCTATCGTGACGTCATTTCTGGAGATGACGTCATTTATTGGACGACGTTATTTTTTAGAGGGAAGTGTCCAGTAAGTTCTTCCCCATCGATGTAGCTGGACTACGCAGATAAACGCAGTGGCCGAACGATCGCATCCAAAAGCGGGAGAGATATGACAATCGGTATTGGGAGTAAAAGGTACAGATAATCGACGTGAGGATTCTGAGAATATACGGGAAGTACCAAACTCATCCCACCTTTTCGCAAAATAGATTTGTCCGACATTTACGAGGTTGGATTCTATTGAGGGAGTCATCATTTATTTAAATACGGGTAAATATCTTTGAAAGCTTTTATCAACATCCTTTTATCTATATTTTATCAACATCCTTAAAGAGGCTGTACATAATGTTGATATCTCATATAAGAAATAAACGACTCGTGTTCGTTTGTTTATCGTACAGTAAAACACTGCAGGAGAATAAACCACCCTGTAGTGTTTTATTGTACCATAAACAAATCCAATTCGTGTGGCTTCTTGTCTTCACGAAACATCCTGCTGGTTTGATACAGAGCAAGGATTACCACTTAGTCCACATGTAGGGGATATTAAAATTACGGATTAAGGAGAGTGCGTTATATTTTCGTCACTTATAATTAAGGATTGAATAGGTGCCTGTACACGTTCATCAGTTAATGAAGACAGTTGATTGCACGCGATTTCGCGAAGACAACCATATTTCCTCTTGTAAGATCCGTGTCTAAAGTTGAAGTCTTGAAAGAAGCGGGTTTCAAATAAGAGCAGGGTCACCTTCAGCTCTTTACAGTCAAAGCGTGCACTACGGCGTTCAAAACATACAATACGTCTATCACGTTCTATACGTTTAATAAGTGAAATACGCCCGTGCGTGCATTGCGATCTGTACGTATATTACGCCATGACGTCAACATGTATAATACGCACATTTTATTTCAAAATGTAAAAAGACGTTCATTTTGTTCAGTCTGAAAAATACGCTCGGTAAGTATTGTACTGTATACCCTCCTCGTTCAGATACTTGTATGTCAGGATGACCTGTGAAGTGTCGTATCTCCGTCTCTGGGTTCGGTGAAAACGATTTGCTGACGTAAGGGACAGGTCACATCTCTTGCTGTGGTTAGAGCAGGCTGTCTCTAACTAATATTTACAAACTAGGTTGGTTTGCTGTCTTTGTCAGTTGAAAGGATAACGTCTTTTGAAAACAAGCATTTGTTTTCGAGGACTGCATCGTTTGTAAAGAGTTGCGTGTATGTTTATGACCGAGCTTGACTGGATTTGACCAGTGTTGACCAGCGTGGATTGAACAGAGTTGACCAGTGTTAATCAAGGATAACGTAGGGCAATATTCGTAATAAAACGCATACATTTGTACAATGCAACCGCAGATATAATGGCAAGGACACGGAGAAACACAACAGCAAGTGCTATAACACACAAACATGAGATGTTTTTCATTACTTGACAAAGATGCCATTGTACCTGTCTACTTAATGCATATGAAATGCGCCGTCAGGGTCCGATGACGCAGTCAACCATGTTACCGAGCCTGACAACTGATCCATTTGGTCACCTTGTATAACCATAGGTTGCTATAGGGACCGATTCCAACGGGTCTTTTTTTAAATGAAAGATGACTGGTATAAAAGAGATGTTATCGATTTTGTTATAAATCTGTGTGCGGGCAGCTCAGCATCCCAATCATGTGCCTCTATAATTATGTTTAAGGAGAGATAAAGAGAAATACTTGCAAATATCTCAAAGAAATTGTTCTGTTGACATTTACAATGATGGTGTGTTGAAATGCCGACAAGATGGGACGTGATGAGAAGGCAAATTGTTGTTTACGTACGTTACCGATCAATCATGACAGTTGGTGACGTCATCATGAGATGCTGACTGACTGATTGTTGTATAACGCCGCACTCAGCTATATGACGGCGGTCTGTAAAACATCGAATCTTGACCAGTTAATCCGGGGATTGACATCATAAGCATCGATCTACGCAATAGGGATACGATGACATACACCAACCTAGTCAGTGAGCCTGGCCTCCCGATCCCGTTAGGCAAGCATCGGTTGCTGAAGACCATTTCTAACCCGGATGTTCACGGGTCTGAGCTGCAGACAAGCACGTGGGATGAAAAAAGTCACCTATCAATCGAAATATGGGTTATGGTCATCACCGTGTCTAGTAACAGTGCTTCCGTTCGATTTGAAAACCTAGGCGAACCCATGTTGACAACGGTATAACCTAAGTTAACCTTGGGTGATCCAAGTCGCCCATACCCACTGAACCCCTGGGGTGGGGCTCTCTAGTTAGCAGTCTCCAAGTGACGTCATCGGTAAAAGAGAATTAGTTTCATTTATTGATTCAATTTTAGTGAAATATAATTAACTAGGTATTGATGGTGTATGTTTATTCTGAGATGCGTCAGGGAAATTTAACTTTCGATTGTTCATATGAATACTGTAGAATTGATAATGCAACTTGATGATGATTTTGCATGCGTTTGATGTTCTACGCGTTATTTTTAAGTTTCTTGTCATTTTAAATGCATTAAATAGAAAAGGTGCAATGGCAGCTTTGGCAAGCAATAAAAAAACTTCTAACTTCTCATAGTTATAGCACCATGTGTGTTACAACACTTGCTGTTGTGTCCTTGCCATTATATCTGAGGTTGCATTGAATATCGGATTCTGCCCGAAGTTTCCTGTATTAACACTGGTCAACCCTGGTCAATCCACACTGTTAACATTTATCACACCAGAGCTACAACTGTTAACAGTAATCATACCAGAGCTACAGCTGTTAATATTAATCATACCAGAACTACAACTGTTAACAAGTGTAACACAAGAGCTACAACTGTTAACACGTATCACACCAGAGCTACAACTGTTAACACGTATCACACAGGAGCTACAACTGTTAACATGTATCACACCAGAGCTACAAATGTTAACATTTAAAATGCTACAGGTACAACTTGATATTTTTCATGCTAGAGCTACATGCGTAAAGGTGTTAATAGCCATGTCGCTTTGGAACAGTTGTGATCGGCTGTAAGTTTGAAACCATAACGTTATGAATGAGTGAATGAGTGAGTGAGTGAGTGAGGTTTTACGCCGCTTTTAGCAATATTACAGCAATATCACGGCGGGGGACACCAGAAATGGGCTTCACACATTGTACCCATGTCGGGATTCGAACCCGGGTCTTCGGCGTGACGAGCGAACGCTTTATCCACTAGGCTACCCGACCGCCCCGTTATGAATGGGATTAACCTCGATCAGCGAAGTAACACGGCAACTCTCAGGTTAGTCCGGTTGTGATGGGAGAGAAGCGCGTTGTTCACCATAAACCTACTTACATATTAGGCTTACTAAGAGAATTACACTTCAGATGATAAAGTCCCTTGATGTGTTAATCTTCCAATTAATGTTTGGCCAGTCCCGCAGCTAATCCGATAATCTCTGAACTGCACGTATGGCATAATCCAAAAGTACTGTTTGGATTACTTGTACGGGTCATGTACACACAGGGTTGGACAACATTAAGTCCCATTTATTTGAATAATAACTGAAAACAAATATCATTCGCTATTGTCACCACCTGTACAAACTAAATACTCAATATTTCTATGACGTATTATTCGTACTTATGACAAACAGCATTATGTATAACAACTTCTTTATTCTACATACAAATTTACCTAAATACATTTTTATTATTATAGCAGCTATTTTTGCTCCTGACTGTAAGAAGCGATTACATTAATAATGGTCTGTGAACCAGGGGAAGTGTGAACCTTTAACCTCCCAACCTGGCCACAGTACGTTTCACATGCTACGCGGGGTACACTGAGTGCGAGATAGGTATGCCGAGTTTCTCATGTATTGGCCAGTTCAAGGTGTGACATGTTCTTATCTTCTGTGTACATGCTTTAATTGAAGACAGAAAACAGAAGTTCAGAGGACACAGCCCATAGTTTATTATGGCGTTTCCACATTTAGGCAAACGTTTCAGGATATATCAGCCTTTGGATAGTCCAACGAGGCCTCCAATGCGAAAGCCTGGCAACTTTTTTCGGAAAAAGAAAGTTTTCCGGGACTTTTGTCTTCCAACAGTGCACGATGTTGATGAAATGAGTGATGTGACGGAAGATGCTTTACTTTCAAACCGGTCACAAGGCTCCAACGTCCGTCACCATGGAGATACTAGGAAGAAACCCGCGCGTCTTCCTAGAGACACCGCCGACATTCATCTTCCTGCAAGGTCGACAAGACAGCTGGTGATACACCAGCAGAAACTGATGTTCAAGTTTCAGAACCTTGAACACCAGTTCAAAAAGCTGAAGAGCAAGGCTGGTCTGATTAAACGTGAACTGGACAAGATCAGAGTTATGAAGACACCCGAACCAGAGTTGCCATCAATTATGTTGAACACAAGAACCGACCATGACCCTCCACGATCTGGATCCGATTCTCCTCGCCCTGCCTCCTCTACCACTTCCGGTTCAAGAAGGGGAGCCACGTCCTCCGCATCGTCCTCAGTGTCACTCGTCGTCAGCGCTGCATCAGCATCTCCATCGACAATCCATCCGGGATCGTCCTGTGTCATCCGGTCCTGTTATTCGTGCAGCACCTCGTCCGGGAAGACGGCTAATGATTCTGATTGGAGTTCCCTCAGTGACGGATCTGTCAATCTCCCATCTCTACCCTCAGCCTCCTCCCCTTCCCTGTCCTACTCTCTCTCCCCATCCCCGACCGGAAGTTCAAACAGGTCAGATTCGGACATCGATGAATAGGAGCTGCCTTAACTGGCCTATGTTTTAATGAATTGTGTTGCTCGTTAATTGTGATTTCTCATTCTGCATAGGGCGTTCATAGTCCATTAACTATTACAATGTTAATCAGAAATACATGCTTGCATGTGCAATTAAATGTGAGTAAATGTGATAAAGCTGTACACATAAGTACAGTAAACTACGTTTATAACGAACACGCTTATAACGAACTGGTGGATATAACGAACTGTTTTTTTTTGTTTTTTTGTTGTTGTTGTTTTTGTTTTTTTTGGTTTTTTTGAGGGGGGGTTGGGGGGGCGGGCATTTGCTGTATATATGCTGTATATATGCCTATAACGAACTACGGTTATAACGAACTACAATTTGTGGTCCCTTTGAGTTCTTTATAACCGTAGTTTACTGTAATTTGTTTGACGGATCTTGTTGTGTTTGAAATAAATCCATAATATCAGTATGTTTCGAGAACGTTGATTCTCAAATGCAGTCTTGTAAACTCAATTTGTTAACTCGAGATATGTACATGGGGTAACGGATTAAAATAGGCCCCCTTCACTCTATTAATGGTCATATAAGGCGACACAATTGGATAGAATCTTCAGGCTCGGTGACTAGGTTGATTGCCTGTCATCTAACCGCGTCGGCACGGGGCGGTTCATCATATTGACCACTGGTTTTACAGGCTATCGTGACTGCGGCGTAAAACAACAAGAAAACTGGATATGTTTTTTTCAACGATGTCATGTTATGGCTCAGACAAATCCGTATTGATACTACTGTCAAATATCGTCAGTCTGCTTGATTTGATCGCAGGATTCAACATTTTCTATGAAAGCCCGAACGTAAGGGGGAGAAGGAACTTTCCCGTCACACTATTTTAACCGAACGTGATTGTGAGCAGAAGTATGGCTTCATGACCTTAAATTTGAAGAGTTCTTTTGCGTTTAGGTTTCCATAAACCGAATGAGATAAAGTCACACCCACTAACGGACTACTTTGTTGCATTATTGCTCCGATTGGCATGACCATGTTGCGACATAGTGGAATACGATCATGTGACGACGTATTGTAATGCGATCATGTGACGATACACGTGGTGTTATCATGTGACGACATATTGTGATGCCATCATGTGACGACATATTGTGACATGTTCTCAGGTCGCCATGTTGTGAAATGACACGAAAATCATACGAAAAACACTTCAAGTGGAAAAGGGCATTCTTGGCAATGTATTCAAAAGATCTGATTGAAAAATCATTTTTCATATATCCCCAAATATCTGCAAATATAATAACTTTACCCGTCAAGCAGCAAATAGTCAAATGCACATTCCGTATTTTATACATGTCAAAGATGCATCGAACCCTCATTTGTGACGTGTCAATTAGTGTTCTAGATTTAATTTAGAATAGATACGTCCATTCAGCTGATATACTTCTTTCAGAATGCCAGTCGAACCCTCGATCAGCCTACCCAAGAAACATGAATAGCTCTGCCCAACCAACCCATCTGTCTTTGATATAATTAGACTTCCTTGACGATTAACATCGATTATAAGATGGAACCTTCCAATTCTGTCTCAGAATGCAGTTACCTCCCTTTGTCAGTTCTCATGCATTATTATTTGATTTTAATATCATGAAAAATGGATTTATAGCTTTATATGTCTAATTTTCGGATGTTCATGAATAGATCATAGCAGACGTCCACGCATCTTGATGCAAAACGTGCTGGTAGTCTATATCAATCATTGAAAAATGAACGTTTCAACATGAATAACTCAGTACCCTGTCCATATCACCCGAGGTTCGTACCTTGGGTCGAGTAAGACACGGCAGACGACATTGTCTGGAGACCACACAAGCAGACGACATTGACAGGAGACGCCAGAAAGCAGACGACAATCAACATGAAGGAGATTGAGCAAAAGGTAGGAAATGCTTTTTGCAGTTTACCACTATTTTTTATCTCTTTATTAAACTGCTATACATATATGTGAGTGTATCGCACGTATGACGTCAGTAGAAGACGGAGGCCCTTATGGCGGGTATAGTCAGATGCCGATATACAAAAAGGACAGATGAATATGAGATCGACATAAATATTTCGTCGGAATAAACAATCTTGCATGTATAATTTTCAAAAAAGATATTTTCTATAATTCAACATGATTATAACATACATATACATTTGTACTATTACACTTTTCTGACCACTTGCAAACAGTGAAAACATTAACTTTGATACAAGAATATGTGCATAATGGTATATAGCCCTGTCAGGCGGGGCACCTGGACGTATCAAGTATCACCATAGATTGTAAACGTGTTGAATACTAAGCCATATCTATACCTATAATCCCCGTCGTTGAAGTCATTGAAGTATATTCATTACAAATTCTCGTAAATATATCAGGGGTGGATTTGGATTTTTTAAGCTCCTAATTTAGAATATAACAATGGGTCTCCAAGATAACAAACAAATGCTTTTTTGAAAAAAACCTCCGAATATCGATTTATTTTGCACTTACTTTGATTTACGTGGAAATAACCATTAGACTTAATACTAATACTATGATGGTTATCAATTCCATTAAGCGCAGCAACACCACAAAGAAGTTCGCGATGCTGGTATTGTTAACGATCCGCACATGGCTGTTTACCTGGCGAGATCTAATGGCACTGCTAACTGTACTACTCGATAAGTCTATGTATGTAGAGGACGCGTCCAATTATGCCGTTCTTGTTGCCATGGTAATAACAGAAATCAGACTTCCAGGTGCAGCGTAGATACTGGGAAGATATTGGAAGACTCCACAAACACGGACCCTGCGTGGTAGTAGCGCTTAAACCTTGCAGATACAGTAGTCTCTTAGCAAATTATTTATTAATGTCTGTTTCATTTCCATGTCATCCAAGAATTACAAAACCGTTTAAAAAAGCTGCCGAAGTGAACTTGTCAGCATAATTATTTGTGGTTTGAAAACATATCAGCTGGTATTTACAAGGAGATCGATGATACCTTCGTGCATAGTTCATTCAGTGCGTTACTGTCTCAGCTGGAAATTATAAAACTAAAACTCAATTCATTGTGCAGTTCTCTCTTTTAAGAAAATATATACCATGTTATAAGTTTTGATTAAACATAAATTGTTGCCATATTTTCCGGTACCAAAATCACAAGATGAAACACAGTAAATTAACCGTTTCCATCACAATAAGAAATCTCTACCAAAATCCATTGTACGATTCCGACCCAATCAATAGCTTGCGTTTCATGAATCGTTATCAAATAGTGATGATAACGGGTAATCACTCCGTCAATATTTAGCAGGCAACCAAAACAAAGCTACTGTTTTTGTAGGTTGTTTTCTTGTTTGACGCCGCCCTAGGCAATATTCCAGTCATATGACGGGAGTCTGGACCAAAGAATCCAATAATTGATTTCATGAGCATTGATCTACGCAATAGGGATTCGATGACATGCATAGGATGCTGGGGTCCTATGATATTACCAAGAATCCCACGGGTATGATTAGTAAAGTAAAACATTCATTCAAGTTATTTTAAATTTGAAGTATATTTTTTTATCAAATTTTAGACTGAGTCTGTGGTCTAGGGGACAGAGCGTCTGCCCGGTGAGCGGAAGGTTCGGGTTCAATCCCCAATCGCGTCATACCATAAGACGTTACAATTATCGTACTTGTTGTTACCCTGCCTGGCGTCTAAAACAAGTTTCTGTGACGGTGTGGCGTTGTCATGTTTAACTGCGACATGGTATACCCGTGGGCTAGCACTATCAAATCCGCATTAGTCCGGACTGGTACAAGCACAGGCAAGCACGCACGCACAAACGCACTCATACACACGCACATGCACGTCGCTGAGTTACTGCAATAGTCTTCAACGCATTTATTTCAATTATAACAATCCATACTATATCTGGTATTTAAATTCCTATATTTCGGGTCTTCTGACAAGAGTGACGGATGACGAGTGCTACGGGTGGGGCAGGATAAGTTCACCTCTTCGAGAACACCTGGTATAATCACTGTTTGATAGTCATTCATCAACACACGCTCGTCATATAGTAGAATCGTACATGGACATTTAGTGGAGAGTTCATAAGCTAATGGGGAGGCATTTTCCCGAGTCAAGCGTGTCCACAAAAGCCTAGTTTCTACCCTTACCACACCAAGGCCACTCTTCTTGGCCGCGCGTTGATCACAAGTTGTGCCCCTTGTAATGAAACGCGATATCCAATCAGATCGCTTATCTTATCTCGTATAACTTCTCAAAGATGGCGACTACCATAGTCGACGACCTAGTCGATCACATACCGAAGGCATTCGCGAGTTCGTCCCTGACACAAAAAACATAGTCAATCGTTGGTGGTTTAAAGGATGAAAAGAACATATTCGTGTCAACAAAGACAGGCAGCAGTAAATCATACGAAAGTGTACCGGTCGAGGATGTTGATTATGTGAAACGTTCTCTGATTGGACTATCGATATGTGCGATAGTCCAATCATATTTAGCACAGGAAAGTGGACTTAATGTGGCAGGGGTCGAAATAGGACTTTGATAAACAGGCTAGTAAACGCTCTTGCCTCGCGAAGAGGATGGAAAGGGGTTTTATTATAGAATATTTGTATTTGTGTATACAACTCAGAAATGAATGAACACCGGATTTTTAACACTACTATAGTGAATCTGTCATGCCTTGGCAGATTAACTATAGTAATATGAAAGAATGGGGTGCTCTTTAACTTCTGTTGAGTAGAATATACAGCCACGGTGTATTAATACAGCTTCATCTACCGCGAGCTATTTTACAACGACTACAGCTAATATGATTGAAAGGGATCATATCATTCAGATTGGAATTCTGAACGGAATAAGCAAATATAAGGGGCGGGCCATTTCATATTTAGGGGGGGGGGGGGGGGGATCGTCTTAGCGCTACGATCGCTTTGTGGAACTGGGCCCAGGGTGCTTACAGCACATCGAAGCGCTACGCTGGTCAGTTATGTCGTTATTTGAGGTGAGGTGAAATTGGGTTTAACGTCGCGCCCAAGATTATTGCACTTATATAGCGACGTGCATGCACGTGTGTGTGTGTGTGGCTGCTTGTACTAGACCGGACTGATGCCGATTTATAGTGCTAGCTCACTGAGATACCATGCCGCAGTTTAACATGAATACCCTACTCAGACACAGTATACTGACACCGAGCCGACCAGTCCTTGTTTTAGCCCCTTAATGCCGAGCGCCAGACAGGGTAACAACAAGTACCATCTTTTAACGTCTTTTGGTATGACGCGGACAGGTATCAAACCCCGGACCTTCCGCTCTCCGGGCGGACGCTCTACCACTAGACCACGGAGGCGGTTGAAACAGAACAATGAAAATAGCAGTGGTATAAAGCATTTTATAAAATAATAAATGAAAGACCATTACCATGTGTAGTAAAACCGAGTCAACTTGACACCTTTGTATTCACATCTACTTGAGGAATGTACTTTTCAATTACTAAGATGATGTGGATGATGGACATAAGTAGCATAACCTTTGATGTCAACTGACGAAAAAAAGAAACGTTACCAAACTGAAAGGTGGACACGTTGGGTCCAAACCCCGAATAGTGTTACAAAATGGTTGAGAATCAATGGCCCAAACACAACTAAAACAGTTTGCTAAGTAATATATGTGCTACATTACCAAGATCAGTGGAACATGAGTTTGAAGTGAAACTTTAGCTGCACTTGCAGCATGTCAGTCTACAAAGATGTGGATATAAAAGGAATGATGTACTGTTCATTCACACCCAAACCGTTGGTCAGTGACAAATAACATGCTGAGGTTAATGGTACTGAAAGAACAAGCCATTGGTATGATACATCAAGAAGCAAAACATGACCACGTTGCAAGGCGTTTTGGCTGTTGCCGAAAGACAGTCACCAGGCTGATGATCCGTCATAGGCACAATGGATGGACGGGAAGCAGGCAATACTTCATCATCGACGTCGTTGGTGTCGTTGGCCTTGGCCGACGCCACAACTAGCCATGCACCATAACAGCACCCCTGAACGTCGTGGAGCTTTTGTCTCCAAAAGCATTTTAAAAATATTGAAAGTCCAAGTACACAGTAAATGCATTTCTCCAATCACAAAGATGAGTTTTTATCTCAGATTGTTCAGAATTAGGACACACTTAATTACATCATCACGAAATAGAAACAGATGACACAAGACCCATTAGACTCCCTTTTTATAGGCAAAACGCACCCTTTAGAAAAGAATGTTCCAGATAGGTGCAAGAAATGTGTGAAGCCAATATCATTCAGCCAAGTTCTTCTAAATGGCATTTTCCATGTTTAAAACACGTGATAGCTCTTACCGCTTTGCCATAGATAAACGACGCCTCAACGCAGTTACCAAACCTATATTTTTCCCTCTACCACATTCGCCAATATTTTTAGTGTGCTTGATTGCGCTAGTGGCTTTTGGCAAATACCGCTCCATCCAGATGCAATGCACAAGTCGGCCTAAATTACACCCGATGGTGTTTTTGGATGAAATCGCCTCCCTTTTGCCTCAAACATGCGCCTATGGCATTTCTGCAAATCATTTCAGAGGCAATTAAGAAATGAATTGGCGTTAAATATTAATATATGTATGTAGATGGCATAATATTTTCTAAAATGTTTTGGGAACATTTGCGTCACCTCAAGGCAGTATTCCAAAAGATCAAAGAAGCAGGACTCACTCTAAAACCAAGCAAATGAAAATTTACGACAAAACAAATCACCTATCTTCATCAAAGATGGCATCCATGTCGATATACTTCAAAAATGGGTTCAGTCACACAGATCCAATCCTTTAAAAATGTTCATGACATGTGTCATATCGTAGATTTGGTATCGTATTAT